CGGTCACGGGGTTGTATTGTAGTGTGGATCGTATTTTTGTGCTATGTGATAGTGATGCTGTTTGTTTTGGAAACGACGGCGTATTTCAGTCAAATGGAATTGATGAAACCCCTAACTGTAACCGATGACAATGACCCATTTATTAGATAAATGAATTAAGCAAACAGCTGCAAATCCACCAACCTCTGCAAAAAAATTTGCCCCTCTACTAAATTTGCTTTGCCCCCTCCCTTGGTCGTACGTGTCTGCATTTTAGGCCATCAGAGTCCTTGTTTTGATATTACTATGAATGAATAGCAATGTGGTTGGTTGGTTGGTTGATTGTTTAATTTAATTTTGATTTCTAATTTAACTTTTGTTTTGATGAAACAGTTGAAATGGAAGACATTTGGGGGCAGGCAATGTGGGGGACCGAATCGGAATTGGAAGACTGCGATTTCGTCTACGTATCGGAGATCCTCCAAGCTGCCAATTACTTACCGGAGGAATCCGATATTTTCCTATTGCTAGAGAAGCAGCAACATCTCAAAGGAAAAGACACCTCCAGAGTTTCAACACTCGAGAGGAGGCTCATCTTCGACACCATCACTGAAATTCTAGACCAAAACCGGCAACTACCGCCGTGGAAGGCGGTTTCTAGCCAGGCTTCCTTGCCCGAAATTTGGTCCGAGTTTCGGAGAATCCGGAAGAGGGACGAATCAGAGGACTTGTTCGAGGTCATATGTGGGGTGCTGAAAAAGGACCTTGCTGGGGATGCATTCAACAGATGGGGAGACTGTTCGATCGAAATGTCCGATGCCGTTTTGGACATCGAGCGGTTGATTTTTAAGGACTTGATCGGCGAAACAATCCGAGATCTCGCTACTTTTCCCACCAACGCTAGTAAAGTATTGGCGCCTTGTAGGAAGTTGGTGTTCTAAAACCGAGGGAAACATAAAGTTTTAAATTTTCGCGCGCTTTTTTTTCAATTAAGATTAAAATATGATGTTTAGTTTTAATTTTTGTTTTAGATTAGAAATTTTGGGAAATATTTTTCTACGTTTTGATAAACCAGGCAAAGTAAATCTAACGATCCGCTTTCGCAATCTGTAAAAAAGGAAAAAAGAAAAAAAGAAGATGGGTGTCTGTTCTAAATTCTAATATTATTTGTGGATTACATTTGGATATGTTGTGAAAAGTGCATGGACAGAGCATGTGCACAAAGCGGTAAAAAAAAAGTGAAAGTAGCCTGAAAAGGGGGCAATGTTTTCAGCGTTAAAGCAAAGATTGATTCCTGTGTTTTGTCTCCAAGTGATGAGTAAACATTCCATGGCTGCTGCTCATCATCATTCCACCCCCACCTTAGCCTAAATTTTTGGATCTCATGTTTCGAAATCCAATGATATTTTCTACAATAGTATTCTCTCACAAGTGAAATGCTAAGAGCACCCGTTGATGCGCACATGAGTTGCATGGATCGTAAACATTTTACCTGTATTAACGATTGGGAGTTAATTCTTTATTTTCCCGTGACCGACTAATTCGAGCACGGTTTTTTCTCGTAATAAATATCAAGAGAAAGAAAATGTAAAATTGGATGAGGGTGTTAGTTGAGGTGGCTCCATCTCAAGATCAAATTAAATTGGCAACTGCATATTGTGCGAGATGCTCCCAGCAGACCATGCGGTGAGTAACAAGCAGCAACTAGCAATCCAGCTAAGAGCCTAGTTTTGCCTATGAGAGCCTATGAACCAATCAGCAAAGGCAATGTGTCTCCAACTCCAATTAATCTCTTCAAGAGCTACAGAAGATAGTCCTCTTATTAGATCGGCTTCCATGGTCCTCAAAATTTTATTTTTCTGATCACATGCCTTTCCTCACGATTTTCATTATTATGATCACTGTTTTTATTCATGTAGCAGTAACAAAGCCGATGCCCTATTCAATTTTGTGGTCCTTCAATCATACAAGTCATATGGTCTTTGTAGACTTTCAACTCTCTCTCTCTCTCTTGTTTTTCTCTGCAAATTTTGGACCGGTTCAGTTTTTAATGTAAGGTTTTCTGTTTTCCTTCTCTCTTTCTTGCATGAGGAATAGTAAACTGCTGGGGTCATTGTTGTGCCCTTTATGATATATCACTTGAGCAAGAAAGAGTTCAAATTTGGTGGGGTTTGCTAATAGATAAGGGAACCTCAGCATGCTTGTCTGTTCAAAATTAGGTTTGCCCACTTAGTTTTTGATCACCAAGAGCGGAATAGTTTCCAACTTTCCCCATATTTCCACCGTGAAAAAAGATGAATCACTAGATTAAGATTTAATTGATGTCGTTTTTAAGACTTGTGAAACATGTCTATCTTCTCTCTTAAAGGTTTTGTATGTACATGTTATGAACTCCGTTTTGTTTCATAATTTCAGAACATGAATGTGTATCTATTGTTATATGTGATGGGTTGTCTCTGACCACACACAGATATATAATTAGTACAAAGAGTTTGATTGATGCATTAAAGCCACCTAACAAGGCATTTCCTTCATTCCATTGAATTCCCATGCTCCCTTTCTGAGTAGAAATCTTCCAAGAAAAAAAGAAAAAAAAACCAAAGGGTTACTCAAATAAGGGGAAGATGGGGTCTTTGTCATCTCAGAAGGGCACAAGCTTATCTATGAATGTGTAAGAGATGCAGACAGGTGCACTGGCACTAAGCACATGCCCATCTCTCATGGACTTTTCAATCATTTTTCTTCTTTTTTTCTTTGGGTTTTTTGGTTTTTGAATGCTGGCTCAATCAAGTTATAGGTGACCACATTTGCCCAAAATTTAACTTAAATTTGTGTCCTAGTCTTGTCTTGGTAAGTTGTCATCATCATCCCCCCCAATCGTTGTCTCCTCCATAGGGTTCTTTGCCAGGATGAAAATTTTGACTATGCAACGTGAGTTCATTATTGGCTCTCTCTCTCAGTTGTATTGTACTACTGCCCCCCCAGTGAAATTAATCAAACCAAACCAAAGGGTCACAGTCCTATGCAAAGTCACTATAAAAGGTCCTTTGGAATTCATATATGGGCAATCATCTAGTACCTTATTTGGTTAATGTATCCCATCTGCTACCAATTCAATTGTCTCTACAACCCATGTTTTTATATCACCGCATGCTAGCTACTTTATAACTATTTGCCTATGAACTCACGGATTTTCCTCATCCCATGATTTTTAATTTTCTTTGAAAAGAAAAACCCACATACCCAATCGTTAATTAATAACCTGTAAGTCAAGAGGTTAAGATCAGTTACCTTATATCCGAGCACTCGTATTCCCTGCTCAGAAATCACTTGTATACAAAAAAATGAAAAAAAAAAAAATTTCACACAAAGGAAAATTATAAAAGTTTGAAGTGGATCGGGCCTTGTAATCTACAAGGCAAGGATTGCTTTGGTTTGCCTTTTTTTATATTCATTCTGGGCCTTATCCATATGGGTTTAGGCTCTAATGTAGAATATGGACGTTTCAAAAACTACCGAGGTCTATTAAATTATCGGCCAATAAATTGCTCCTCAATCAGTCAGCCTTGGAGGGCCATGGACATCCGCCCCCAGCTTCTCACCTCAGATTGAAGAAATAACCAAAAGCCAAGCTGCTAAGGCATCTACTTCGCCTTGCCCATTTATGAGTATGCTTTTCTGTCAAATTCTCAAAACTATATTTAGTATTTTCTCGAATTTGTGCTTGTTTATGTATGCTATGGGGGAATAATTTGCACACAGAGCCTTCCGGCCTATGTTCTGCACAGATTGTTTGAGACCGTTTGATTTTCATCAAGTTTGGATGATGATTATGATGATGATGGCATGTCCCCAATTGTCATTTGAATGAAAACCCTTCAAGTCTTTAGCTTTTTATATCACACACACACACAAAGCATGATGGCATTACAGTGTTTATGAGCAAATGGAGAGGTGAGAGAAAGTGAAAATGCTGCTTACAATATGAACTCAATTAAGGGACATGAGGACACTTCATAATGACTAGCTAATGACATCACAAGGGTTTTGTGGGAGGATAAGCACAGAATTTAGGTGTAGTGGCTATAGTAAAAGCCTGTAAGTATCTTCATTGGAGAATTTGAGGGCTGAGCTCTTTGCCCCCCATCAGTATTTTTGGTACCAATTTGATGGTTTTCTTTTTTTTTTTTAATCCAAAGTTGTGTTTATTTTGTAGATTAACTTGTGTTGCTTGACATGCAAAGAAGATGCGTATCTGAATGATGCTTGTTAGAACTTTAGAAGAAGAGCAAAAAATTATTCTTTGCTAGTTGTTTTTGTTTTCCTAGACTGTGAACATACTTAAAATATCCACCACTATCTCTGCTATCTGAACACATGAAAAACTTCAAAGTATTTTCATTATGGAAGAAATCCACTTCCATAAGTGATAAGTTGAATATTTTAATGGGTCAAAGTTGGTCATAGCACTTTGTTACTCTCTTGGTGAGACAGAAAAGACGGCAGAGGAGTCTCTGAACTTGGTCATTTAGCAGCAAACTGATGGTGGGAGACATTGCTGGGCCACCCTCTGCTGAACTTATACCCTACATTAAATCTCAGGTCAAAAACCTCTTTCTTCTCACAAGAAAACCGAATTAGCTTTTCAATTAGGGAAAAAAAGAAGATTTGAATTATAATGCCTTGTCAATTGTCATATGTACATCATCATCATCATTATTATTATTATTATTATTCTTTTTTCTCTCATGCCTCATGAACCACATTTTTAAAACAAATTTGTTTCAACTAGGATCAACAAGTTCCTTGAGTTGACACACCATAATCTTTCAGTTGCTTGTTGGAGCTGCAAGTTTCATCTGTTGTAACAAATTTGTATCACAAACTTTCAAGTCCAAGAACCAGATATTTAGCATTGAGCTTTGTTGTGATGACATTTCTTTGACATTCTATAGCAGCTTGAGTTTTTGCATACTTCATCCAAAATCACCTATTTCCCCCTTGGTAAGCATCCCATGGTGTTATTTGGAGCAGTCATTAGTGTTGTGCCTCTGGTTTACTTTGCCTGCATAAATCATGATTTATAAGATGCTGTAATTATTATGATAATTAATATGAACAGAGTAAAGAAATGTATATTGAATCATTACATAGTTTGAAGCATGGTTGCTTGAGTGCTGGATCATTGGATAGCTCTGGAGGGTCCTGACCAAATATCATCTCACAGCTCATATCATCAAAATCTGCAATATTCAATGATACAGTGGAATTACATCAACAGTTCAACTCTATTTCACTGATCATGGATTTTGAAAATTTTTACTATAATTAGCCGCCAGGTGGTGCATGCGAAAACCGTTGATATTGGGTGCTTTGTGGTGACATTATGTGTGGGGCATAGTAAAGATGATTGGTCTCATGGAGGAAAAGGAGAGTTCAGAATTAGCTTGGAACAAATCATGAAGTTTTGTACATTTGATATATGACTAGGAATTCAGATCCCAAAATCTCATGTTAGAAATTTTGTGTTTCATATGGTACTAATCTATATATGCTTGGGGTCCTCACCTGAATGCTGGGTCAACTTGCAATTTTGCACCCTTTGTGGTTTATGCATGGACCCTCCATTGACATGATGAGCATGGCCCTCCACATTTAAAGTGCCTATTACTTTAACAGATTTACTTCTTTCTATTTTTGTTGATCCTTAACTGTTTGAATAGCAGATTTACTAAAAGAGAACATATGTTTTGTTGCCGGAAGTTTCTCTTGCATTAAGATCCTGAAATACTCTGAATATACTCCTGTTTAATTCTGGAAACTTACTTGGGACCATGTTGACTGGAGTTCCAAGGGAAGATTTGATAAAGCTTTGAGATGGCATCTTACACATGTTAATGCACATCCCAACACAATTGGTTTCCTCTAAAAACCTGCAAATTTTTTGGACAAATGACAGCAGAACAACTTAGATAATTATCCCAGAACGAAAAATCTGAGAAAGGAAACTGTTAAGCTCAGTTTATGTGATAATTAGATGGTTATGATGGTAATACAGAAGAAAGAAGTCCACAATCATGGGTGCAGATTGGTTTCAAGCAGCGAAGGTGTCTTAGGTTGGTGAGGTGGGTGGGGTCCTTTTGGGGTTAAATGACGAAGCTAAACAAAACTTACCTGCATTTCTTTATGTAGACTACATTTTTCTCTTTTCTTCCATCGAGCTCCGATTCCCTTACCTTCAAGATTAAATCACTGTAGTTAGATTCCCATTTCAACTCCATTTAAAATGCTTGCTGTCTCTGTCGCTAGTTAACATCCGAATAAGTATACTTTTAAGTTACGTGATAAGAGAGGTAGACTCATAAATGCATATAACCGGTAATATGACAGATTTTCTCGTGCGAGCGAGATTGTGTATGTGATTGACCACTAATGGGTTGTGATATTTACACATTTGTTTGGCACAGAGATATCACACATGGAGTTGTGTGCTCCACAGATAAATGCATGGATGCAATAATTCAAAGAGCAAGGGATCTATCTAAGTAATGATATGCTTCTACGACCGGCCAAATGTAGTCTTGAAGTCACTAAATTCAAAAGTGAAAAAAAGTACTAACAATAAATAGATTCACATAATATAAAGAAGAATACTTTGTTCTACTTACCTCACAGGGCCCCACCAACCAGGCAAAGAAGACGGTGGTGAAGATAGCAAAGTATTCCCTTGCAAATTTCGATTGTGGAAGTATTGCTCTAAGCTGTCATTGGAAAACACAATTTATCAGACAAATAATGAAACCTATGCAAACGAAGCTCAAAAAACCCAACAAAATGGCAGCAAACGGAAAAAAAACAAAGGCACCGCAGGCAGCCAAACAACCAAACATATCTTGATAGCAGCAATAATTCTGTCATTCGTCACAATGTTCCTCACCAGCTAATTGGATTTTTTTTTTCCCCCAACAGAATTTCATTAACAAAGTTGCCTTTCAACATTGAAATCAGATAGTTTTGAAAAAAAAAAACAAAGAAAAAAAAAAAAAAAAAAAAAGAATAGCTGGAAAGAAGACAATGGTTATATGAACTTGCCAGGGAAAATATAGGCTTTGGGAAGGCACTATCTAGAGCTTGAATAACTAGTTCTCTCTGTTTTGCTGGATTAAATTTTCTCGATGCAGCTGTAGCTGCCTCTACCAAGCTTTCGAAGCCACTCTTGTTGTTCTTCAACCCTGCATAAAAACAAAACAAAAAGACTCAAACAATGTCATTTGCGTGATTTTTGTTTTAGTCCCTTCCTTGAGAAAATGAAGATGAATGGAAGAACAAAAGTGAAACCTGTTGCAGCTTGAACATTCTGAGACAGATGATTAATGGCCATCCGATCAAACCAGTTATCATTATAGACTCTGCTCTTTTCTTCTGCACCAGTGACTACATCTGCTGGTATTATTATAGTTCTGCTTTTGCCTGTTGCTATGTTTATATTCTCCGCCGGCCGCGTTAGCACTGCAGCAATCGAACAGTGTCTTAGCTTATTGTGTTCATGTGCATGCCTTGAGTGAGCCAGAGTTGCAGCAAAGCTCCTCCTGCTTTGTAAAAAATGTGATGCTTCCATGTATGGCAGAGATAGATGAAGAGAAGAACTAAGGGGGTTTGAGAAGGAGATGTTGTTTACACAGTTATTTTTGTGGAGAGAGAGAGAGAGAGAGAGAGAGAGAGATGGTAATGAATGGGAACAAACAAGGAGTGCATGGTGAGCATTTTAAGGAAAGCCCATATCAGATATCCTGTAGTTTTGGAATGATGCCAACTTTTTTTTTGGACAAAAAATGATGCCAACTTCAAACTCTTAAAAGATGCCTTTTGATTATTCATTTGTTTGTATTGGTGTATTGGGAATTTGGTAGGAGCCAATTTCCAAGTGGAAGTAAAATAATAAGGTATTTGGTAAAAACAAAACCAAACATAAATTGAGAGTAACGTCAGCCGCAAGAGCATTGGTTAGCCTAGTGGGTAACATCAACGGAGTTGCTATGTCCCTTGTGTAAATTAACTTTGTTAATCAATTTGTAATTGTTGGGAAAAAAAAAATTGGCTCACTTAAAAGATGCAACGAAAAGTCTAGAGCAAAACTGGAGCAAAACAAGGACTTCTCTCCCTGTGCTTTGCTTCTCTATTTCAATGCAAGTACCACCTAAGTCATTTATGAGAAACTGGAGCAAAACAAGGACTTCTCTCCTTGTGCTTTGCTTCTCTATTTCAATGCAAGTACCACCTAAGTCATTTATGAGCTCTAGGGAGGTTGGCAATTGTTGAGGCCCAAAATGTCACGAGAAGTCCAAGAATGTTTAAAGCCCAATATAACATATAATGTTGATCATATGTTAATCTAAGCTGTGTTTTAGGAATTTATCCATGAAATAAATATATAAATAATATACATGCCATGCCAATTATCATATGCTAAATCACCCGACAAGCTTAAGTGGGCCCAAGCCACATACATATCTGGGACTTGTTGAGCGGGTTGTGGTGTGCATGGTTACAAGTGTCCATAAGGCCCGTTGAGGGATCAGAGAGTGCTGCCTGGGCATCAAAACTCATGCCCGCTTTCCTTCCTGACCCCAAATACACGGGTAAGCAGAGAGAGAAATACCAGCAGACCAGCAACAAATGCTCACTCTTCCAGCAATTAAAGCCCAACTGTCATTGCCTTTGCTTTCCCAGTTTCCACCGTCCATCATTAAACTTCAACCACCAGCACCTCCCATTTAAACCTCAACTGCCAGTTTTCCAGCAATTAAAACAGGGACACTCTGCATGCCCAATCTATAAATAGGCTTTCTCCTGCTTAGAACGGAGGACGACAGAACCAGCAAGCCATACACCCGACGCTCTCAAACTCACCGATCCAGTTCATAAATCGTCATAATCTGAGACAATTCAGCGGTGGGGCGGATGGGTTTGACTTTGATCAGAACAAAGAGGTGGACATGATCAACCTCAAATTTGCAGAGGCAAGGGAGGAGATAGAGATGGCCATGGAGTCCAAAGAGACTGTTTATTTTGATGAAGAGGCAGAGTGTGCTCGAACTGCTGTGAAGGAAGTGCTGGACTGTTCAATATCTTTCTTTATCCGATAAAATCCATATTTTTTTACCAGAAAAGGAAAAAGGGTCATTCTTTTTCTATCAGAATAAAATCTGTCTTTGTTATTATACAATATTTATAAAGAAGATAATTACAAGAGAGAAAATATTGTAGACTAATAAAAAATGATGCAAATTCTGGAAGGGAAACCAGATATGAAAGATCTTCAATGCAAAGTGAAAAATAAAGGGAAAAAAACGTACTCAACATCCAACCCAAATCTTCCAGATCATCAATTCTAGAGAGAAACATAAAGATGAATGAATTTTTTTATTATTAATAAAATCGAAAAATAAATTGAAAGAGAGCCAAGTAATCCATAACAGAGACACCAGTTATTACCAAAAAAAACAGAAGAGAGAGGAGATGAGAGAAGAAGAGAGACGAGAAACGAGAGATGAAAGACAAGAGAGGAGAGAGGAGACCACGCAGAGCAGGCTGAGGGAGCAACGCGAAGCATATTGAGGGAGACGACGCGAGAGAAGAGAAGACGAAAGCTCATTTCTGCGTTAGTCTTCAAAACCCATGTCTCAGCGTGGGTTTTCAAATCCAGCTCCACGCTCGAATACGTCTTGTCCTGGTCTCCAAGCTATGCTCGCATATTTCTTTTGAATGTGACTATTGACCTCCTGATAATTTCGAAGACTGGTTCTTCCGGGACAGGTATACACTTGACAATCCAACCAATTGGCCATGACACAGCTGCAATTAAAATACAAGTCACCCATTGAAACAAGTTCAACTTCTCTGTATCTGCAAACTTTTTGAGGAACTCCACCATCACAACTTGAAGAAGAATAGTTACCCCCAGAATCCCAATAAACAGTCTGTTCCTGTGAATGCCTTTGAACACATTCTGCTTCTCAAAGTATCGTTCACCTGACCAGTGACATTGAAGATAGACTCTCCCCGGAACTGCAAGATCAAGAGGACAGCTATTTGGTACAGAGCTTGAAATAAAAGGTTTCTCCACATAATGTTGGTTATGAGCGGCGCGGTTCGGCCAACAGGCTGCTTCTCCATGAGCTCATTGGTAGGCCGCTCGGTTGCAAGAGCCAGAGCACCAAGCTGTTAAGGGAACATCTCCAGCTGAAACTTCTGCAATGAAGTTGATAACCAGAGCTGCCACATTGACAGTAAGCTGAAATTGTATGAATTTCTGTATGTTGTTGTAAACGCATCTGCCCCATCTCAAAACTGTGGCCACAGAGTTGAAGTTGTCGTCCAATATGATGATGTCCGAGCTCTCTTTCGCCACCTCAGTGCCCTGGATCCCCATGGAGAGTCCTATGTCAGCTTCTTTCAATGCAGGTGCGTCGTTGGTGCCGTCTCCTGTGACTGCAACCACATGATTTTTCTGCTTCAAGCATTGCACCATCAGAAGCTTGTTGAACGGGGAGGATCTGGCCATCAGGAGGATGTTATCAACCTTTTCCATTCTCTCTTCGTGTGTATAGTTTCGAAACTCGACTCCTTCTATCACTTGTTCACCATAATTTGCTTCGTCCTCAATCTGCAGTATTCCGCATTCTGTAGCTATGGCTTTTGCTGTGTAAACATTGTCTCCCGTTATCATTTTGATTTGCACACCTGCAGACTTGCAGATCTTCACGGCATTGAGGACCCCTGGTCGACATGGATCTTTGAGACCAACTACTCCTAGCAAGATCAGTTCATCTTCTTTGAGCCTTGGGTGAGTCTTCTCATCATTGCTGTATTCAATTTCTTCCTCTAAAATTTGTGTGTGAGCAAAAGCAATGCACCGGAGGCTGCTAGCTGCCATGCCTTGGATTATTTTCTCAATGTTAGACCTACTTTCTTCATCCAACGACTTTATAGCTCCGTCGGTTTCATAATAACTTGAGCACATGGCAACTATCATCTCAGCAGCTCCTTTCCAGTGCACATGGATGGATTTATCTTCCTTTTTCTTTATAAGAACTCCGCTTCGTTTCTTATCTGAGTTAAATGTTTCAACTTGAAGAATATCATAACTAAGCTTCATTTTTTCCATGTCCATGCCCAAATCTGAAACAGCCCAATACAGAATAGCTTTTTCTGTTGGACTGCCAGAGATGTTAGGTTTGGATCCTGAGAGAGGTATGTAAACACTCCCAGTTGTGTTCAAACCAACTCCTTGATGGAATAATTCAGAGACATTTTGTTTGATTGAATTATGTTTTTCAATAGGTTCTTGGCCAAGCCAAAACTTAGTGACTTCCATTTCATTTTTTGTCAAAGTACCTGTTTTGTCTGTACAAATAACGGTTGCTGATCCCATTGTCTCACAAGCTTGTAGTTTTCTGACCATAGCCTGATCTTTCATCATTCTTTTCATTGAGTAAGCTAGCGTTAGTGTGACCGCCAACGGCAAACCCTCTGGGATTGCCACCACCCCAATAGTGACTGCAGCAGAAACAATTCGAACCACTCCGTTCAACACATTATCTATGTTTTTGTTGCTACCACTATACTCCTTATTTCCGTACTCATCTTTTGTGTTACCGGTGAAATAACGAATCAACAAGACTACCAGAACTAGGAAAGCAACTATAAGGCCTACTTTTCCAATAGAAGAGGTTAGTTTGTCAAGCCTTGCTTGTAATGGTGTTCTTTTGTTTGTGTCCTGCGATATTAAGCTCATCATTTCGCCCCAAGCCGTGTTCATCCCAACTGATGTGACGAGCATTTGGGCATAGCCGTCTACTACCTTTGCACCAGACAACAGGAAGGGGTTCTTGGCAGAATCAACTTCTACATGGTCACTCTCTCCCGTCATGCTCGATTCGTCCACTTGTAAGGAATGGCCGTCTAGGAACAATCCGTCTGCAGGTATTTGATCTCCCAACTTCAGAAGCACAACATCTCCAACTACAGTATCGAAAATGGAGACTTGTTGTCTCTGTCTGCCTCTAAGTACCTCAACTTTGATGTTGCTACTTATTTTCGACAACCTGTGGAATTGCAATTCTTGTCTAAAGTTACTCAGAGCTGTTTGGGCCTAAATTTGACACACCTAGTCCAAAAGACCAAAAGCCCATGTTAATCTTGGGCAGCCACCAGCATTCTTTGAAAATTGGGCCAAAATCTTGCAAACACAGCCCAATATCAAGGAACCCAGAAAATCCAAAAAGGCCAAACCAAGATTGATCAGATTGGCAAGAGAAGTTTGGGCTTGAAAAAAACCCAGCCTTTAGTTTGGAAAATGGGCCCGGCCTAATTTAAGCAAAGAGACAAAACAAAAGGGCCAAGTCTTTTTTCAAAAAGAGAGGAGCCCACCATTAGCGCAGATCATATTAAAGATATCACAAAGTTGATTAGAGCTTATTTTCAGGAGCTCACGTGACTATCAAAAATAGAAATGTCAACAATTTCAACTATCACACAGTTGATTGGGAATTTAAAAAGAAAGGGGCAGTAGCTGGCAAAACTGGGAAGAGACATCTCTGAAAAACTCTGAAAATCAAAACCCTTCTATATATATATATATATATTCAGAGATATTTCCTCTACTCCAAATAGGGTAATTGTCCCAAGAGATAAGTAGGCCTTATTATTCAAAGAAGATAAGCAGGAGGGCAGAGAGTTGTTCAAATGAGAAATCAAGCTAACCATCACAGTTTGAGATCTCACAAGGGGCAGTTGAATTGGGAAAAGGGATTAGGTTTCCTTTCAAAAGAAAAAAAACAGAGAAGTGATCTTAAGGATTGATTGATTAGAGCCTATCTCACAAAATTTAATTAGAACCTTTTTTCTCTCTTGTATCTCTTGTTTAGATCTTTTTGCAAAGATTTGCCGCCTATTATTTTAAAAAAAGAAACCTTACTCCTAAACATCTCTTATAAATAGAAGAGAGGGTGAAGACATTCGACAACAACCAACAATAAAAAAAAACAACCAACAATAAAAAAAAACAACCAACAATAAAAAAAAACAAACAATAAAAAAAAACAACTCAAAATCAACCAAAAACTCACTTGAACTCCAAGAGAAACCAGCTTTAGATCATAATTCCCAAAGTTCAGACTTAGAAAATAAGTCAACCAAAACGAGATCTCTCTCGTTACAAATTCGGTTCAGTAAAAGCCAAGACAAGCAGAGTTTGAGTTTTTCACAAATTTGGTTCCTAAGGAACAACAAGGCAAACTTGTTCCTAAAGAACGACTTGAATTATCATGGGACGTACCCACTTTGTCTCATCTCGATCCTCGTACCGCTCAATGCGAAAATGAAGTGAGAAAGATCGTTCACCTCCAAAGTATTGCAAATCAGATGCCAGATGCATTTAATAATGCAGCAAAGGTGACGAAATCATATATCCCAGCTGCAAATGCACCTGCAAGGATTGATGTCCATAATGGGCAAAGCAATGTGCCAGCAAATGGTTCATTTGCTACACGCCTGAAGCATGGCAGACCACTAAGCTCAAAGGATTCAATTCCCCAGAAGAGGAAGTTGATGACCAAAATGAATTCAAATGAAATAAATGGATAGCCCCTAATTCATAATTCAAATGCCCCCTAGAGGGACAAGTACTTCCTAAAAAGGAAAATGTCCTTGGTGAGACAAGTGCCCCTGAAGTAGCAGCTGTACCTGAAATTCAAGAACTCTCCACAAATTATACATTCACTAATGAATTGTATAATAGAAACGAGATGATCATCGATGATATTGAGTCGTGCTCTATTGATGAATGCACACAGAGGCAAGATTGGCCTAAGTGGAAAGATGCAATCCAGACATAATTAAATTCTTTGGAAAAAAAATGAGTGTTTTTGAACCTATTGTTCCAACTCTACCCAATGTGAACCTTGTAGGTTACAAATGGGTATTTACAAGAAAGCGCAATGAGAAAAATGAGATCGCAAGGTATAAAGTGCGACTCGTTGTGCAAGGTTTTTCACAAAGGCCTGGAATTGATTATGTGGAAACGTACTCTCCAGTAATAGACGCAATTACGTTCCGTTACTTAATAAGTTTGGCGGTTTCAAAAAAACTTGAAATGAGACTCATGGATGTCATTACCGCATATCTATATGGAGAATTGGATACAAATATATACATGAAAGTCCCAGAAGGACTTAAGCTGCCTGAAGCAGCCAGGAATAAACTACGGGGCATGTTCTCAATTAAATTGAGAAGATCATTATATAGGCTAAAACAATTTGGGCGAATGTGGTATAATCGTCTCAGTAAGTATTTACTGAATGAAGGATACACAAATTATCCTACTTGACCATGTGTGTTTATTAAGAAATCAGAGTCTGGATTTGCGATAATGGCAGTATATGTCGATGACATAAATCTAATTGGAACTCCTGAATAGCTCCAAAAGACTGCTGATTATCTCAAACATGAGTTTGAGATGAAAAACCTTGGAAAGACAAAATATTGTCTTGGCTTATAGATTGACTGAGCATAGTGCTAATGGAATTTTGGTGCATCAATCAACTTCTACTGAAAAAGTATTGAAGCGGTTTGGCATGGATAAAGCACATCCACTTAGCACTCTAATGGTCGTTCGGTCGCTTGACACTAAGAAAGATCCGTATCGTCCAAAAGGGGATGATGAAATGGTCCTTGGTCCGGAAGTACCATATCTTAGTGCGATAGGTGCTTTATTGTACTTAGCACAATGTATCATACCAGACATAGCATTTTCAGTGAATTTGTTAGCAAGATACAGCTCTGCTCTAGCAAGCCGACATTAGAAAACTTGTTTTGGAACTGAGAATTGATATAGGAAACAAGCCACAAGAAGGAAAAATCTTGAATTAGTTGAATTTATAAATATTACAACAAACAAGTTAATTGAATCAATTCAAATAAGAAATTGGACAGCTTAAAACAAGTGAAAATGGTCCAACTATGACATGATACTAGTATAGAACACTTGTCACTCAAATTAATTCCACAAATTGACTAAAGAAAGACAAATAAATCAAAGCAAATAAATGAGCTAAAAATCTATTGAGAAAAATGCATGCATATTGCATAATTTGAACAACTATTGAAAGCAACGTATCTGAAATTATTGTTTAGATATCTGAAGGTAAGCCATATGAGTCTCTTTTTTTAATGGGCAAAGAGATTATCCATAAGATGAAAGCGAACAAACAGTATAGACATGAAGCCAAAAGAAAGGCGGGAAACACCTAATGCAACCAAACAGCCAGGAGAAAAAGAAAACAAGATAGACTAGAGAAAGCAAAGAAAACAAAGACAGATGTCTTAGTCTATCCACTAAATACATAAGGATCGAGTCTGGTTAAACCAAGCTCTTGTAAAGACATGAGTACCTTGTTTATCTTCATTTTTTCATCTTCCCCAAAAACAAAAACAAACGTGAGAATCATGCATAGGATGGTGGGATTTTTTATGGGGTTTGGTATTTATATCACTCACTCAAAAGTCTCACACAATACACCATTTAACAAAATACCTCAAAATCGGTAAGTTTTTTAATACCACCGTACTTTTTCTTATCTTTTAAAAGTCCTAATTGAATACCACAAGACTTGGATTGATTATTTAAAAATCTTATTTGAATACCACCAGATTTTTATTGATTACTTAAAAATCCTAATTGGATACCACTAGACTATTAAGCTTCAAAACAATTTATTAAAATCTCAATTGAATACATCCCCCAAAGTCAGACAAATCCGTTCAAGCGATAACCTGGCAGATCTATTCACCGAGTCTTTGCCAAAATGTACATTCCAAAAGCTAGTGCATGGTCTCGGATTACGTCGACTCTACAAGCAATCAAATTGAAGTATGCAAAATCAGGGGGAGCATTCAAAAGTCCTTTAACACAAGATATATGAGCGTTGTACTCTTTTTCCTTCGTCTATGGTTTTTCCTAGCAAGGTTTTAATGAGGCAACCAATTAAGGGACTTGTGGTCTCCAAGGGGGAGTGTTGTAAAGGTTTTTGTGTGGAGCCAAGGTCGGTCTTGAGATTTTGAAGGCCCTGTACGAACCTTAAATTGGGGCCTCACATAAACTAACACAAACTTACACCATTATGTAATGCCATACAATAAATGTTTTTTTTAAGTGACCAAAGTACCCCTACTCCCAAGGACAAAATTGAAATTTCACAAAAGAATTAAATTGGATTAAATCGATTAAATTGGGTCAGGGATGTTACACCTTTTGAATAATCACCATGATTGTGACGATGAGTCTTTGTCATCATAGATCATATTCAGATATTAAATATTTTTTAACACCTAATTTATTTTGTATCAATATTCCATGAACATCATTAATTCGATGCAATTATTTTGGTTGAGTTAGTTGGATGCATTATTTTTGCAAAATTGAATATTTGAGCATAATTACTGACTAATTCCTTGTGATCGGGTATTTATTATTTCAGTTTGTGGTTGGGAAAGTAGCTGGGATATTGAATGTTGGTGTTGACATCAGACAAGCCTTTAACACAAGCGGGTTTTGAAGTCGCGCCCTGAATAGAAGTTGAGGCCTTGCAAACCAACACAACTTGGAACGTCTTTGTGTCAACAATTTGCTCAATTAAGGGACTTGTGGTCTCCAAGGGGGAGTGTTGTAAAGGTTTTTGTGTGGAGCCCACTAACTATTCATTTGAAGACTTTGGGTAAAGTTGTCTGCAACTTGCCCTTACTGCACATTCACATGGGTTGGCTGCCTCTACCCAATCTGCCTATAAATAAGGCATTATCCTGCCTTTGCAAAAACACCAACAATCAGAGAGAAACAAGAGAGAGCCCAGGCAAATAACAGAGAGAAATTCTCCAAGAGAGAAAAATCAGTGAGCCACATATATTGTAAACACCAAAATTGTAGCCTATTATTTTATATAGTGGAAAAATTACTGTTGTTGCTCTCCGAGGACGTAGGTATGGCCGAACCTCGTTAAATGTTGTGTCTCATCTACTTTACTTGTAGGTCAATATTCTAGCACATATTTCATCTATTTTATAACAAAAATAAAAAGAAAAGGCCAACCTCATATGAGTTTCAATCAAAATTGGATATCCCAAATAAACCCTATCATCCCCAACTCTTAACCTTACCCCTCCACACCTGAACCACCATTACCCACACCGGCCAACTCCCAACCACATTCCTTTTTTCTCAATCCTCCTTTGCCTCCATCATCCATTAGCTTTTCTCTTTGTGCTTTTTTCATTATCATTGACTATCTCTCACTCTCCAATTTGGTACAAGTAAATTCCATTACATTCATTTAGCAACGAAACCATGAAAGGATCTCTCTCCCTCTCTGTATTCTTTGATTCATTTGGTAGAAACCCATTTGTTTTTAAAGGCAAAAGAAGGGTTGTGAAGTGGGCATAAGCCATGGCAGCTCCTAAACCATAAGAGATAAGCCATCCACCAATGGACCAACCCTCCACAATTTGTTTGGAAAATTAATTTCTCTCTTAAATTTCAAAGTAATTTCTCTTTATGCTTTAATTAATTAAGATGGATTGTTAGGTTTTGGTTAATTGATTGAGTTTTTGTATAGATTTTTTTGAATTTATTTATTTGTATATATTTTTAGTTTTTAATTAATTAATAAAGATTGTTGTGGTTTGATTAAATGATTAATATGGTGAATATGATTAATATAGTGTTTTTAGCCTTTTAAACATTGTTTAAATTATCATGTTATTTGGTTGTTTTTGTTTTGTTAAGCTCTTAGCCTTTGAAATATTTCCCCTTCCTTGAAAAATTTCTAGGTCCACCGTTGATTGCAGAGGGCGATGGGGCTCAAGATTGAGCAGTTGAAGGCTGAGCTGAAACAGTTGGATGAGTGATAATGAGGTACCCCTGTAGCAGCATAACTCAACACTAGTGAGAAAGTTCTTTCCCCATTCTAAGTTTACAGTAACTACCAACCGAAAGCTCGACTTCCCCACCAAGCAAGATGCAGAACCCAGAAGATTTCGTCGTTCGAGATGGAAGGATGACCAGCCGACCCACCAGCAGATGGCCAGCAGTGACCGTTGCCCGAGTCGACTTTGATGTGCTTCACGCCCGACTACTTGAGCCCCTCACCGACACGCTCAGGGGCCACAATCCACTTCGCCATCAATTTGATGGTACGCAAGCCGAGATTGATGACGCCATCGAGAAGGCCGCCACAATGCTCCTCGATCAAGCTCTTTTCGAGCTTTGGAATCGCCTCAGAGTCATAGCTGAAACCTATGATAATCAGACCAGAACTAACGTGTTTAAAAATCGGGCCCCAGTGATGGAAGGCTTCCAACTACCGAGGTTCTATGCCTCCCTCCTCTCCTCAATTGGACCCCTCCGAATTGAGGACTCTTTCTTCGACACTACAGTTATCTACTCTCCAGCTCAAGCCCTCCGCGACAACTTTGGTCGTGCTGCGATGCCCAACATCAACAGCCAGGATATCCTCCACTTCATCCAGCAGCTTGGAGGTGCCCACATTCCACTTGGCACAATTCAACACCGTGGATCACAAGGTTCATTCTTTACCACCTGTGCTAGAGTTGACAATAACTATGACAGCTACAACATCCTTGGAGCTTTCAATGCCAGACACTACAGTCGGATTGATACAGTCATAGGCATGCTTCTCCGCCCCTTCGGCCATGACGAACATCCATTTGAAGACCTATCCACCACACTCGGCTTCGTCGACAATGAAGATGTGATTGCGGCACTCGAACTTATCCCACTCCCTGCCGACGCCGACCAACCTGCCGCCGCTGACCCACTTGCTCGCCACATCCAGGGTGATTACAACATCTACGAAACTGGGATTGCCCCTCCTAGTGACGTTCCAGTTCCTGGACGCGGACGCGGGATATACATCCTTGGAAGAGGCGATGATCGTATCGGAACATGCTCACTCGCTCGTGACCTTAGCGGCCTCGAGATTGCAGCAATTTTCCGCCACCGCATAATTCAAGCCCCAGCATCGCTGTAGGGGGCCTTTTTGTTACAGCAGCTTGTTAAAGGAAAATCAATTACACAATCTGATTGAGAGTGATTGGAGCTTCTGATATTGTCAACTCTTGGGATAGAGTGATTATAAGATGTAAATGTAATTAGCTTTATTCTAGGATCCGTTTACTATAGGTTCTGTATAAAATCTTACTTTGTGTACCAATATTGATATCATTGCAATATACAAATTCTCAATTCAAGTTGGTATCAGAGCACCGATCTTGGTGACTCTATCACGCTTCCACCACCATAACCACCGTAGTCCTCCCATAACCACCACAGATCTCTCACAAGCATCATGACATAACCAACCAAAAACATGAAACCAGATGAGAATACCATGGAATTCTCAGACCCTTACACCATACACCACTCAGACCATACTGGACTTATCCTAGCTTCCAAACCACTTGATGGGAACAATTATGGGCAATGGAGCCGTGCCATAAGCATGGGTCTCAGCGCAAAGAACAAGATTGGGTTCATTGATGGAACCATTACAGCTCCATCATTCAAGGACGCAAAATATGCAGCCTGGAAAAGATGCAACGATATGGTAACACTGTGGATTGTGAACTCAGTTCACTCAGACATTGCCAACAGCATCATGTACACTGAATCTGCTGCTGCAGTTTGGAACGATCTCAAGGACAGGTTTTCACAGAGCAGTGACTCGAGGATCTACCAGATTCGACAAGAAATGGTCGAAAATCGTCAAGGGCAGCTCTCGGTATCTTCCTATTACACCAAGATGAAAGCCTTGTGGGACGAGTTAGCATCCTGCCATAATCTTTCAGTTGCTTGTTGGAGCTGCAAGTTTCATTTGTTGTAACAAATTTGTATCACAAACTTTCAAGTCCAAGAACCAGATATTTAGCATTGAGCTTTGTTGTGATGACATTTCTTTGACATTCTATAGCAGCTTGAGTTTTTGCATACTTCTTCCAAAATCACCTATTTCCCCCTTGGTAAGCATCCCATGGTGTTATTTGGAGCAGTCATTAGTGTTGTGCCTCTGGTTTACTTTGCCTGCATAAATCATGATTTATAAGATGCTGTAATTATTATGATAATTAATATGAACAGAGTAAAGAAATGTATATTGAATCATTACATAGTTTGAAGCATGGTTGCTTGAGTGCTGGATCATCGGATAGCTCTGGAGGGTCCTGACCAAATATCATCTCACAGCTCATATCATCAAAATCTGCAATATTCAATGATACAGTGGAATTACATCAACAGTTCAACTCTATTTCACTGATCATGGATTTTGAAAATTTGATTTCCTACGCTTTACTATAATTAGCCGCCAGGTGGTGCATGCGAAAACCGTTGATATTGGGTGCTTTGTGGTGACATTATGTGTGGGGCATAGTAAAGATGATTGGTCTCATGGAGGAAAAGGAGAGTTCAGAATTAGCTTGGAACAAATCATGAAGTTTTGTACATTTGATATATGACTAGGAATTCAGATCCCAAAATCTCATGTTAGAAGTTTTGTGTTTCATATGGTACTAATCTATATATGCTTGGGGTCCTCACCTGAATGCTGGGTCAACTTGCAATTTTGCACCCTTTGTGGTTTATGCATGGACCCTCCATTGACATGATGAGCATGGCCCTCCACATTTAAAGTGCCTATTACTTTAACAGATTTACTTCTTTCTATTTTTGTTGATCCTTAATTAACTGTTTGAATAGCAGATTTACTAAAAGAGAACATATGTTTTGTTGCCGGAAGTTTCTCTTGCATTAAGATCCTGAAATACTCTGAATATACTCCTGTTTAATTCTGGAAACTTACTTGGGACCATGTTGACTGGAGTTCCAAGGGAAGATTTGATAAAGCTTTGAGATGGCATCTTACACGTATTAATGCACATCCCCGCACAATTGGTTTCCTCTAAAAACCTGCAAATTTTTTGGACAAATGACAGCAGAACAACTTAGATAATTATCCCAGAATGAAAAATCTGAGAAAGGAAACTGTTAAACTCAGATTATGTGATAATTAGATGGTTATGATGGTAATACAGAAGAAATAAGTCCACAATCATGGGTGCAGATTGTTCCTCACCAGCTAATTGGATTTTTTTTTCCCCAACAGAATTTCATTAACAAAGTTGCCTTTCAACATTGAAATCAGATAGTTTTGAAAGAAAACAAAGGAAAAGAAAAAAAAAAAAAAAAAAAAAAAAAAAAAGAATAGCTGAAGAGAAGACAACGGTTATATGAACTTGCCAGGGAAAATATAGGCTTTGGGAAAGCACTATCTAGAGCTTGAATAACTAGTTCTCTCTGTTTTGCTGGATTAAATTTTCTCGATGTAGCTGTAGCTGCCTCTACCAAGCTTTCGAAGCCACTCTTGTTGTTCTTCAACCCTGCATAAAAACAAAACAAAAAGACTCAAACAATGTCATTTGCGTGATTTTTGTTTTAGTCCCTTCCTTGAGAAAATGAAGATGAATGGAAGAACAAAAGTGAAACCTGTTGCAGCTTGAACATTCTGAGACAGATGATTAATGGCCATCCGATCAAACCAGTTATCATTATAGATTCTGCTCTTTTCTTCTGCACCAGTTACTACATCTGCTGGTATTATTATAGTTCTGCTTTTGCCTGTTGCTATGTTTATATTCTCCGCCGGCCGCGTAAGCACTGCAGCAATCGAACAGTGTCTTAGCTTATTGTGTTCATGTGCATGCCTTGAGTGAGCCAGAGTTGCAGCAAAGCTCCTCCTACTTTGTAAAAAATGTGATGCTTCCATGTATGGCAGAGATAGAAGGAGAGAAGAACTAAGGGGGTTTGAGAAGGAGATGTTGTTTATACAGTTATTTTTGTGGAGAGAGAGAGATGGTAATGAATGAGAACAAGGAGTGCATGGTGAGCATTTTAAGGAAAGCCCATATCAGATATCCTGTAGTTTTGGAATGATGCCAACTTCAAACTCTTGAAAGATGCCTTTTGATTATTCATTTGTTTGTTTGTATTGGAGTATTGGGAATTTGGTCGGAGCCAATTTCCAAGTGGAAGTAAAATAATAAGGTATTTGTTAAAAACAAAACCAAACATAAATTGAGAGTAACGTCAGCGGCAAAACATTGGTTAGCCTAGTGGGTAACATCAACGGAGTTGCTATGTCCCTGGTGTAAATTAACTTGTTAATCAATTTGTAATTGTTGGGAAAAAAATTGGCTCACCTAAAAGATGCAAAGAAGTTAAGTCTGGAGCAAAACAAGGACTTCTCTCATTGTGCTTTGCTTCTCCATTTCAATGCAAGTACCACCTAAGTCTTTTATAAGCTCTAGAGAGGTTGGCAATTTGTTGGGAGAGTTAGGCATTTATGGAAGTTTGTTGATTTGTTTCATGACCCCCCTACTCTTTGGCTCTAGGTAGGGTGGCTGAAAGTTGGGTGTGCAGCTGGAGGATGCAGGCAAATTGCTGAACCTCTATAAATTGTTGTGTCCTTTGTGCTTGGTTATTTCGGGGTGTGTGTGTGTGTGAGTGTTTGACACATCCATTGTGTATTTGTCTAAAGTTCGTCCATCAACAAGAAGATTATTGGGAGTTTTCGCCACAACAGTAACTCTGATGATAACTTGTTTCAGGTTCTACTTTTTATGATTTAACCCATAGAAGCTCGAAGTCCAGCCATTATAATCATGTGGAACATATGAAACCTTGTTTGAGGATTGAAAATGTAGTTTCCAAATTATGTAGCAGAAATTGAAATTTAGGGTCAGCTACATACTGCGAGTATCGATCTACACGCGTGCACATCGATCCGCCTACCCATTGTAGCTTCTTGGTTGTTTTTTGTTTGTTACCAAGTCCAAGCTTCGAAGGATCGCATAAGCATCTAACTTATATTTAATCACAATTAGATGACATTTCCCATGTTGTCACAAGAGCATCCAAATTGTATTTTATTCCAGTTTAGATGTCATTTCCCGCCTTGTCAGCTCTCTTATTGTTAATCTATTTGAGCTATTTGAATGAAATGGGTTTGATGATTGTATTTTATCAAGAATTCAATAGTAGGAGCGTTATATATAGCCCTTAGGTAAGGTCTTATCTCTCAACTTTTAGATCAAATTAATTAGCCGTTGAATCAAATTAGTTAGTAACAATGAAGAGATAAAACTTCATCTAAAGGCCATATATAGAATGACTATATTTTATTGGTCGACAATAATGCAAAGTTGGGCCGTGAAGAGACCAAGATAAACCCAAAAGTCAAGCACAGAAACATAAACAAAATGGCTAGTGAAAGCCCGCATAAAATTGAGATCAATTCATAAGTATTATGAGGATTGTCATCTCCCCATATCTAAAATCCAACTAGCGAATATTTAAATCAGACAGGTGACTTAGCAAGATGCCCCAAAAAATTAGGAAAGGGAGACTTGGTAATCAATATATAATTGCCAAATTGTTGATTTTGCATTCATAAATAATTTAAGCGAAAAATATCCCAGATGTAATTGAAATGGTAATCTCATGTCCTAAGCTTGCTATATTCATCATCAATGGCTATTTCAATTAGCACAAAGACAACCCAACTGCCCACTGAGCCATTGACTAGGATCAAATGCCAAACATACAAAAATATTGGTTCCTCTTACTTGTTCAATTGCCGGCTAATGCTTCAATCACACAAGACTGAAAGATTTGATGACTAAACTACAAATTAATCTTTTTGCCTCAGTACAGGGAACTTTCATTTGCAACAATCATTTAACAAACACAAGCACAAATTAAAAGACACAGAATGTTCAATAAAGACAGATGAATCCTGGTTAAAACTTAAAACTATCCAACAAAACACATAAACATGAACAAAGTGCTACCAGTTCAAAAGGACAAACAACCAGATTGCCCATATGTACTACTACTAACAAACCCAGCTAACCTAAACAACCACTAAAATACCAAACTAAAACAGAGTCATCATATTAAACACAAACATCAGTGGAGATAATCCAATTAAAAATCATCAGCTTCATCACTCCTTGGAGGTCTTGTTGATGAGGGACTTGTGAATGTGGGGGATGACACCACCACCAGCGATGGTTCCTTTGATGAGAGTGTCAAGCTCTTCATCTCCCCTAATGGCCAGTTGCAGATGCCTTGGTGTGATTCTCTTCACCTTGAGATCTTTGCTTGCATTTCCAGCCAACTCGAGAACCTCAGCTGTCAGGTACTCAAGGATTGAGGCCAAGTACACGGCAGCATTGGCTCCAACGCGGCCATGTGCTGCAATTCTGGATTTCAGCTGCCTGTGAATTCGACCCACCGGAAACTACACATACCCAATTGCAAAAGCAACACCAACAACACAAATTAAACTAATCCAATGCAACTCATGAGCATTAAACATGATCACAACAAGTATTTTGGTTCAGATTCTATGAATTTAATAAATTAGAGGATTTAATGAATTGAAAATTTCGAGGGATACCTGGATACCAGCACGAGATGAACGGGAAACAGGCCTCTTCTTGTCCTTCTCCTTCTCCTTGTCCTTGTTAGCTGCTGTGGTTTTCGCTGCCAAAAGCCCCTTCCCGCCTTTGCCCGCCATTTCTGTCTGTAAAAATTATTTTCAAAATTCACAAATAAAAAAATAATAAAACCCAAAACGATAAGATAAACAGGAGACCTAAAAAGCTAAACCAATCAGGACTTCAGAGCAAGTTGAAATTCTGATTTTAATAAACAGAAAAATATTTAGGAGAAAGTTATGCAAATCTGACACTGAAACACCGTCGGTGAATAAAATGAAGGCAAATCTAGACTAAGTATTTACAAACAAAAATAAATAAATATCCAAACTCGGTTGATGAAGCGAAACGAGAACCAGATCTGTAAAAGTATCGATGAGATCAAAGTGGGAAAATTCAAGTTTAAATATAGACTACAAAATTGTACAAACCACAAACTTCAAACGAAGAAAAGGGTCTAGATCTGGGCTTAGCTCTGCTCGCCGAACCCAAAAATGAAAAATTGGTAAAGTCAACAAAGCAGTATCCAAAGAAAGTGAAGAAAAAACCCTAATCTAGAAACACAATTCTCTACGAGAGCACAAAGAGAGGTTTAGAGAGAGAAATCTAACACAGATTAACAGAGAGAGAGAGAGAGAGAGAGAGAGAGAGGAAAAAAACCTGAAGGGTTCTCGGGAAGCTGAAGAAGGAAGGGAACTGTAGAGATAGGAAAATTAAGAGGGAAAGAGGTTTTGGAGGAGAGTGTGCGTATTTTATCCAAAGCGGGTCGTGAATATGGAGCGGGTTTCGGTTTGTTTTAAATGTGGTCAGACCAAAAGGCGGTTTCTTTTGGGTGGGAAATTGGAAAATTTCCCAATTTCGATTTCAAATTTTTCCCACTTTACCAACTCCACCCCTCCCCACAAGCTCACCAAATCTTTTACATCTTTCCCACTGTTGTCTATTGCCAAGCCTTCATGTCCTTTTCTTTTTTGGGGGTTAGGAAGTTACATCTTTTGTATTATTAAATAATGAGTTGCATCTCGTAGGTATGGGTTTAGTCAAGTTGGTTAAAATGGAAGTTCTCTCCACATTGCAACTGAATTCAAATCCTCCTCTCCATACTTTAGAGGAGAATATCGATTGTATAAATAATATTAATAGGTTGCATCTCAAATTTTAGTAAATAATGGGTTTATTTTGTCTATCTTGAAATTTTAAATTTATTAAAGAGAATTAAATTGGGCAAAGCCCAAAAGGATTGGAAACCTAGCAGGCCCGTCCGAATGGTAGGAAGTTGGCAATGTGGGGTTGTTTTGGGCTTAGTTTTTGGGGTTGTTGCTCCACACTTTCGTCGGGTCTAGCTTTTGTATGTTGGTCTTGGGGTTAAGACCTTCTCCTTTGTTTGGGTTTTCTTCTTTTTGTTCCCTTGTGAGCTTTAATGAATTTTTTATTTTTTTATTTTTTATTTTGGGTTTTTTTTAATGAATTATTTTTAGAGCATCTACAATCATGCTCCCTGTTTTCACAATAAAAAATAAAAAACACACACAAAACCCTTTTTAGGAGGTTTTCTCTATAAAATTGTGAACTCCAATAATACTAACATTGTTTAGGGAGTCATAAATATTATAATTATTATTTAATTCAATATAATTGATATAAAAAATAGTATGAAAAAATAGCTAGTGTTAATTACAAGTTTAAAATATGCATAAAACAAAGCATCGATAAATTATAGGGAGCCATTAGGAGTCTTTTCTCTCTCTTCGTATTTAGAAGCTCCTAGAGGTCTTCTTATCTTAAGAGGTGAATAGGGAGTAAGGTTGGAATTGTATTTTTCCAATTCTTCCTTAAAATTTAAAGAAATTATTTAGAGAGCCCATTACGAATGCTATTAGTTGCAAAGAATTTGGAAGATATGATATGTGAAGGGCTAAATGCATTCATTTTTCACATTGCTTCTCTTTCCCATTTTACTAGGTTTGCACACTTTACCTTAAAGTATAAATAAATTAACCTTGAGTGTGAGACTTTCTATATGTATAATGAATGCGTAGGGTCCTAACTTTGCTGCAATCAATTGGTAATTGAAAATTCTTTAAGCCTCATGCATCCTTGTGTAGCCACCTGGCTCCAAAATGAAGAAAATCAGGAAGATGTCTCCCATGGATGTTTTGTGGAAAACAAAAATGATAACAAAAGTTAAAGCAAAAGAATGAGTGGAGATTTTGTTTTGGTTTAAAGGAGACTTACTGACCCCAAAGGACTATATCACAAAGAAAAATAATTAATGGTGCTTTTGCCTGGCACCCTTTTTATTTTTTGGTTTAACAAAAAAACCCATAAATTAATGAACCTTTATAAAAAAGTCAAAAAAGTGAAAGGCCATTGCTTTTGTGCCTAATAAGTGACTGCAAGAAATTCAGAGCTGTAGAATTGTGACTCAGATTTTTCCACCGTGTATGGAAATTCACTGTTTTACTGCAAAGAAGTGCCATGTACAATGGATCAAAAACATTTGTCACCTCATTTCTACCCTAGTTTACCTTTTATTCACTAGCTTTGCTATCTTGTACCAAAAATGTCAATGGATTTCTTCAGAGGAAAGTAGAAACTAAAGAAAAAGGGGTTGTGCAAGAGGAAAGGGATTGAAAACCAGGGAAAGCAAATGCATGGAGAAAAAATAAAAAAAAGGATAGGGTTTGATGATGATGATATGGACTACACATCGCAAACCATGAGAATTGGCTGAATTATTTGTGTAAATTATTATTATTTTGTTTGGTAGAAAGTGAGTTTTCTTCGAAGGGATTTGCTTCGTAAAATAAATTTACAAAAAAAAAAACTTTATAACAAAGAAAAAGAAAAAAAGATTTCAAATACAAGCCACTCCAAAAGAACAACCGACAGAATTAAGAAACTAGAAAAAACATAAAACTCAAGATAAGTCTGATTATGACTTGACATAACATGTCACACCACAAAATGGCAAACAAGTGGACGACACATAGAGCAAAATTCATCTTAATAGTTTCGTACACAAAGATGCCCATGTATATTAAAGGTTTATAAATTGGATCTACATTATTCTTGTTGTATAAAGATATTGTAATATGGTCAATAGGGTCTAGTCGAGTGAAAAATGGTATTAATTTGCATACCAGTGGTCTCAGGTTCGAACTACCATGACACATTTGTAGTGTGCGAGTGTATGTGCATAACCCCTTCCTTTAGAATTTAGATTATTGCTCGTGTGTGTGTGACACATGCAGTCTTAGATATAAAAACCAAAAATTATTGAGGAGGAGAAATGACCTTACTAATTTTTCTTTCTTTTTTGGAATATAGTTGGTTATTTTATGTGGGCAATATTAACTTTATTCTTAAATGAAATTTGGTATGAGACTTAAGGTATGTTTTTTTTTTTGGAGATTCACTATTATACTCAATATAAGGGCTCAAATTATAAAAATACCCCATATGAAATGGACTTTAAAAACACATCCAAAGTCCATTTACAACATAATAAAGTGGGTTTTAACTTCTTATAAATTACAAAACTGCTATCAATTTCTTAAAACAAGCTCAATCCCAAAATCTCATAAAAATACCCAAAACACTCAATATGGCATCAAAGTAATTTAATAATCAATATTAAATTCAATAAGGCTAACTATCATTTTTTTTAGGTTTGTTTATAGAAATTCAATGGTGTATGATTTATTTATAATATTAGTGCTAAGAATGGATATATCACTAAATATCTCTTCTTCTTTTTTTATGGAGTTTTGCTTTATAGGGATGTATAGGTATATAATTTTGCTTGATAGGATTTCCCTTTTACATGGTGGTGATGTGTTGTGGAAACCAATTTTACACACAAGTTTTTTCAATGAATCACTGTTGATAAAAGTTATTTAGCAACAAAAAAAACTATAGTAAGAATAAAATTATGGTCCAACCATATGATAAGGGTTTCATCTACCACCACAATTTTTATTTTAGCTTTTTCACAATAGGGCAATTTTAATACGTCATTTTATACAAAAAAATTTAGAAAGTCTATTTATACAAAAAATATTAGACTTAAAGGTTTTGGGTAAATTACTCAAATGATCCTCAAACTTATACCTAATTTACATTTTGGTCCCTCAACTAAATTATTCGTTCAAATGGTCTATCAACTTTATATTATTCACTCTGGTCATACCGTCTAATTTTCTATTAGATTTAACACGATTTTAGGGTAAATAATGACCAATGAAGCAAATAATATAGAGTTGATGGACCATTTGAACAAATAATTTAATTGAGGGACCAAAATGTAAATCGAATATAAGTTTGAGGACCATTTGAGTAATTTACCATAAATGTTTTTTTTATTTATTAAAAAATGTCTTGTTATGTCTATTTATGAAAGGCCCATTTTATTTCTACACACATCGGCCTATTTGGAAAAAGAAGCCCATTTGACACGGCATGTCGTTTTAGATGGGTGTTTAGTCCAGACAACATTTTATTTTGGAGGCCCACCAAGAAAGGACATAGACGTGTGTGGGGCCTACTGACCCTAGAGCAGTTCTCCATCCCTCTATAGGGCCCACAACTGAAATCCAGCCCGAGAGGGAGGCACTTGTGTGTATGTGTTAATTTTTGGTGCTAGTTGACCAGATATTGACTCACACAAAAAGGATTCGAATGTTAATTCCAAATCATTTTTGTTTAATATGTTAAAAAAAAAAAAAAAAAAAAAAAAAAAAAAAAAAAAAAAAAAAAACTTCGGTAAAAGACCAAAATGACCCCACCCCACTGCTGTTGTAGGGTTTAGATTTATATCCCTTAAGTAAGGTCCTGTGTTCGAATCATAGCATTCGTATAGTGTGTGAGTTTAGTACATTATTGTCCATTTCAATAAGAAAGGTCATCAAAAAAGAAAAAGAAAAAAAAAGACTTTTGATCAATAAAAGGAAAAGTAAATTAAAATTAAATGTCTTCGCATATCGGAATAATGACAAAATACGTAATAATTAATTTGGTTTTCTAATCAAATTGGGAGATATTAACAAAGTTTTGTTGTGAATAATTTAGTTTATCTTTTACAACAAAATTAATTAAAAATCACCAGTTTAGATTTGGTAGTCTTAAAGGGAAACCATGACTCTGTCAAGTAAATGACACGTATAGGGTTTTCATATTTACAAAGTGGTAATTATTCCGACTAAGTAATTATCACATCAAAGCTAGCTTCCAATTTCGTTATGGTAAACAGCTAGCTTTCGATTTCAAGCACTTTGTGAGTTGTTATGCAAAGAGGAAATTATGTAACATTATTAGGATACTGCTTGCTTGTTTGTTTGCTTCATACTCTCTTTTTTATGCGAATTGCAGTTTGATATATATGCAAAAATAATTAATTAAAAATATAAAAAGAAATTTTTTGCACGCGTATCATACTGCTATTCGCATGAATATATAAGTTTTTACTTACATGAGAAGGGGAGTACTTTTCATATTATTATATAAATAAATTCAAACCCATTATTTTCAAGAAAACGATGGAAACCCAATTGCTTATTCATAACAAAACTAAACAAATCATGACACGTTGAGGGCATTTGAACCTCAAGATGATGAGAACGACCATGTTGGAAAAGCAAAAATTTGGTCATGTCCATAAAAAAGTAAAATCAATTCTTTTATAAAGTGCTAATTTCTGGAAATGGGAGGTAATGTTTTGTGCACCTTCCATGCACAACCAAAGAAAAGCAAACAAATTTCTGCCATATATACTTATCCTAAGCAACTAAATGATAACAGCTAAGGCAAAACCTGACTTTGAGAAATAAGCATAAGCTTTCCCATACCTTTAATTATGGATCATCCACTCAGTCTTTCCCATGCTTTCGAGTAAATTCCTTATCGAGGAAAAATACAAGGATAGTGCAACGCCATATTTGATCATGAATATGCATAAAGTCACATAAAAGAGAATTGGACTTTTTATTATTTGAATTGTGTAGATAATGATAGTATGGCTATGGTCCAATTCATTTGGGACCTACGGATTCACTCTTTTTCCTATTCAAAGATCAGCTTTTTATGATTATCTCTGTGTTTTCACATCGAGAATTCTTTGCAGATAAAGAGATCTCGAAGGGGCTTCTTACTTCCCAAGCAGATCTTCCTACATCTATATATAAACATTGGTTTATCAAGAATACGCAATAAACATACTTCGAATTGTTTGCCAATACATTATCCTCATTCTGTTCCGGATTGTAATCTCTAATAAAAAAATATAGCTCCATGAGCAAAAGCTCATACGTGGACGGTAGTTGGAGTCGTCGGCTCTCCTAGGGTTCCCTAATGTGGTATCTAAATCCAAAGTATTTAGTCTCGTTAATCTTTCTCGACAAACTTCTTATCTTATACATATATACTACAAAAGATTGAACATACTTAATAGAGCATTTAGGTCACACCCCGTACATCTACAGCAAGATTTCAACTCTCACTGTCTATTATCTTGAGTTAACATATATATAAATGTATATTTTTCGATCAATGTATAAGAATGATTGGTATCATATTGAGTATTGACCTCAATAATTTCGTTGAAGTAGTTGTAACTTGTAATGTGAAACCCAAGATAGATAGATATAATAGATTAAGAAGAGGATTAATAAGGCACTAACCATTTCATCACGTCATAATTATAATTAAAGACCATAGAGCATTGTTTTATATTACAAGCCTCTGCAAGATGTGAAAACAGCAGAGGGAACGCTTGACTTCTCCTTAAGGCATCGCATTTCTTTATAACGAAGTTGACCAAAACCCCAATTAACGTTGTGTTTTAAATTTGGGTGATTAATTATTGTTTTGGCAATGCTTGTGGAATAGTTTATCATTTTAAGATTCGATTTGGATGCACCCTCCTCAAAGCAAGCATTAGTCTAAGAAAACACCCTCATTTATCAACTCAATAAACTACGATTATCCACACTATACCTTATTCAACCCCACAAGTAACAACAAAAAAAAAAAAAAAAAAAAAAAAAAAAAACAACCATTGATGCTCATTCATTGTGAATCACACATACAAGTGTGGGCCGTGAGATCGTAAGCTATTATAACAAGCATTTTTGGCATGACAATACATTTTGAAAAACACTTGCTTCCTTCATTGGAATTAGGAATTCCTACTTTCTTGCCAATTACAGTTTGATATGTGTGCATATAGTTTTCTTTTTGATGAATTATTTTTGCATATGTATCAAACTGTAATTTGCAGGAAATAAAAATGTCTCTTTCTAGAGAAGGAGAGGAAGGAGAGAAGCAGTGTCGATACATTTCCTCCTCTTTCTTGTGGATCCTTCAAAGTCAAGGCAATGGTGACCCAAAGGATGTTCAATAATTTTGAGTTTTTGTGTGGATAAAACACAAAGGACTTGTACTCGTCATAAGGTCACATCAAGTGGCGTTATCATAATAAGTATAAACATTGGGGACCATCTAGAGAGTACGTAATTTCAGTGGGGCATATTGAAATTTTAGTAGTGTACTTGAGGGCCCATTTTTACCTGAAATTCAAACACTTTAGTTTTCTTTTTAAACCCACAGTACCTTACTTTTGTCCGCATGAAATCAATGGGCTAGCTCTGTGAACGGGCTTGAAATCTGGACTTATCCAAACCCAACTTTTTTATCTCCACTTTCTCTCGCAAACGACAGCGATGGGATTTAAATTTTGAACGGGGGTTACTCTGATGAAGCAATCTAACGGCTCTCACCACCACGTACATGACACGTGTCTGAAGATCACAGAAACGAGACATAACTGACATTACACAAACCAACCGCTTTTCATCAGGAAAAGGAAAATGCCCCTGCTTTCCCAAAATAAGCCCTGCTTCCGGTTTCAGCAATATCCAATTCAAGTTTCCTTTTTGGAAAAAGAAAAATAAAAGTGGCACCAAGTAACCAACGGTCATTGAATGTGGACCCCATCACCTCTCTTTGTATGATTTTCTTGGACCAGGCTTTCATTTTTTTCACTTATCGTTTTTCTTTCTTTATGGCTTTCACCATCACTTTGGTTTCCCAACCTTCTCACAAATTTTACCTCATTATCGGAGACAAACTTAATTGCTATTGGAATAACACTGTTTTATAATTTTCGGCCAGTAATGTTATGTTATGTGAAAGTATTATCACGAGTGTCATAGTATTATTAGTTGAGATAGCACAATAGTGTTATTTCTATTTCATGAAAGTCTTTCTCCACAATTTTTATGTAGCATTTGATTTATAATCCAAATTATGGTGTATTTTTAATCTACACTTAAAAAAGAGAAATTTCATTTGTTATAGAAATTTGATAATTTTTATGGGAGCCAATAACTATTTACCATGTTTGACCAAAAAAACAAACAAAAAAAACAAGTTACCATTACTACACGCCTACTTCTGGAAAATGGGTTAAGAAAAAAGCTTCCAGAAAATAAAGCAAAAAAGTTACTACGGAAAAGAAAAAAGGAACCGTGTTAATTTCAGGTTCACCAAGGGCTTTTTTGTCAAAGAAGGCGCGCCAACCACCGCAATTTTAACTTGGGAGTTAGAAGGATGAAATGACAATACGACCCTAGTGCGCGTTCAGCCATGTGGCCGCAAAATTTGTCCCAATTAAACTCTCATCTGTACCTGGCAGAGGATATTTCCGTCAGAACACAATCTTAAAAAAATAAAAAATAAACCATAACAGATGATGGTTTTTGGAAATTGAGGCGGTTTTGGGATTTGAGAGCCTCCGTATCTCGAGGGGGCAAACCACCCCGTCATTTCACCAAAATGGTGAGGATATTTTCGTCATGGAAAGTGCGGACCCAAGTCGCCACGTCGCAACCAGACCATAACGTGTCACCCGGGGCCAACGACAGCACAACGAACCGGGTTCGGCCGAGACACGTGCCTCACCCACGACGGATTAGATACTATGCCACGTAGGATTTACACGTGGCAGTCAAGTCCCAGTCAGCAGTACCCGCCCTCCTCTTTTTATAGCTCACGCCATCTGCTCTGTGGACTCTATAGCTGTTTAAACAGAGGAAGCTCTCATTTCATTTTCACCTTTCACCTCTCTCTCCCTCACTCTGATTTTTATAGGTTCCGTCGCCGGCATAGAAAAGTTGATCTCGCCGGGAAAAATGGAGTTTCGGCGGCCGATCGTCTGCTTAATGACGAAAGCAGGATAACCAGCAGCATCATGACGTTCTCGCGCCTTCGCGTATCTCGGGAACCCTAACCGTATCAGAGAAAATCCTACGCAAAAGCGACTTTTACTTGGCAGAGTTTCGAAGTTATTCCATGCTTTGTTTCGCAAATTGGAGGCAAGGAAACTATATAATAATCGGAGATTAAAAGGTACTTCTTGTTCTCGCTTACGAGCCTCGAATTTAGCTAACAGCATTGATTTTTGGCAAAATTTTCTGGATTTCTGGGTCGATTCCGTTCATCGATCTCAGTCGAGAGAAGATGCTGCAGAGTTGTCAGTGAAGGTTTTGATCGATGTATCGGCATTAGAAACCTCTGCCTTTTTTGTTTTGGAGTTTGAATTTCTGCTTTCTGTTTTTGGTGCAAACTTTTAGTTTAAGTTTCTTCATTCTCGAATTTTGAAATTGAGTGCGAGTTGTCTGAGAAAATAATTGATAGTATAAGAGCTAGAGAATTTGGTGTAATTTTTGTCACTAGGAAACTCAAGAACAAGCTTTAGCCTAGTGGAAATGGAGAAAATACCGGTTTTTGAAGATCGGAGATTCTGAGAGAGAGAGAGAGAGAGAGAGTTTTTTTCTTTCCGTGAATTTGATCGCACCGATCATGCCTTTCCCAATGAAAATCCAACCAATCGATTTTCGCACGAGTCCTGAAGACGCAACCAGGTTCGAGGCGGTCAAGCCGGTGGCCAAGTCTCGGCTCAAGCGGCTCTTCGAGCGTCCATTCACAAACGTATTGAGAAGCTCCGCCGCGGCGGAGAAGGGCGGCGGTGGAATCGGCATCGAGGAGCCGCATTTCAACAAGGACGGCTTCGGCGGCGGCGGTGGGTCGGGCGAATTCGAGCCGAGCTCGGTGTGCTTGGCGAAGATGGTCCATAGTTTCATGGAAGAGAGCAACGAGAAGCAATCGGCTGTGACGCGGTGCAGCCGGAACCGCTGCAACTGCTTTAACGGAAACTGCAACGACAGTTCCGAAGACGAATTGGAGGCGTTTGGCGGTTTCGGTGATTCCAACTTGGCCTCCTCTGGCGAAGCGTGTGAGCTGCTTAAGGTAAAATATCTGATTTTCTGTGTTTAACAACTTCAAAAACAGAGACTTCGTTTGTTATTGAATTTTTTAAAAATTAAAGTAGAAATAAAAATTTGTTTCCTTTTTTGGACGACAGGGTTTGGTTTCATGCCAAAGTGTGAATGAGAGGAATTTGCTAGCGGACACCGCGAAGATCGTTGAGAAAAACAAGGTGTGCAAGCGCAAAGACGACATCTGCAGAACCGTCGTTACTGATCTTCTGTTTGCTCTCGGATACGACGCGTCGGTCTGCAAATCCCGCTGGGAAAAAACCCCTTCCTATCCCGCCGGTAATCTCTCTCTCCCCACACCTTACAAAAATATCAATGGATACGGCACCGTTTTACTGCGGAGAAAATGTAGGAAGCGAAAAAGAGTGATTTTTTTCTTCTGATTTTGCGATGTTGATGATCTTGCAGGAGAATATGATTACATAGACGTGATCGTCAAAGGGGAGAGATTGCTAATCGACATCGATTTCAGATCGGAGTTCGAAATTGCTCGGCCGACGAAGAGCTACAAAGCGATTCTGCAGACGCTTCCGTACATCTTCGTTGGGAAGCCTGATCGGCTGTGGAGGATCATCAAAATCGTATCGGAGGCGGCGAAGCAGAGCTTGAAGAAGAAGGGGATGCACATTCCGCCATGGAGGAAAGCAGAGTACATCAAGGCCAAGTGGCTGTCTCCTCACACCCGAGCTTCATCTTCACCGTCCGATTCGATGACCGAAGAAAAGACTGAGCCTTTGATCGAGACCGGCGAGTTTGAGCTGAGTCAGGGCGGGACGAACTCGGTGGTTGAGACTGAGTTGTTCGAGTCGGTATTTGAGCTGTCGGAGAGTTCGGGTGAGGAAGAGAAGGCGATGGTGGCGAAGGAATGGAAACCGCCGGAGCTGAAGCCCAGGACATCGCAGACAGGGGTTAAGATGGTGACTGGTTTGGCTTCTGTCATGGAAAATGAGCCATAAAAATTTTGATATAATATTTTTTATATTTTTTTGGGATGTTTCTCTCTGTTTTTTTCCTTCTTTTTTTTGACTGTTAAGAGGAACTGAAATATAGTATATGCCTGTATATGCCTGTATAAGCGTTTGATCCCTTCTATGTTTTTGATGTAAGGGTCGGATTTACTGATAGCAATAAAAACTCTCAAAGAAATTAGCTTTAAAATAGTTTGTCCTCTGCTTGTTTCAAGTTGATATTAGTCTCTGTGAAATCAAGGAAAAGAGCAAAAGGTGAATTTTTTGTCTGCTGTTTTATGTTTTTTTTTCTTTTTCTTTTTGGGGGTTTATGATGTTTAATTGTTTATTGTTTACAGGAGGAGAAGATGAGCAACAGAATTCGATGATGAAGACCGAAGAGAAGTGAGAACAGGCTCGTGCTGTCTGGGGAGCTGTGAGATTCTCCTCCCAGCATCATGTTTCTGTGATGCCAAAAGAAAAAAGGGAAGTGGAATTTTGATTAATCTATTGGGCATGAATTTTCTACACAAACGTTTATTGGTAAAAGAACAGGGCATCATCCCTCCCATATGGTTCTTGAATGTGGCATATCTTACTTGTATTCCCAATTCTCATCGTTAAATTTCTTGAATTAGTACTTGATGGGTTTTGTCTTCTTTGCTTATGCAGAATTAAAACAGGAAGAGAAACTTCCTATTCTCGTTTCACTGCCATCCTCGTGTCACTTAGAAGTAGAGGAAATGATAGAGAGTATACAACCAATGAAACAGGAAGAGAAACAATGAAACGAGTATAAGAAAGTATTTCTTCAAAAAACAGCTCGAGTCAGGAAGGCTTTGCAATATTTAGTGGGTTGCTACATAATTCAACCACGAAAAAGAGGAAGAAATTGCCACAACAAATAGAAAACTAGGGCAAAATGTCAACACAGAAGATCAAACTAGTCGGTGGTGGTGCCAACTTTACGCATTAATCGCATAGAAAACGTCCAAAACACGTTAAAAATCCCAAACACGTTGTTTGGAACTGCTATCTGTTCTAATTCTAATCCTTCAATTCAACCACACACATGAAACTGAAAACCCTTTTTATTACCAAAAAGAAAAATAAGAAAACTGAAAACCCTTATTCTAAACCCTAACACCAAAAATAAATAAATATTGTCGTTAATGAGCCCCGTACTGAACCATCTCAAGTCCACAAGTTTTACGGGAAACTGCAATTAATTTATTTATTGCGTATTTTGAGTCACAGAACAATCATTGCACTGCGTCCATAAAATTTAGTAACATTTTTAGTGTATTTAAAATTTGAAAGCTCCTCCTATCCATTTCGCTATTATAATTTGCATGTGATGGGGTCAATTTCGTAATAATACATAACAATTATTCTCTCATTCGGATGCCTACACATTATTATTGTGCGAATGTCATTGTAAACAGTGAGAAAAACATGAATAGTAAAAATACATTGCTTTTTCACCGTAATAATGTCCGAACGCCCACGTAAGATAATTTCTAGTTAAGCTAATGTCCATAATGCCTGAGATCAATGTTTTACTTTGTGAAAGCAACCCCCTACCTACTTCAGTTAAACCCAATCGCGAAACACAAATTTGGGTAGCTTGTCCTTGAAAAACTGGGTTGCTTGTTGTGGGATATAAAAATGAGAAAAAAAGAAGAAAAAAGAGCCCCAATTCGGTGAAGTTTGCAAAGAGCTTTGATTCTTTGCTTTACTATAATTGTTTAATAGCATTTAAAACTCTGCTTTATCCAAAGTTTTTTTCTTCTAACTTATCCACATTACACGTGTATTTTATTTCATTTTGGTTTTTTTTTTAAATAAAATAAAAGGGGACAGGTGGTCCATTTTTTGCTGTGCCCTTATTCGCTTCTGGACAACGAAACTAGGCGTTTTGATCTCTGGTTCCTTGGTGAGAGGGGAACGTCAGTTTGCATTATCAAATGGGATTTTCATGGTGCAACAGATGGCACTTTCTGAAGCATTCATTTGGGAAATGCAGAAATTAAAAAAAACAATTAATTTTTGACCTTGGTAGGAAGAATTGCATGCTTGAAAAACTTGTAATGTAGAATGGCTTTTTTAAAAAGTAGTCAGCCTTGTTCAGCTGAGTGGACTGCTCAGAGTCTCAGACGTTGGGATTCTGCTGTCTTGGGAGGCAAAGGCTCCCTCTCTGCACAAGTGCATGATTTTGTCCTTGCCTCTCATTACTTTTATTATTCACCAAATCTGCACAAGGATATGTTCCAATCACTATTGTGTTACCCTTCTTGTAATTCTATTTTGTTTTTCAGAATTTTTTGTTGTTGCAGAGAAAGTCTCCAAATCGTCCAATTTGCTAATTATGTTGATTAATGACATAATAACAGTCATATATACGTAAACATATTTCAATCATTTATTAATCATAGATACGCTAATGTTTCGTTAATGTATGATAACAAAGCGCTTTGATTATTAATGTTAGCATAACTCTTGTTCGTTCTTTGATAAAGAAATAAAAAATGGACAACCAATATACGATCAACGATCTCTCTGTTTTTGGAAAATAACAAATCAAATGACCTCTGAAGCCCTGGCACTGCCACTTTTTGCCCTAGCTAGCTAGGCCAAGCTAACAAGAAATTGAGAAGGTCAAGAAGAAAAATTGATTCTTTCTTTCTTTCCCATGTGTTGTTGTGACATTCAAAACTCTCTTTTGTCTGTCGGTGCAAGGGACACGAGAGTTTCGTTTCATGTCTGATGATCCAAACAAATGACATGACCTCCCTCCCCTACGCTTGTGCTGTGCCTCCAAACTAAACCAATCCAATCTCTCTCTCTCTCTCTCTCTCTCTCATGGACCACTTCGCAGAATATAATCAGGAAAAATGTGTTATATGATGATGCTATGGTATGGCCAGCTTTTCACCCCCTGCCTGAGCTGCAGGACTTGTCAAAAGTGGGTTCCTTTTGGCATTAAATTCAAAGAATGTGTACAAACTTCCTTTATTTTCTGTTTGGTTTTGCAGATGAAAAATTTGTCAAAATGGCAAAACTAAAGGAACGTCCTACCCATCAACCATACCCTTCTGGCATTACAGCTAGTTAGTGCTATCAGTATATGATGCCACATCCCTGCTGTATGGGAGTGTGGTAAGAACTAGACCTACCCTAACCTCAATCTGACCGCGTCACATAGTCCGCATCATGAGCATATGCGTGAGTGATTGTTAGTTGTCGATGTATGTGACACATGAACAGTTGACAACCACTCACATGTACGTAGACAATGATATAGCGATGATGCTTGATTCATGCTTCATATGTCAACATTAAGGAGATGACTCGCATTTAAGATCCCAAACAGCAAAGTAAGGTGGTGATGTCAATTTTAGGTACTATATGTAGTTAAATTCAATACTCTTATAAAATGACCTTAACCTAATTCAACACGTCTAACCAAATCTTTCTGGCTATATAGTCGCCTAACCCTAACCAGAGTGGCTCCTAGCCTCCTACAATATATATCACCCTGAGAGTTGGCTCGAAGCCTCCTATACTAGCCCACCAAAAGAAAAAAGAAAAGAGATTGAAAAAGAAAATCTAGCCCACTTCATGTATGGGCTAAAAACTCTAATCAAATCCTTGCTTATATCTATGCAGATATGGGTAGGTGCCAGGAGCTTTACTGGTTGGTTTGAAATTAAGACAGGCCCCAATGCTATAAGGAATTTTTTTTGTTGGTCCAAATGCTAGGGCCAGGGAACTTTTGTTGAAAGCTTATTTGATTTTATTTTGTATTATCTTTTTTTTTCTTGGGCAAAGTTAGGGAGGGTGAGGGGTTTTTTTACAACCATTGCCAAAGTAAAATGAGGGTTCGAACATGAGATCACTGATTTGCAAGTAAAAATTCTTTTTCATTGGGCTAAACCCTAAGGCCCCGTAAAAATAAATAACGTGATATGTCTTAGTTACTTTTTCAGGATTACTAAACATAAGAAAAGAATCTCCATTTCCTATTCTTTAGGAAACAACATGAAAAGTGATTTCCCCTCAAATCAGTTTCGTGAACCAAACAGAATCTAATGGCTTTTATTCTGTATTATCTCACTTTGTTACAATTTTATATTTATTATTTTGATCCGTGTGTGAAGATTGTCTTTTAAGTTGTTTTAAAATTACATAAGTTACAGGGAAAAGGCTTTTCAGACAGAAACTGGATTGGTTTAGATTGAAACCCTGAACCTTCACCGAAACAGTTTACCGTTGAAACACTTCACATCCCTCCCAAGTTAACGTTGGAAGAGCAACGTACACAAACCAATCAGATTTCCTTTCGATTTCAGCTGCCAATCCTAGGCGAACACATCTTCGAATATTGACCCAAAAAAATAACCCTAGTCGAACACATCTTCGATTTTACTAAAATACCCTTTTCCTTCCACCGAAGCCGACTCCAAAATTGGAACTCATCCGTAAATTCGCAGTTAAACCCCATCAGACCACTTCCTCTCTCTTAGGGCAGGAATCCTCTGCTTTTCGGGACAAAACCCATTGTCCTGAGCTTTCCTCTCTGTGTGTGAACCCGAAGCAAAAACCGCCCGCATGTGGGTGCACGATTCTTAACGTACACTTTTCTCTGCGTCTTCCCAGATCCCATTGCTCAGTGCGTTTGTCTGCTAAACACGATTGCTTATTGCCGCCTTCGTCTTCCTAATGATTGCTTTGTCCATACAGCTCTGTGAACCTGCCTGTAACTCAGCCACATTTGCGAGATAAGGCCTCTTTGCCACTGCCACTGTTTCTTCCATGGAGATTTCTTATTGGGTTTGTGTTGTTTCGATAGTTCTCTGCCTTTTCGCATCTGGGTCTCTCTCAATTGAGAATTTTCACCAAGCGTAAGTGATTTGTGTCATGCAAGTTCGCAGCTTTTGTTTTTGAATCTGAAGTTTGTTTCTTTTTGCTAAGAGAGTCCGATGCCAATGGGAACAACTGGAATTGCTTATGACTTTTGTTTGGCTTTTGGGTAGTAGGAGCTGAATTTTTTATGCTTGACTGTTGTGTATGGTGAACAATGTTGCAATGCAGTTGTTATGCTTTCAGTGATGTTGATGATAAATTTGGCTGCTTTTGTTTTAGATCTGGGAGTGCATTTGGTGCCTCTTGGAACAAATTTCAGAAACATTAAAGTTGCAAAAGTAGTTCCAAACTGCTAAACATTATTTGTGTCGTTTAGTGGTTGTTAGCATGAAGTATGTGCTTTATATAAACGGTGTATTTTATTATTATTATGAGCTAATTGATAATTCATTTCATCCGGTTATGTAAATTCACCTTGTGCCAGTGTAAATTAAAATAATACAGTAATATGAGATTGCTCAGCCAAATCATTTAGTATAATATTAAGGTGCTTTAGCTTGTGAAGGTTAAAATAATAATTTGTTCTTAAAGCTGGTAGGATTTTCCTGATATGGTATACTTGGGGTGGCTATGTGAACTTGAGAGCAAATTAATCAAAGAACTTAAGAAACTTTGTAACCGGAAAAAAAAACAGCATAAGAAAACTATGCTCCCTACCTCAATTGTGTGGTACTGTGAATTTTGCGTCTTACACGTATGGCACACTTTATATTACCTTGATTGTGAGATCAGTAGTTACCGAACCATTATAGCTGCTTTTCTGCCAATATTATGTATATCATAAGTGGATAATGTTTGTGTGATATTGCACATACAGATTTCCTATTGTGGAACCAGATCCTGGTCATACAAAACTTCGTCTTTCAAGGGAAGGGTTGGAGGCCATTGAAAGAATAACAACTCCAATTGCAGCTGTTGCCGTAAGACTTAGATTCGTTCTCCTTAGTTTAATTAGTACTCACAATTGATCTTTCTCTTAGAGAAAGCTCAACGGATATGCTTGTTTATATTACATAATACAAGCTTTGGATGATTTACATTGCCGAACTGCTTTTCAGTGATAGTCTTAGATATTTATATATATGTGGATATAGTTGAAATGTTTTGTTGATCAAGCAGTAAGAGAAGGCTACATGTTATGGAGTAGCCTTCCATGTCCCAAACCCACCACCTGTTGTTGAACGACCTCACCTTTGTAGTAGTATCACGTAGGCTACAGGGCAGTGATTTTCAGTGAGAAGGTTGGCTAATATGGAATGAGACAAGGAGACCTGCATCTGATTGGATCTTCCACGTTTGTGCTTGATCATTGTGGTCAGATCATATATTTCTTTGGGATTGGTCATATATTGGAAACTGAACCTGGAAAAAAAAAAGTTTTAGACATGTTGCAATAGTATACTTTCTGTCCAGAAGATTGGAGATAGCTGCAAAAATAATATTTACAGTCTCCAAACTTTGAATATGTATTTCAATGCAAGTTTACATCTGGAACAAAATATTTTCAGTCTCCGTAGATACACTCATGATGGAAAATTACAAGAAAAAGTTATTGTCCTCAAGAGTTTCATGACATTCATGTGCATAATGTTTTCACCAGTCTTGCTTTTCTATAGATAAAGTATACTTGCTTTGATTTTTTGGTCCATCTTGATTCTATTCAAATGCTTGTCTGCTTAGGTTATTGGGCCATATCGCTCTGGAAAATCTTTTTTGCTCAACCAACTGCTCTCCCTTTCTTGTTATGAAGGTGTAGTCTTGACTCCTATTAGTTTATACTTTTCCCCCTTCCCTTGTGGATCTTGTTTGATTAATCATTCTGCATTGCTTGTTTGGTTTGAACAATTTAACAACCTTAAATTTCAAATGCGTTTCCCCACAGGGTTTGGTGTTGGACACATGCGTGACACAAAGACAAAAGGTAAATGCGGATGCAACCTTGATGTCATGGATATGCTTTACTCTTTGTTGAGATATAAATTTACAATGTCTGTCTGCCTCTTACAGGAATTTGGGTATGGGGAACCCCAGTAGAAATGGATATTAATGGAGTAAAAACTTCTGTGTTTTATCTTGATACTGAGGGATTTGAAAGTGTTGGGAAGTCAAACGTATATGATGACCGGTAATCTCCAAGTCATCATGTAATCTTCAATTTTCCTTTCATGGTCGTTCAAATTTTGTATATTTCGCTAGCTGTCTGAGTATGCTTTTGCAGGATTTTTGCTCTGGCAACTGTCATGAGTTCTGTCCTTGTTTATAACCTGGCTGAGACGGTGAGTTGTATAACTTGTGATGTTAGAAGCATGTACTAAGTCCTTGGTCCATTATTGTTCAAGAAACTTGCCTTATTTGATTTTATCTCTGTGCTTGTCATTTTTTGTAGATCCGTGAAGCTGACATTGCTCGGTTGTCATTTGCTGTTGAGCTTGCTGAAGAATTTTATGGAAGGTTTGCACTTTCTTCTCATTGTATTTAATTTGTGCTTCTATTATCAAAACTGACATGTTTCATGGCTTGTTTGCAAATTTCATGTGGCAAAAATAGAGTGAAGGTAATTTCCAATCCTTTAAATCGTTTTCCCTCATGTGTATTATCTTCCAATAAATTACGCATGTGAACGGTCGGCTTCTTTTGTAGGGACAAGATGTTGCTTTTGAACCTGCAAAGCTATTGTGGCTTATCCAGCGTGATTTTTTGCGTAAGTTGAGAAATACGTGTGACATGTTTTTAGAAGTTAAATACGAGGAACATAGAAGTTCCAATGACATTCCACCTAGATTTGTCTTTTCACTATCCACCCATTTCTCCAAGCTTCCAGCAGAATCTTCATAAGCTGACATTCTTGTGCGTGTTCTGCAGAAGGGAAATCTGTGGAAGACATGGTGCATGAAGCTCTCCTTCATGTCCCTAACAGTGATGGTTAGTCTTTTTCTCCCCTATGCATCCTTGCACAAGAGCTGTTTTTGCATAAAGGTGCTACAATTTATTTATTTCTTATCATAGGTTTAATTTTGGGTGCTTTTGGGCATTGCAGGCAACAAGAATATTGATATGGTATTTTCTCCCTTATATTATCACTTGGCGCTGAGTTATTGCTGTTCAGGGAATGAAAGCCAACATTTTTATGTCTTTATCAGGTCAACCAGATCCGAGATTCTTTGGCTATTATGGGTGATAATAGCACAGCCTTCAGTTTACCACAAGTATGAGTTTTCCTCTTTTCTTGCACTTTTTGTGCGCATTTTGTTTCTGAGTCAGTCACTTGAGTTCATTGTTGCTTAAAAAGTAGTGTCATTTTGAACATGTATGGCAAATGCATGTAATTTTTTAAGATGTTTCCGAAGGTTGAGAAAAAAGTTGAAGTTTTGGGTATTAAGTTGTTTCCAGTTTGTCCTAAGGTTTGTGTGTTGGAGGATATTTACCTCTGCACACTTGCACCAATTCTATGCCAATTAGATATCCTGCGCCCTCTGCATACTATATTTTGTTTTGGCAAATTTTTTATGATTTACTATTGTAAAAATTTATATTCGGGCTCCTTAGCAGTTATTGCTATCATTGTTAACTCTCTTGGGAGAGGGACGGCATCTGTGAAACATGGTTGACGTGGATTGCCAATGCATATGATGCGTGTTTTATACATCCCTTAGCTATAGATGTCTTATTATATTTGTTTGTCAAGTAATCTCATTCTGTGGTGATTCTGAACTGTCAAACAGCCTCACCTTCAACGAACTAAACTCTGTGACATGAAGGATGGTGAACTTGACCCGATGTATGTTAAAAAAAAGGAACAGCTAAAACAACTTGTTGCTAGTATCATCCGTCCAAAGATTGTGCAGGGAAGACCTCTAAACGGAAAGGAGTTTGTATCTTTTCTGGAGCAGGTACCTGTTATATTATAATGTTGGTTGGTTAAAATCAGCCATAATGTCAGAATTATCAAGCTTCATTAGAGCTGATATTATGTTGTGTGGTATCCCGTTGGGTCAAGTTCATAGCTATGTTCCTTGTTTCTCTATTTTTGTTTCTGCGTTTTACTAATTCATCCTTCAGATTCTTGAAGCCTTGAACAAGGGGGAGATCCCATCAACAGGCTCTCTGGTGGAGGTATTCAACAAGGGTATTCTTGAGCGATGTTTAAAGCTATACAATGAAAGGATGGCAAAATTGACTTTACCTCTTATAGAGCAATCTTTGCAAGAATACCATGAAAGGTCCCTGGAGGAAGTGATGAAACTTTTTGAGGAGCAACATTTTGGCCGTCACCATGCAAAGAAATCAGTCGAGCAACTAGAAGAAGAAATAGAAAAGGTATAAGCACTTTCTAATAACAGTAAGCAGCCTCGGATTATTTTGGTAGATCAGGTCAGTGGCTTGGTGGAAATTGAATAAACAAGTATACAAAGTGAAGTTTTATTTTAATATCAGATTTCTATAAGCACTTCCAGTCACTGCATTGCGGCTTGCGAGTGTGTTTATAGATAGTCTTCCTTGGACCATCTGGTTAGCATTTTCTAGAACAGGTATATAAAATCTTGGGTAACTGTTAACAATGAACCTATCCCAAAGTGTTATGGGTGGCCAGTGGTGCTTAGCATTGGGCAAGCGCATTAAGTTTAGTTCAATATGTTGTCTTTGTAGGGGGGGCAGGGGAGGAGGAGTTCCAATTGCTGGGCTTACAATAGGGGTCCCTCTAAACCCCTCTCCTGGTCATGTGTCTCTTAACATTAACTCAACATGCCAAATTGTTTTAGATATTTTGTTGGCGTCCTCACTTGCACCAGCTACACATCCTGTAATTTTTGAACATGACCTGTGGTTTTTAAACTCTGGGATTTATCTAGGTGCATAAAAATGTGATCATGGCAAATGAATATCGGTCTTCAAAGCTCTGTGAGGCATTGTATACCAGATGTGAGGATAAAATGGACCAACTTCAAGTTCTCAGACTTCCTTCCATGGCAAAATTCAATGCAGGATTCCTGCAGTGCAACCAAAGTTTTGAGCAAGAGTGTGTTGGACCTGCAAAAACAAACTATGAGCATCGAATGATGAAGGTTAGGCATGCCTTGTGATGTCCATTTTCACCCCGTCTTCTTCTATCTTCCATTATTCCCTTCGGGTGCAAAAGCTCATATGTAGAATGTATGATATTAATTTGCAGATGTTGGGGAAGTCACGGTCTCTATTTATAAAAGAATACAATCACAGGCTCTTCAATTGGTTGGTCGCCTTCTCCCTTGTCATGGTGGTCGTTGGCAGGTTTATTATAAAGTTTATTTTGATCGAAATCGGGGCCTGGGTCCTCTTCATCTTCTTAGAGACATACACGAGGATGTTTTGGTCTGCAGAGTCTCTTTACTACAACCCAGTTTGGCATGTAATAGTGGCCACTTGGGAAACACTTGTTTACAGCCCCGTCCTTGATCTGGACAGGTAATGAAATCCTTCTTCTTGCTTCTTTCTTTCCATTCCCCCCCAAAACATCGGTCAAACGTCAGTTAATATAAATCGAGATGTTGTCTGTCTTGCAAGTCAAACTGTGTTTTACTTTGCTTTTTGTTTGAGACAGATGGGCTATACCAGCTGGTGTCATAGTAGCTCTGTTTGTACTATATTGGCGGTGTAACGGAAGAAGGAAACACGGGTCTTCATGGTTACTACCTCTGTACAATAGTAACAAAGGCGGTCCGAATCGGCCAAGATCAGACTAAAGAAGAGAAGTGATGGCATGCTTCAAGTGCTGGATATATCATATACTTGTGTTTGGATCATTGTCTTGGGCGAGCTTTGTCTATTTTTGTACACAAAGCCCTCCGGGCACTTGCAGTTCTTTTGGTTCTCAAATGTCAAAATAGATGAAAGATCATATGGTCAAGGGCTGCTCGTATACGTCTAACTGTAACAATTCCAAATTGTTTGTATTAACATTATTTTTTTATTAATTATTTCAGTCATTTCTATTGAATTTGCCGGTTCATTAAAATTGGAATTGTATAACATTAGTGTTTCAAAGAAAGAAGGAAACAGAGAAATGTAATGAAATAGAAGCAAATGTTCATTCTAGAATATTTGTGTAAACTGACTAGCCTATTTTCAAATAGAATATGGTATGAGGGCAGAGGTTCGAAACCCCAGGCACCTAATGAATATTTGTGTAAACTCCTCTCCCCCAATCGCTTGTACTAAATTTTTTTTAACAAAACCGACGGTTATAGCAGCAATTTTTTTTCTTTTTAGTTTTCCTTATTTATTTTACTTGCCATTGGTAATGGCAAAAATGGAAACATCATAAGGTGTATAATGGCAAAAATGGAAACATAATAAGGTGTACCGTGTATCTGATACACATGCTAAATTATTTGTACAATACCATACTAATAATTATGCATTTATTAATATGGAATTAAAATATGAATGAATTGGATCTCCACGTTGTCATGCAATTTATTGAATACATACAATAATTAGTTGTAAAAAAATTAAAAAAAATTAACTGATACAGATATTGGATACATACGCTTGACTTATGAGATACACTTGTCACTTGTGAATTGGTTTTTGACTTGAATTTACATCCTCAACAATTTGTAAGAAAATTAATTTTGGTCCAAATTTAGAACAATTCAACTAAATAAATAAATGAGTAAGACTGTGGGTACAAAAATTAATTAAATTGCCAGCTCAGAAATACACAGCACCTACTTACAGGAGAAACAGCGCAAACGTCCTTCCAAATCGGACTTAGACCGCATGTCGTCTTCGCATACGTGCCAAGTAGGACACACCTACCACGTACTACTCTGACCAAAAAAGAAAAAAGAAAAAGAAAAAAAAAGAAACCACCTTTGCCACGTGTCGCTCATGGGCGCATCTTATATGCGTTTCACTTAGAAAGGAGCGCTGCCCAATGCCATATTTGGAAGCCAACTTGTACCCGGATGCTTAACTAGGCAACTTTATCTAATTATCTTAATTACCCAAGCAACCTTCCTTTTTCTTTGCATTTTTTAATGAATTAGAGGTGGCAAATTTAATCTTGAATTTTCAATATGAAAATATGTTAATTGTTAGATATAAATACGTTTTATAGAACATAAATAAATGGCTAAATACAAATATAAGTGTTTCATCAAATAAAACTTTAGCTAGTACATTTTTACGTATTCATTTGAGATTACAGTTTATATAGAGAAAGTGAATACATAGGCGTGCCACGAGCACGCGGGAAAATACTTGACCGTTGGAGTTATAAATCCTAGAAGCTCAAATTCAAATTCATTATTTATTTTAGTTTTCTACTACTACTGGTGATGATGATAAGTTTTCATACACATGTACTACAACAAATGAGAAATTAATTCACTAGTAATTAACTGAAGGAAATATAATAAGTTGGTAAATTACACTTCAACATCTGCATATTCGAGATTTTTACACGTCAGTGAAGTGTGGTGATATGGCAATGACTTACTGGGGTAAGAAAAGCTCTAGCCCCCCAGTGCCGAGTCTCACTGCAAAAACCCTTAATTATTTTCCAAACAGATCACAAGCTGCTTGTCTGAGAGAGTGAGAGTCTGAGCTTCTCTCTCTTCTCTCATCTTCCTCAATTCTCTGGTATGTGTTTGATGCGTCCAAAACTTTTCTGTTTGGGTTTGCCGTCTTATCCCTAGCTCCAAGCCATGTCCTCATTTTTCATGTGTCTGTGGTTTTGTTTGTTTGTTTAGGGTTTGAAAGATCTGAATTGACCTTGTGAAAATGAGTGCGGATCCAGACGGACATTTGCATTACAGCTTTGAAGGTGAAATCTTGAGACACCCTGCGACCAATCTTATCCATATGCATGTCACTGTTTAATTATAAAAAATAAATAAAATGATTTATGCCATGGTTATATGTTTTGATTTTTTTTTTCAAGGTTCCTGTAACCCTTTTATTTAATTTCTTCTTGATAACTGAAGAAAAATGTTGTGATCCAGATGATGATTTCATAGAAGGAAAGGCGATATAAAAAGGAAATAATTTACAAATTAAGGCAAAGTTTTTGTAGCCTGAGGTCGAGGGAAATATTATTGAAACTTAAACCAGTTTCTCTGAAAAAATTCAAAATTATATTTTCTGAATGCACCTTTTTTTTCAAAGAAAAAAAAATATAGAGAGAGATCCAATAAGTGAATTGCTACACTTTTGGGTACAGTTGATTGAACTATATTTTTCAGTTCTTTATATAAATCATGATATGAAATAGTGATTTCATCCCTCAACATTAAATAATTAAATCATGATTTATTGGAATCAGATCTGAAGGACATAGATTTACCACTACTAGTTGTGACCGTAGTTATCTTGTAACATTTTGATCCTTAATAATTTAAGAACTCATTTTTTCCTAACAATGATATCATATGCAACACGTGGATATATCGTTATGAGATTTTTTAACGAAAAACGGTTAACTGGATATAGTTGTATCGTACTTACTTTATATTGCTACGTGCATGGAATTCCCATCATCCTCTCATTAACCTACAACAACTAAACATTCTATTGCAGAAAATTAGTATGAGAATTTCATTTCTTGTTGCAACTCATATCCCTCATAATAATTTATTTTAATTTTCCAGATCAATTAGATGCATGTTTATTAATTACCAAACAAACGAACAAAAAAAACTTCTGAATTTTTGTTGTGAATGTGTTCTTTGCTGAAATATATCATATGGGAATTAATCGATCTTGATCTCTCGTCTGTAATTTCATTATTTGCACTTGAAGCTGAGCTCTGCGATGCAACGCCTGAAGTACTGGACAGGTCACCACCTAAGCCTGAAAGAACCATTTCAGATCATCATGATCAACAAACTTCTGCACCTCTGGTGTTGGGCCCTGGCGGCAAAGCAACTTCTTCAGGCAAGAGAGCCATTGAACTGAATGGGACTCAAGAGGTAAAATTGAACAACTTCTTGATCAGTTTCTTATGTTCTTATGTGATGCATATGCATATGTTATGGTCCGTTCGGATGAAGTGATTTCAAATTTAAGGATTTAAACGATGTTTTTAAAATTAAATTGTTAGTTGTACACTATTATATTTCAAGCATGCCTGGATTTGAATATATAAGAGGAAAAGAAGGGAATAAATAAATAAATTTGAAATGATTTGTATACAGAGTCGCGATGAAGACATTCCTTCTCCTCTAGAACTTTGCTTACACTATATTATAATGATTTTATTTTTAATGTGTGAGATATTGACGTCAAGAGAAGAATACACATAAAATTATTCTACCACATTTGGCATGAAATAGTGCTAGCCACATATATAACACAAGAATTCTTAACAAATGTAGATTAGCATACATGTGACTTTATTAATTCCATGAGCATATATACATGATGATTTTATTAATTCCATCATGAAATTGTACCTTCTTGGCATGCAGGAGGGGCACGGCGACAATCAGAATTTGGAGTCGGAGAGTGTTGAGGATGATAACTTTCTCATCCCCCTGAACATGACCGGAGTTGAAGATGCAACTGGGTAAGTGAAGTTTATTAATTGAGGTTAATTAAGCTAACCCTAACCTTAACCTACCATGCTAGTTTCTTTTTTATTTTTGTTTTTGTTAGTTTTTATAATATAAATATGCAAACAGCCCGAGCTTTTCATCCATGCATTGAATTGAATTAAGCAAATAAATAGTTATGACCTCAATTAGTTTAGTTAGTACTCATTAATTATATTACATATGCTCCATGCAGAGGGACGTCGGAGGAGAAGGCAGCACCCAAGGTGAAAGCCCAGGCCGCTGCTCCGGCAACCCGGCGGAAGAGAAAGCGCGGGGAAGACCCTAAAACTTACGTACCTCTTGCCTTCCGAGAGAAGAAGTGTCAAGAGTACTACTTCTATGAGTATGCGTAGGTTTCAATTCATTATCAATACCTTTCTTTTATTCAATAATATATTCTTGGTTAATTTTCATATATAATTTCTTTTACATTGCGCAGGCCGTTTTTCTGATTGCTCTTCGCGCTCAGTGATAATCTGATGAAGTTGCGGCTGTTTCCCTTTTTTTTCATCAGTTAAATCTTATTTAGTAATTTGTCTTTGGTTTGATCAGAAGTGAGTTAATTTGCGGACTTGGGTGTTGAATTTGCGGACTTGATGGTGCAATATTATTCCATCGAATTTACTGTTGAGTTGTTTATCACTGCGGGTATTTTTGAATGTCAAACAATAGTCAGTATCTTTTACTTAATCACCTGTTTGGTTAGTGAGATGAAATTTTCATATCTAATCAGGAGATGAGAATGAAGGATTTTCATGTATTTGGATCTTTTTATCCATTCTCATTTGAACAATATTTGAATTAAAAATATTTGCTTCGTTTTTCAATAATACTCTTGCATTTTCATTAAAGGTTATGAATACCTATAAATTTTTAAGGATCATAACTGGTATTTCAAATTTAGAACATGAGCTAGTTAGTTTTAAAAAAGGACATTAACTATTTTCGTGAGTGAGTAAAAAACTTATCACGGGAAATCAAAGGTATGAGGAGTTCGTACTTATGTATCATGTATTCTATTTTTTAGAGTGTACGTAGTCACTAAACATGGACTATAATTTCATATCAATTTCTAAACTTCTAAACTTTGAACCAAATGAGCCCTAAGTATTTTCGGACAAAAAAAATACAACCGACTTAAATGAAAAAAAGAATCAAAACCTCATCTCAGTTTAGTTGAGGTTTTTAAATGGGTTCAACTTCTCTCTTTTCCATCAAATTGAGGAGTAAAACTATCAATTTGGACACCAATTTTCTGTTAAAAACTTAAGAAAATTGTTACAGTAAAACCAATTTGACATGAAAGAAAGTTAGAGGACCACTGAAATGAAAAAATATAATTAAAAGACCAAAATAGAACTCGAGCATAAATTTAAGGACTATTTCAGTCAAAACCGGAAAAGGACTGAATCACCCAAATATGGTCTTGTAGAACCGGAAAAGCCTCTGCCCAAACGCGTTCGGGCTCAACTAGGCCGATTGGCTGGGTTGAACTTGGTCCAACTGGATTTTTTGGGGCAAAGACGACCCCGTTTTGGTCCAACTCTGCATACGCAGGCGATCGGGCACGTGATTGGCCTTTCCTCATCCTTATCTTTTTGGGGTGAGAAGCGAACGATCGTTTACAAATACCCTAACTCACCGATCCCGCCCCAAAACCCTTGACTCGGTCCGAGTCAACTCACCGAGTTAATCACAAATGGACACGCACTCCTCGCATCTCGCTGCATCGAACCGTTCGCGGAGCTCTCAGTCCCCGTCGCCGTCGCACTCGGCCTCTGCCTCGGCCACCTCGTCCATCCACAAACGCAAGCTCGCGTCCGAGGACCACGCGCCGCCGTTCCCTCCCTCTTCATTCTCCGCGGACACGCGCGACGGCGCTTTGACCTCCAACGATGACCTCGACAGCATTTCTGCCCGAGGCGGCGGCGCCGATTCCGACTCGGACGATGAGTCCGACGCGCTGGTCGACGACGACGAGGAGGACTTCGACAACGACTCGTCCATGCGCAACTTCACGGCGGCGCGTCTCGATAACAGCGGCGCTTCTGCCGTGGTGCGCAACTCGAAGCTCAAAACGGAGAATGCAACGGTCAAGAATGAGAGTTCAGACGGCGCTAAAGACGGTGGTGGAACCGCCGGGAACGGTGCAGTGGGGCCCACCGTTGCCGGAGGCTCGGTGCCGGGGATCATGGTGAAGGAGGACGCCACTAAGATCTTCACGGAGAATATACAGACCAGTGGGGCTTACAGTGCCAGAGAAGAGAGTTTGAAGAGAGAGGTAAGCTTCTCTGCGCTTCTACTTTCTTTATTATTCTCATTTCCTTACGGAATTCAGTAATGTTAATTAGTATGAAGTAATTTTCAATTGGATATTTGGCTGGTTATGTATCACAGTATCAAAGTTGTATGCTTTTTTTAATTTCATTTGTCTAGGAGGAAGCGGGGAGGCTCAAGTTTGTGTGCCTTTCGAATGACGGTATTGATGAGCATATGGTTTGGTATTTGTCTCTGATGAACTTCCATTTTATAATCTTTGATGGTTTAGTGATGTTGAACTATAAAAGTAAAACTAATTCATCTTAATTGTTTCAGTTATCAAAATGACTAGCGTTAAGAATTCTGTGTTGGTTCGGAGTTTAATTTATGCCTCTGTTTTTGGGTTTCTCAGGTTGGTAGGATTGAAGAACATATTTGCCAGGCAGCTACCTAACATGCCCAAGGAGTACATTGTCCGACTTGTTATGGATAGGTAACACTACTAGCTCATTTTCAAAGCATAAAGAATGAGTGATCAGTGTGTATGTATGTGTTTATATTATTTGGCATGTAATACATGAACGCATTTCAGCATCTCTAGTAATCTAATATTTTGTTTTAATATCCCGTCTAAGTATTGGTTTATGTTTTTGGAATGACAGAAGTCATAAATCGGTTATGGTTATCAGACGTAATCATGTTGTTGGTGGCATAACATATCGACCGTATGTCAGGTAAAGTTTTTATTTTATTATCCTTTTGTTTTGTCTTCTGTATTGCCATTTTCCACATACTTCAATACAGAGTTGGGCTTTTCATCTGTGAGGTACCTCATTTGCCCTGTTACCAACATTCATTTCCTGGAAATAACAGCCAAAGGTTTGGAGAGATAGCTTTTTGTGCAATCACAGCGGATGAACAAGTAAAAGGTTATGGCACAAGACTGATGAATCACTTAAAACAGTATGCACGGGATGTTGATGGGCTAACCCATTTCCTGACATACGCTGACAATAATGCTGTTGGCTATTTTATTAAACAGGTCTTGTTATCTATCATTCATGTAATCACCTTTTAGGTTTTCTATTGATTGTTTCTGCATAAACTAATGGTGCCATAATTCTGTTGCTTTAGAAATCTTGCTTCGACATCTCAGTGTCAGCTTTTGGCATAGTTTTCACAACTATCCTTTGAATGCCATTTCTTTTTCTTGCTCCTGAGTTATGGAGTTGGTCTGGTGAAGAAACTGCACTAAATCTTTATTTCTTTGTAGGGTTTTACAAAAGAGATTCACTTGGAGAAAGACCGATGGCATGGGTATGTTATGCACACAACTCTAGTTATATGAAGACTGTTAAATTTTGATTTCGGAAGATCTAGGTTTCTTATTGTGCTTCGTAAGCTTGAAGTGGTTAGACTTGAAAAGAAATGAGTGAAGCTTTGATACAATTGCTACTTTCGTTTCTGTACTTTTAATTACCATAATCAAGTAACTGTGACCGTCCCAAAGTAGAGGCAAGATAAGACATACAAATGAACTTATGAGCTGGTGGTCCTTCACCAGAAATAGGATGTGTTGCCTGATTTAGGTATCTTACTTCTTGTGAAAACCTTTTTCATGTCAGCATTTTATTATTGTGTGCAGCTATATAAAAGATTACGATGGAGGAATCCTAATGGAATGCAGAATTGACCCAAAGCTACCATACACCGACTTATCAACTATGATTCGTCGTCAGAGGCAGGTAAGGGTCAACTCAATAGCTTGTAGATTTTCATAATTAAGTTAAATCTAACAATGGATCATGATAGATGCCAAAGCATGTATAGAGTATTGAACCAAGGTGGATTCACTACAATCTAGACTATCTGGTTGTTTTGGTTTTGTGGTAGGCGATCGATGAGAAGATAAGAGAGCTCTCAAATTGTCACATTGTTTATCCTGGCATTGATTTTCAAAAGGTAACATAATATTGTCCTCATATAAATTCCCAAATCTCTATAATATTTCTAGTGTTTTCTTTTAACTTCTGTTAACCACTAACGAGTAGAGTACTTACTGGACATAAGCCTGTGACAATCTGGTGTCATGGCACATTTATTAAATTCTTGTATGGTTCCTTTTTTCTTTTTTTTTGGGTCTTCTTGACTGTTATTATCAGTTAATGTATGAATGTCTAAAACTTAGTTCTGACCATGTATTTATTTATCCAGAAAGAAGCTGGTGTTCCTAAAAAAATCATTAAGGTCGAGGACATCCCTGGCTTGAGTAAGTTCTTTAACTTCGCTGGTTATTTTATTCTCTTAATCAGTCATTTATGCTATGCTAAATTTAATGTCAATTTTACCTTTGTGTTAAGTTGTGTTGGGGAAGTTGAATTGGTAATCAGAAGTTTAATGAACATTTTGGTAACAGGGGAGGCTGGGTGGACCCCTGATCAATGGGGCCATTCGCGGTTTGGAGCTTTGTCTGCTTCCACAGACAGTGCCAGAAAGTATTTGACTGGATTCATGCGAGGACTTCTAAAGGTGAGTTGCTTAAGCATATCTTTGTCAAGTTGTCTTTTGTTTTTCATCGTGAAAGTTAGCTTGCTTTATCTTTTTGCATTAATTTGTATCGACTCAATCTTGTGTTGCAACTTTGTATTAAGTTATTAACATGTTGCTGGAACCTAAGGGCTGCAGAAAAGTCAGTTTCTTAAATGTTCCCGGTGGTTGCATGCCAATGCCCATCAGAGTACGCACTTGCATGCGTTTTAATCTAAGAAATGAATTGGATCTTTCCTTGTCTTCGAATTAAGTATATGAGCAACTACAGAGAGACAAGTGTGCAATAGAGTACCATCTTAGTCTCCCAAAGCGAAGTACCTTTACAGGGGTAGGAAGCAATAAGAGTTTGTATGCGATATGCGGAATATAACACATGACAAGCTGCCATTTGTGGTTTATTGATCATTTTCCCCAGTATGAGCATAAGACACATGGAAATCTTAGTTATATGGTCGAGTTTTGTGACTTTCCTCTTGCTGTCAGCGTAAAATGGATTCTTACCAAATACATTTTCATTTAAGCAGTCTATGCATGACCATGTTGATGCCTGGCCATTCAAGGAACCAGTTGATGCACGTGATGTTCCTGATTATTATGACATCATCAAAGATCCCATGGGTAAGGACTATTTCTCCGCGAACTACATAGTTTAAATATCTTCTGCATTTAGTGTCTGGAATTCTTCCAAGTGTTTTCACAGAAGCCGTATTTTGAATATTGCTTTCTGATAATGTAGTTTGGATACTAGCTTGATCATAATCTGTGCTTTGCCGTTAGCATCTTGAGTTGTAAAATTGTCACGACTTCTTAAATTTATTTGAAAAGCCCGCATGCTCTTTAGATATCTGGTCAGAGGTCGGCATGACATGTGGCATCTCTTATTTCTTGCCATTGTTTTCTTGCTTTTGTTTCTTCCTAACTGTGGAAATTACTAATAAGTATGCTTACCTCTTATCAGCCTTGGGTTTTGGCATAGGTGTTTGTATTTGTGCATGTTGCATCAAATTTACGACGCTTTAACAGATATTTAATATGATGTAGATCTGAAGACTATGTCGAAGAGGGTAGAGTCGGAACAGTATTACGTAACGTTTGAGATGTTTGTTGCGGATGCCAAGAGGATGTTTGCAAATGCACGCACTTACAACTCCCCCGATACCATTTACTATAAATGTGCAACCAGGTAATGCTGTTGGCATCCCTTTGTCGCTCTTTGCCTTGTTTTCTACGTTGGTTCTGAAGATGTCAATTGTTTCCTTGCAGGCTGGAAGCCCATTTTCAAAGCAAAGTTCAATCAGGACTCCAAGCTGGTGCCAAAATCCAGCAGTGAATTAGATGAATGTACATACCGGTTTCATTACGTTCAGCTGCCCTGGCCCCATGGCAATGCTTCATGTTGTATTTTTAGTTTTTATTTAATTTTTTCAAAATTTGTATGCACTTGCCATCATGGATTCACGTTCCCCGCTGGCGTTTCCCCTTTCCGCCGCCTTGTTACAATTTAGACTTTATTAGAATCCAAATGGTTTTATGTCAGACTTGTACGCCCGACCCCAAATGGAAAAGAAACTAGGAAGCTGATGCATTACATTTCTTCATTATTTTGACTTCTGTCAATGCTCAGTTTGGTGACACAAAAGACTATGAAGAAGGAAACTACTCCCCACGTCCTATAACTCAACTCTTTGTACTTTTCTTTATTAAGGTGGATGGGGCAGAAGATTCGTATTCGTTCCCGCACATGGAGAAGAAATTATAAAAAGAATTAAGAAAGAAATCAATCATTTAGCGAAATCTAAAACAGAAACAAAGATGAAATACAAAAAGTTGGGAGTTAAAATACACTAGTAAAGGTGAACATCAATTCAACCAACCTTCTATCCCTTTCTGTAAAATAGGAAGGGATAAAAAAGTCACTACACTCAGCTCTGTTTCTTGTTCTTTGGGGCAGCATGGGAAAGATGAGGATCCCAACCCGGCAATGGTTCACGTGGACCCACTCCTGGCCGAAGCTGCTGCTGCTGCGGTTGCTGCTGCATATGATCTACACTAGCTGTGTGTTGAATTGAAGAGATTTCAGCCATGTTGCTTCCGGTGACGGTAGGCTGGCCAACATTACTCTGTGGGTTCCTGACTAGAGAAATTGGGGGGTCTCGTGGAAAGCCGGTGTCCAATCTCTGGTGAGGTAGAGTGGAAGTGGCCAAATTAGGAACTACCGGATGAAAGAGCTGGTTGGAGTTCGGTTGCATTGGCACAGCAGCATTTGTAGATCCATCCATGGGGTTCACTGATGGTATGCTTACACTCGGTAAATTTGACATGGCCAGAAGTAGCGGGTTGATCCCTGTCACTCTCTTAACGGAGTCCTCTGCCATTTTCACCTGAATTTTTTTACAATAAATATCCATAAGAGAATTGAATTGAAAGTATACAGGGTACTCTGACCAGGTAAAAATATGCAAACTATAAAATTTGAAAATTCACAATGTCTTACTGGCTAACCTTTGCTCTTAACGTCTCAATATCAGCTCTTAATATTCTGTTGTCAACAGCAGCATTATCATATTTCTGATTCACGTCTGTGAGACGTTTTAACAATGTAGAGTGTTCAACCCTCAGTTGACCAACCTAAATGAAACCAAACATATAACTCCATAATGTTCTCTACTTAAAATTTTTAATTATAAAAAGAAAAGAAAACAAAAAAAAAAGATTATTGGAAATATCAAGAAGAGATGAAGATTGTTTTTGCTAATTAAAATTTTAAAACAAGGAGCACCACCTGTGTCTCAAGTTCACTCATTTGTGCTTGTTTTCTCCTTCTAGAGCGTCTAGCTGACTCTCGATTTGACAGCATCCTGAGTACCATCAACATGTTAATCCATAAAGGGCTAAGTTTTTAGATTTTACAAATATGGTATTAAGTTGCATATGGACAGTATCTGTTGAATTCCTGTTATGAGAGATGACAATGCTTTACAACAAACCTGTTGTCAAACAAATTCATCAGGTGAAAAATCATGCAAAATGCAACATTTCCCTCCTTCCAAATCAGATCATTGCTTTCAAAAATCACTGATTCCGAAGCAGACAGGTCCTTGCTCTAAATTCTCTACTGGAAGAAAAAACTAAGTTTTGTTTGGACAACCAAAATTTTCTTCTCGTCTTTCATCCATAGTGTACAGGGCACATATTAACCATCATCAAGGCTTTTAATGTGTTGAAACCTTCATACATCGATTACTGTACGGAAAATATAACTCAAGCCGATTAAGCCTAAATGCCAACTATTACTTAGAGACCAACCAAAAAGAACCAACATCATACCAAGAGATGAAACAAAACAGCCTAATAGTTGGAAAAGTAGGCATGAAATGGGTTACCTCCTAGCACGTTTTACATCAGAAGGATCCATATTCTCATTAATTTCAATGTCTCCTTCAAGATCATCATCATCCGAGTCCTCTTTCGATGATCCGCTTGTTGTCTGCTTACTCTGCAACCCCGTTATTTTCTGAACAGCAGGTAAAGCCGGAATGCCAACTGGGCCAGTGTCAGCTTCATTTTGTTGCACTGGGAAACCATGACCAGCATCTAGCATAGCTCAAATCAAATGGGTTTTCGTATGTTAAACATAATCATCACTAACATATCTGATAAGAAGATGCTATGATAAAACCCAACTTTAATTTCTACACAAAGAAATGATGACAAGTGCAACACCTAAAATCATTAAAATTGAGAAAAATGTATTATGTAAAATAAGCAGACAAGTCAAGCACAAACCTTTATCAAGCGATTGACTGTGGGCTAATTGTGAAGGCTTCGACAGCTGCGATTGACTCTCGGCGGCCATGTTATCCAAATCCACAGGCTTCAAAGACGACGCCTGCCATCACATTCATCAATAAAAGAATTTGAAAAAAAATTACAGAAATTTAGATACAAAATGCAAAATTAATGAGAGAGAGATGTACGCGAGAGAGAGCGACGGCAGCGCAAGCCAGATCGAGCTGGTTCTTAAGAAATTCACGGTACTGATCCGAATTAACCTGAACCGTTGACGTCGGATCCAACGGCGGAGGATTAGGGTGATTAAGCTGCTGCTGAGGTTGATGATGATGATTATGATGATCGGGCTTCTTGATCTCAACTACCTCTTCATCTCCATCTTCGCGCTTCGACGTTGACGACTGAGACGCAACAGAACAAGAAGCGACCGACGAAGCGGTCAATTGATCGGCGACGGCAACTGATCGCCGAGGAGTGGCCGCTGGGGTCGAGAACTCGTCGAGAAACTGCTCGAAGGCCCACTCCGACGCGCTCCTATTCATTGCCGGAGACGACAACGCCCAAGCCGTATCGGAGACGTCGTCCGCGGAGAACACTGAATGCATACTCTCGAGTCCGTGTCCGAAATATCCGATTTTTGTTTCTCTCTCTTTGGATTTCGTTTTTATATATCGGAATCGGAGTGCGGACAACTAGAGCTATACTCTGGTGCTCTACGTAACATGGTAATATTTATACATGGGCCTTCTATTTTGGCGGGATGCGTTGATAAGAATACATTTGACACGCGTCGTGTGACAGGTGAAAGGTTTTGTGGTCCGTGTAGTAGGGGAATATAAGTGCGGCCGCTTTTGGTTGTGGAGAAAGGAGAGAAACCTACGGGTTCAGAGAAGCAATGAAAGACAAATATGAAAGGGTATGCAAATGAGATGGGACCAGTGACATATTCACGATTCAAAAGTCATGTAGGCGAAACTTACCTTAAAAATTCGAAGGTATGAGTGAATTTTATTCATAAAAATAAAAAAATACACCTAGTCAGGAGGGACGTAATGAGTCTTACCCTCAAATATGCATATCTATATATAAAGTTTAAAAAAAAAAAAAAAAAAAAAAAAAAAAAAAAAAAAAAGCAATGCAACAACAAAAATTAAACTATTTTAATCTAAAATTGTACCCTACGAGGCTTAGAAATCTTAAATTCCTCAATTATCTCTTCATTATCGATATTATTAGCAAACTTTCTTTCAATGTGGAGAATCATGCAATCATCAAGGAATTCATCAACTATGGTGCTCCGAAATCTATTCTGAATAATTCTCATACATGAAAAAGCTCGTTCCGTTGTTGCTGTAGAAACAAGAAGAGTCAACACCAACTGAATCAACCTATAAAGCAAATGGTAGTTTTCTGCTAAAGTTGTTTCCACCAATTGTTGATATAACTGAGGAAGAGTGGTGAGGTCCTTAAAGCAGGGAAGGCAATACATATCATTTTGAAAATACCTAAACTCAATTTCCAAAACTTTTAAGTCACTTGGACTGAAATTAGCAGAATAGAATTTCTCATCAAGTTTACATAGATGCCCAATATTGAATGATTTGAAGGAATTACGAGGATCCAATGCTGAGCTAAGAAGAATACTTATTTCCTTGTATATGAGAAGAGAAGGGGTTGTCCACGATTGCACAGCTTGACTATTGCACAGCCAAGATTGTTGAGTTGAGAAGAAGCTGCCGACTCTATCTAGAATTGCACAACCATTATTTGGCTGCTTATAAGTTATATTCCCCCTTTTATTAAAGTATGACTGGACCATTCCATAACATGGGGGTTAGTTATAATTTTTTTTTTTTTTTTTTTTTTTTTTTTGAGTGGGTTTTAACACATGTGGTGTGAGTTTTACATGGGCTGGTTGTTTACAGGCAAGGGTGTTATACCATCACATATATATGGGTACCATCACATGTAGGACCGCTCCTGGGTGGGACCTCTAAAAAGTTGAAAAGATTTTGTATATACAACTCAATTATTGTATAGTATACGTTTTTTTTAAGTGTAGGGGATCCAAATGTGAGATAACTGTTTTTAATCATTTGAGTTAAAAGTCTTTATTTATATATAATTTAGATTTGATTTAAGTATGATAATCTCGGTGCCAACGGGGTAAAACTTATTAGAAAATGACCTTAATTTGTAGACTAGTAGTTTCAAATTTGAACTTGATGACACTTTAGTTGTGTGTGTAAGAAACCCTCATTCCCTTGCAGTTTAAACTTCAAAATAGATGAAGCATCATTAGATACATAGCTAAACAAGTAAACCTTCGTACGCGGCAGTTGCTTTTGGATTTAGATTCTCAACTTCTTCTATTTTGATATTAGGATACAATTGTTGGATATTAACAAACTGATCAGGAGCAGCTCCTGATTCTACAAGAACCAATGCATGGCAATTTATCATGTATAATTTGTCTGATGTACTCATTGAAATATAAAAGTTGATCTAACCCTTGCATCTTCTTTTATTTTCGACAAAGTTTTTTGCACATTACAACTGCAGCTTTATACATCATTCGGGCATATAATGCCCTGAAGAAGTCAGCTTTTGCAGTAAAGATGACTAAAAACCAAAAGCCAAAAAAAAAAAAAAAAAAAAAAAAAAAAAAAAAAAAAAATCAAAAGAGATATAGTGATCAGAGTGATGTGATCAGAGGAGTTTTAGAGATTGGGTGAAAATTGCTAGTTCCTTCAACCCTTCCTCAGGAGTTTTGGCTTCACCCAACAGCTTCACGATTGCACTGCCAACAATGACACCATCAGCTCCCCATCCTGCTACCTGTACAACACTCATGACTAAGTATCTTGACTGAGGTAGAAGATTAACAATAATAGGCATTCTGGTTTTCTTTTGATTAAAAGGAGTCCAAAGTCTATAAAGGGAGAGGACTGAATCGAACTTTCGCAGTGAAGGTAAAGTAGTCTACTGTGGGTGTGGGTGTGGTGTGGGACATTATGAGTTTAACATACTAACCTGTTTCGCCTGTTCGGGCTTTGAGATGCCAAAACCAACTGCTACAGGCTTTGACGTTGCCTGTCACATATAAGGTATGCATGATTACGAGAGACAAAAATATTAAGTTGAAGGGATCATATCAAATGTACAATGTTCTTTTACTTTTTAGCTACTCTAGTAAGGCAGCTCAAATGTTCAAGATGAGTGGTTGATTAGTCTAGTAAGGGATCATATCTCTCCATTTTGTATCAAAGCCTTAAAACATAAAAGGCATTTGGATCAAATTTAGCATCAAGATAATGTAAGGTCCTGATCCAGCATGAATGCTTGTAAGCAAATGCAAATCCATAAATCGACATGCTGGTCATGATGTCATATTGCACATAAGGCTTGCATTATCCATCAGAAGTGGTAATAGAATTCTGAAAAATTTCACTGTTAGAACTGATTAGAAAGACAAACCTCTTTAATTTCCTTCAAAAGAGCAGGAACTCGTTCATTCACAGATGCACGGGCACCGGTAACTCCGATCGAGCTCACCTATAATTCATCTTAAGACGTCAAGATACAGATAAATTTTCCAAAAAATAATAAAATGTTCGTGTAGCAAACACAACTTGTCAATATTTTATTCATAGGCGTTTTAGCTTTACACAACAAGACCAAAAAAAGCAACAAAAAAAAAACAGAGAGAGAGAGAGAGAGAGAGAGAGAGTTCAAGAACCACATTAGCATCCACTTTCCTGACACTAATAATAGCAAGTACGTATCCAATAACTTCATTTTCTAATTATAAGCTAAATGATGATTCCAGAAATTGGACAACCCACAACAGATTTTTGAATCTAATTAAACATAAAATACTAAGGATTTATATTATTACAAGACAAAACCTTATAACTTTAAACCAAATAAAGGATACCAAAGGAATCTTACCAGGTACAAAAATCCTTCTGAAGCTTCAGCAATGGCCCTCATCCGATCAATTGGCGTAGTGGGCGTAGTTAGTAATACCTGGAAATCACACCAGCAGATGAGATGTATTACAGTCACATCCAAAAGTAACATAAAATAATTTGAAATACTCTCACAATACAAAAAGAATAAAGGGAAAGAAAATTAAGAAACAAACCAATTCAATATTATGTTTCACAGCTTCCTTTCTCAAAATTTCCGTCTCTTCCAATGGAACATCTGGAACCACAAGCCCTACAAACAAATGTGGAATTAGGAATCTAGTCAAATCTCTTATATATATAAACAAAGGGGTTCACAAATGAGAAGGAGAACTAAAATACCAATGCTTCAATCAAGTACCCAAAAATAGACATGAAAAGGTCTGTGTAAAAAGATTTATATGACCATTAACTGAATCCACATCTCAATAGAAGGCAAAGGTGCAGTTCAGTCAGTGAAAATACTATCATATTGAAAATTTTAAAAGATTCAGCAACAAGTACTTATACATTACCATGTACACCAACGTCTCTAATGGTGGACATGAATTCTCCAATTCCACGCTTCAATATTGGGTTATAGTACGTAAAGAGAGCAATTGGGCAAGACAATTGTGGAATCACCTGTCCATTCAACAAGACTGACATAATTAGATTATTTCGATGAACTCTTGATGTGAATATGCTACTGTCTTGATATGATTTCTTATTCCTACATCTCATATTACCATATGAGAATACTTTAGATGCTTATAATTGGCATAGTTCATATGTTACAGCAATCAAAGTGGATAGTAGACACGGTGATAGTAATATATCTAACATAATTTTCACTTGGGAATACAACACCAACGAATATCAATCAAGTTAACATAACATTGCATATATAAACATACCTCCTTCAACATTGAAACAATTGAATTCAGATTGGTCCCCTTTGACAAGGAACGGGTGGTTGCAGCCTAAGCAATAGCACACAAGAGGATAAGAACACCGGAACCTATGGCATATAGATTGCCAAAAAAAATATGCAGAAGTATAAAAATGAAAATGAAAATCACTATCATACCTGTATAACTGGACCATCTGCTAATGGATCAGAATATGGCACACCTAATTCGATTATGTCCGAACCACAAGAATCAAGTACCTTCAATGCTTCTGCTGTGATTGATAGATCGGGATCACCAGCAGTGATGTAAGGGATCAATGCAACCTTAACAGAAAGACATACTCATTAAAACAACAAAATCAGATAAATAAGCCATCTAGTCTAGAATCCAAATCCTAAAATGAAATATAGTTCATCTAAAGGACTACCACAATAACAACTTCACTATTGGCAATGATTTATCATTTCTATCTGATCATTTTTCTCCTACTATTTCAATCTCAGTCACAGTCATGTGCAGGGTGGATTCTGCTACTTCAGTTTCAACCAAACTTAGTCAGATCTAGTAAACATGCAAAGCTTTTTGGTCAAAACGAAAGCAATCTCCAGAACAATAACTAAACAAAAGGTCTCATCAACCAGCATCTCTTCCCGGGCCCTATTTGGAAATGAAAAATGTGCATTTTGGCGGGTGATTGAAACCCAACTGGTAGTGAGCAAAAAAGTAGCAGAATTTAGACTATACAATTCCTTGACGGATCATCCTGGTTTTCACGGAGCACAGAAAGCCATAAACTTTGGTGAGTCTGCAAATTTTTCTACAGGGCTTCAAATGAAAGAACAAACATGCAGAACAGGCGCACCAAAGTTTAAAAACTTCCTAGACTGTAATTCGAAAGTTCCTAAAGCAGATATCGAAATTGCTTACCTTGCCTTGCTCCTTCAACTTCGTGAAGGTTTGGGAGAGACCGACGGCTGGGGTGGTGGTGAGAGCAGCCATTGGGGTAAATTTCTTGAGTGAAAGAGTGGATGCTTGAGATGGAGAGCGCAGAAGCAATGGATTTTGAGGCTTCTTCAGTTGCAGAAAACCAGCTGCAGATTTAAGAGAAGAAGCAGCCATTGGGTTGAGTATATTTCAGTAGGCCCAGTGAGGCTTTTGTAGGGTTTTTTCTTCCTGTTGGCCTTCTTCTGTGTTTGTACACTTGGACTCTCACTTCTCAACTCACCATCATTCTCTCCTCCTTATCTTATATAGTGTCTCGGCCGTTGAATTCCGCGCAGTTTTTCCTTTTTAATCTTTTTTTTTCTTCTTTTATGTATTCTCGGCCAAATTTTTGGCACAAGTTAATTTGAAGTTTTCTTTTTGGAAATGACACATTTTGTGCAAGTAAATCTCTTAAAAAGGGAAGTGGGTCAAGTTGGTAGGTATACCTAATACTTTTCCTTCTAAATTCTTAACTTTCCAATTTCATAGGTTAGCATTATATAATTTGGATAAAGTTAATAACTTGTAAATTCTGCCTATACAACAATTTATTTTTCGAACGTTACATTTTTTTTCTTTGGGGATTCATGAACTTTTTTATTCTAATAGAGGTAATAATTCCTTTTGTAACTCTCACACATCCATGTTAATTAAGAATTATTTTAAGTTAGGACATTTTCCTACATTTGGAAGAGAAATGCAACTTAGAATATCTTCTTAAGTTGAGAACAGATAATTGATAAAATTACACATTTCAAGAATGATTTGTACCCCTCAACAAAATAGTTAATATTTTGAGGCTAACTGGTAATTTCCCATATTAATTTAAGGTAACTCTTTTTTCGAACAAGCGATATTAGAGGAAAGGGGAATGGAACACAAGACTTTGGTGCAAAGTAGAGGTGTCAAACGGACCAAGTTAATAACTTGTAAATTCTGCATATACATCAATTTATTTTTAGAACGTTACATTTTTTTCTTTGCGGATTCATGAACTTTTTCATTCTAGTAGAGGTAATAACTCATTTCGTAACTCTCACACATCCATGTTAATTAATAATTATTTTAAGTTAGGATAGTTTCCTACGTTGGGAAGAGAAATGCAACTTAGAATGTCTTCTTAAGTTGAGAACAGATAATTGATAAAATTACACATTTCAAGAATGATTTGTACTAAAATTTCCCTAAACAAAATAGTTAATATTTTGAGGCTAACTAGTAATTTCCCATATTAATTTTAGGCAATTCTTTTTTCGAACAAGTGATATTAGAGGAAAGGGGAATGGAACACAGTACTTCGGTGCAAAGTAGAGGTGTCAGACGACCAAGTTAATAACTTGTAAATTCTGCCTATACAACAATTTATTTTTAGAACGTTACATTTTTTTCTTTGGGGATTCATGAACTTTTTCATTCTAGTAGAAGTAATAACCCCTTTCATAACTCTCACACATCCATGTTAATTAAGAATTATTTTAAGTTAGGATAGTTTCCTACGTTGGGAAGAGAAATGCAACTTAGAATATCTTCTTAAGTTGAGAACAGATAGTTGATAAAATTACACATTTCAAAAATGATTCGTACTAAAATTTCCCTCAACAAAATAGTTAATTTTTTTAGGGTAATTAGTAATTCCCATATTAATTTAAGGCAACTCTTTTTCTAGACAAGCGATATTAGAGGAAAGGGAATGGAACACAAGACTTCGGTGCAAAGTAGAGGTGTCAGACGGACCAAGCTGGCTAGATACAGCATGAGCATGGCCCACTTAAGTAAGGCCCAGCACGACATGGTCCATATCTTTGAGTCGTATCGAGACAAGGTAATTAGGCCCAATGGGCATGGTTGGTCTGTGGCCAATCGCGGGCCTGCTGTTTAAAGCCCATTTCTGAAATTATATTTATTTTAGAGAAAAATAATACACAAAATTATTTTATTTATATCTTAAATTCAAGTTTATATATTTTCTCTAATAATATGTATTAAAATTTAACGTTTTCTTTATATATAAAATAATGATTTTGTTTTTCAAGTTTCAATTTTTAAAATTCAAACAATAATGTAGTCATTTTTTTTATTTAAGTGTACTTTAAAGAGAGTTATTGCTCACTTTTTTTCAACAAATAATAAATCTTGTTAGTATATATATAATTGTAAAATATAATAAACGAAGTTGTAAAAAAAAATTACAAAAAAAAGAGATCAATAAATAAGTCAAATTTGGCGTGGGCTCATTTCGGCTTGTTTAGTGGTCTGACATGAGCTTGGGCTAGAATTGATGATTTTCATAAATGAAAGGGCCTGAGATAACCCATTTATTAAATAGGCTGACTCTAAATGGGCCGGCCCGTTTGACACCTCTATTGCAGAGGTAGTTTTTTACGAGAATTCTTTTGATATTTGGTCCAATCCAAACAATTGTCCAAAAGTTTATAAGACATGGGCCTTCATGTCATGATAATGGGCCTTAACTGTTGGGCGGCAAAGTTGTCGCCCGCCAAACGCCAACGACAAAATCCTCAACAGTGAATTAAACATAAATTATTACAGTGGCATAGACATGTAAATTGGAGGAAATGCAGCCCCCTTTACCAAAAAGAAAACATTTTTAACCAGATAAAGCCACCTTCACTTTTCGTCCCTCTTTGTCTCTTCGCTCTCAGAGAGTACTGCTGAGGTTGAAGAAAGAAGAAAGCGTATAGCAAAGAGCAAAGCAAACTTCAAAGCTCAACGCTTTCTCTATCCCTCTTTTTTCTTCATGTAGATGCTCTTTGAAAACCCTAACTCGCTCTCCTACCCGACTCAGCTTGACTCGGTCTGTTATTCTCACTCAACATGGCCAACAACCCCTCTGAAGCCCCGGCCGATGATTTCCTCGAGCAAATTCTTGGCCTGCCCAACTTTGCTTCGGCAGATGCTAATTTGTCTGGAAACGACGGAGGCTTGACCGGGGCTCAGGTGTCTCCGTCTCCGATGATGCTTCAGCTAAATTCCGGCGACGGCTCCGGCCATATATCCGCCGTCGGCGGTGGGTACCGTGGACCGGTGTTCCCGTTAGGGTTGAGCCTGGAGCAGGGAAAGGCTGGATTTTTGAAGCCCGAGGAGGCTTCAGGGAGTGGGAAGCGGTTTCGAGACGACATGGTTGATAGTAGAGGTTCATCTGTGAAAAATGTAAGATTTTCGGCCTATAAAAAATCTTTTTAATTAGGTGGTTTTATTTGGTTAGCTCGAAAGTTTGACACTTTTTTTAGTGATTGAATTATAATAAAATGGATTTTCAGATGTTTTGGTGATATGAGTTTGGAGTGTGTAATTGAATATTAGCTGGATGATTGCGTGTTCTTAAGTTGAGTAAAGGAGCTACTGGGGATAAGTTTGTGAATTTGGTTTTATTTGTTTGCTTAATAAGCAACTAGACAAACGAAAGGAAACAAGGACAATCGGAAACTTATAATAAGTTGGTTTTTCATTATTTGGGTGAGATTCAAGTACTCCTATCTGACAAGAAGTAAAATACAAGAGTTTTTTTTTTTTTTTTTTAGGACACTTCTAGGTTACTTGAGAAATGGGAATTAAATGGCTGGCCAGAATCGAACAAAAAAGTTACAAATGAGTCATGAAAAGCCAAATATTTGTAAGCATTCTGAAGTCAGGGTAAACGGAAGCATGTGAAAAGTGATGGGTGTGCATGTGATTTTAGAGAAAAAGTATCAGAAAACATGAAATCCATTATTTTTAATTTTAATTGTTACAAACGAAGAATAAAATTTATGGTTTCCTTGTAATATATAAGACCATGTAAACAATAACTTGTAACTACACTTCAACATGTTAACAACTGGTGTTGATAATTTTATATTGATAGCACATATACATATACGTATATGGAAGTATACATGTGTATGTGTGTGTATCAGTGTAAGTATATATTTCTGTATGTGGGTATATCTATGTATGTGTGTATGTATGTATGTATGTGTGTAAATATATGTACGTGTATATGTGTAGCTATGGGAATTCAGAACTTCGGCAGGTTGTCTTATTTTCATGTAATATCAGAATTTTAAAGAGTTGGACATCTATTGATCCACCAAAATGGTTGATGTACTTGTACCTTTTGGGTTTTCCGCTGAGGTGCATTGTTGAGAAACTAGCTCAACTACCGCCCCTAGTAATAGAAATTGTCTCATTTTGCAGGTTTTCCATGGTCAACCAATTTCCAATTCAGTTGCTGCAGCACCACATCCACCGGCTATGCGACCAAGGGTGCGGGCTAGAAGAGGACAAGCCACAGATCCACACAGCATCGCTGAGCGGGTAAGTTTGCTATCATTTACACAAAAGAACATCCCATGGAATTCTTATGAAAACATAAACTAGATTGTGATCATGATAAAACCTTTTCTTAGGGCTGCACTTGGAGCCATATTTCATTTTAAAATTTTACCTTTTTTTTAATCTCTTTTTTATTTTTCTTTCTTTCTCCTTTATGGCTATTGTATGCTTAATGTACAACTTTTCTGTACAGTTGCGCCGAGAAAGAATAGCAGAAAGAATCAGGGCATTGCAGGAACTAGTTCCTAGTGTCAACAAGGTCAGCAGCACTCCTTTCATGTCATGTTTTGTATTTTCTTTCACTAGAAACATGTTGTTTTATGTGTGTGTGTGTATGAGGCGGCGGTTTGCTTCCCTAGTTCTTCAAATTGATATAAGTTGTTTAGAAGATGAGTGAGTAAAAAAAATTATTTTGAAACCAATTTAAGAACATATTAGAAATCGTTTGAGGGAACAACTTCTTTGTGACCCTGTTATGTTTGGGTTTCAAACAAGGGACTTGATTGGCTGGAGCATTGTGATCATTTCAACAAATCTAACTTAGATGTGGTGAAATACTGGTAGTCTTGTTTAGAAAGTTCATAATAAATCTTGCTTAATTGCCTAAAATTTGGGTTTGGGATTGGACGGTGCTGTATTCGTAAGATAAAGTTTAGGAGTTGAACAGAGCTCGATTCTATTTCCATACAAGGGATTTCTCGTGATTTTTTAAGTGATAACGTACAATGCATGGTACCATGGCATTCCAAAGCTGGTAAGGTGACAAAATGTTCTAGAAAAATAATTGTAATGCTGGTGCTTTGTGGATGATTTGCATAGTGTTACATTTTCTTGAGATGTCATCAACTGTATTCTATGTACTTCTGTTTTGTGCAGACGGATAGAGCTGCCATGCTTGATGAAATCATGGATTACGTGAAGTTCCTAAGGCTCCAAGTAAAGGTAGAGTTATTTAAGGTTCAATGCACATTATCTTATTCGCATAAATAATAGGATTCCTATTACTCATTTCTCCCCATCTTTTTCAGTTGCTTTACATTCAATATATACTGAAACTATGCTATACTTAAAAGGTCATTAATTTTTAGACCAATGCTTATTCCATAGGGGAAGTTTCTCCTTTCGAGAGTGGGTTTGGATGCTGTAGTGTTCCTATAATTTGGGTGTTGTTTTGGTAAGATTTTGTGTCAAATCAAATTATTTTCGTTCACTTAACAACATAGCAATAGGGCAAATTTTGCTTTCCATTTACTTTTTACTGTTTGACCAATTACTTAGGACCCAAACATATCGCTATTCTGATTTGTTAGGCGTGCGAGGATAGAGTGGAGTTGGTCTTCTTATAATGATGAAGAAAGTGGAGGTTTTTGTTCTTTTCTTAATATGCTTAAGTCATCTACTTTACAGGTTTTGAGCATGAGTAGATTGGGAGGAGCTGGTGCTGTAGCACCACTTGTAACGGACATTCCACTATCTTCAGTTGAGGTAATAAATGAAAGTATTTTATATTTGCTCGGTTTTTTGTTTATTTCCATTTCCTTAAACAACCACGCTTCTGTTCTAATGACAGGAAGAAGGTGGTGAAGGTGGTAGAAACCAACCGGCATGGGATAAGTGGTCGAACGATGGCACAGAACGGCAAGTAGCTAAGCTTATGGAAGAAAATGTTGGGGCTGCAATGCAGTTCCTTCAATCAAAGGCTCTTTGCATCATGCCTATCTCACTGGCCTCAGCAATTTACCACACACAACCACCAGACACATCTAGTGTTGTGAAGCCTGAAATGAACCCTCCTTCATAAGAGACCTCAGAAAAAGGGTAGGTATGCATTCCCACGGTCCCACCGAAAAACTCACTAGATGCCCGTGGGTCCCATGCCTTATTTGTCGTTTTCCAATCCCCCATAGCTTTAGTTGTTTCCTCAGCTTCAAATTGCATTCAAAGTCAGATGCCATAGTTGTTGCTTTTTGCCTTTTATTTCAACTTTTGTCAAAACAGGGATCGATGTCAATGCCCTAAAAAAAATACTAGCAGGCCCCTTCGTGTCTTGCCAGGTTCAAGTAAAGGAGAAGAATTGTCAAAGCTCACTTGATATGCTCCTCCTTTTTTGTATCAATGGTGGGGGTAGTGGAAAATGATGGAAGCCCTTTTCCAGTGGGGCTCTCATTGTTTCTCAGTGGGCTGTGGGGCCTACTTTCTTAAAGGATTAGATGAGTATGTATAAATATTATTATTTTTATCAATGTATGTTAGAGGAATGTAATATAGAGGTGGGATAATATGAATGCATAATTGTTGCTAGTTTGAAAAATGCCGGGTGTTCCAACTCCTGATGAAATTGACAATGCTACTTTTTTGGGTTTAGGGTTTCAAAAAAGTAAACCAAGACTTCTTTTTCAATTCTCCCGAATCATAATTGGAGGTTAAATCATTGAGAGAGAGAGAGAGAGACAGAGAGCTTTGAGAGTTATTTTTGGTGGCCCAAATTCATTTTTCAAAAGTAAACGCCACTGAACTTTTTCATCTGTTCCAACTTCCAACTACAAGGCCTATAAGCAAGAAAGATGGTACGGATGGAAAACATCAACAGCCACATGTTGAATCCAATAGGTTCAAGGTTGTGAAAATTCCTATATTTCTAGCGCATCCTGCTTTCCAATTCCAATTCTACGTTTAAATTATCTTGAGTCTCTGCAAATTCAATTGATTTTAAGTTAGATACTCACAGTTTAACTACTTCATATCAACTCACATGTGAGATCAGCCAGTTGATCATAGCAGAACTTCAAGCCGACTTGTACGTAGCGCAGTGGCTTTCTTAATTGGGTTTGATCTGCTCATTAAATCTGATGGGCCTTCAGAGGACTTTTGGAAAATTAAAGTGGGGATGCATGGGCCTTTCGGGACGTGTTGAACCCAAGATGATATATGGGTTCCGCCATGGGAGATCCGCTTGAGATAATGTGGCCCAAACCCCGAGAGAATTTTTGTTTTTGTTATTTTCCTTTTCTTTGAACCCTCCTTCTTGGAGAATTAAGATAAGCGTAGTGCCATAGTAGCATTATCCGACAACGGCGGAGTTTGGCACCTTCACCTGAAACCCCGATAGCAATGGCGTTAGAGAGAGCACTGCCAGCAGCGACAAGCACAACCTTCCTCACAAACCCCAAAGTTCCCTCCTTTTTCCCAACCACAACCTCCAACCACAACCACAGCCACTTAGCCTTCGCACGGCGCCGTTTCAATATCAAATGCTCGTTGGATTACAGTAGAGACCAGTACAATAACAATGGCAGCAGCAGCATTCAAGTGCCCATAGCGTATCCTAGACCGGCTGAGGTTCAGTGGAAGAAGGAGCTGTGCAATACGGTGCACCTCATTGGCGTCGTCGGTCTTCCCATTGAAATTAAGCACCTTCCCTCTGGAAAGGTCGTCGCTTGGACCCGCCTCGCCGTCAAGAAATCATCTTCCGACACCTCATGGTACTATTTTCTTCAATCTTTTGTGTTTTATCATGATTTGCAGTTGATGATGCTCATTTAATTATTGGGTTTTGAATTTGATAACTACCGTGTAAGAATTTTGTTCAAATGCTTTCAATTAGTGTGGTGTGGTGGTGCTTATTAAATTCAAGTGGGAAATTCAAATTTTTGATGTTTGTATCGCATCACAATGTTTGTCTGTTAATTATGAGAGGTGGGTTTTCTTTCTTTTTCCAGGATCAATTTGACATTTTGGGATGAGATGGCGCGTGTTGCTTTCCAGCATGTAGAGAAAGGCAATCAAATATATGTCATTGGTCGTCTGATTACAGATTCTGTTGAAACCAATGAAGGGAAACAGCAGACTTACTATAAGGTTCTTTGGCTTTGTGGTCTTTTCTATTTGTTATTTTTAGTTTTGTTCTTCTAGTTTGTTTGTGTTTTATTTTAGATAATGATTTCATTGTTATTCTGCAGGTAGTTGTTCAGCAACTGAATTTTGTTGAGAAGGGCTTTTCATCATTGGTCTTGAATGATCATGACTCTGATTCAATTACAGCAGGCAAGTCATATCTTCAGTAATGTTTTAGGTCTTGATAAGATCAGGGGTAGCGCTCTTTCTCATTGTTATTCTTTTTTCTTGCAGTTAGAAATACTGGCAACGGTGCCGCAAAGAACAGTACAGAAACCACACAAGAATTGTGGCAAGCCTTTTTTGCTAATCCAGTGGACTGGTGGGATAATAGGAAGACCAAGGTATTTCATTCAATCACTATAAAAAGTTGCATCTAATATCTTTTCTTCTTGTTTTTGTTTGGCATAAAAATGTTTGAGCAGAGGTGCTTGTGTGTGTGCACACGTGCAAAAACACTATTGGGAAATGACAAGAAGAAACTCTGTTTTCTGATTTGGTCTAGCTCAATGCATGAACATCATCACCTCACCGTATTTATCAAACCAAATTTGGAATTTCCAGTGCCTGAAAACTAGTATTATACTACATAACTGAGAGAAAACTATAATGGATGAGCTGTGGTACTACAAAATGATTGGGAATGAAATGTTACAAATTACAGCTTTTCATGCTAGGTGTATGCCATATGTAGTTCATGGTTGATGATAAAATTAAGCTTATCTGAGTGAGAGCTACTGTGATACCCAAGTTTTAAATGCACTATGCACTCATATCATCTGCTGTTTGTTCAGATTTTGATAAAAATATGTGAAGTCAGACTTGTTTATTCTTAATTTTGTTTTGTGATTTTCAGAGGAACCCAAAATATCCTGATTTTAAGCATAAAGATACTGGAGAAGCCTTGTGGATTGAAGGCCGGTACAATCCGCCATGGGTGAAGTCCCAACTTGCTATACTGGATTCAAGAATGGGGACCCTTAATGACCAAGATCTTAAGATGCACTCAAATATATTTGCTGGGGATGATTTTTCGCCTTTCTAAGTGCTTGCGGTACTACTTGTATTGTAGTAAACCATTGTCAAAGGGATAATTTATGTATAGATTATCATTTTTTGGTGGAGATACTGAAGAATTCGGCTTTGATTCTGTAGTTTTGTATCCTATATTTTGCAATTTATATGATGTGCTGCTAATTAATTTGCAATCCATTCATCTGGAACTTGCCCAATGCCGTTACAATTTAGAATTTTGACATCGAAATCGCACATATTATCAATTTAATTACACAAAACAGATGTATATTTAGACTTGGTGTAATCTTACAACATATGATATATAACCCTATTATTAAGATAAATGGAACATTTCATCTTCTGTACAATTTGATCTCAACTAACAAGTTCCAGTACTTTTTCTTTACATATTGATTTTGAAAGGGGAATATAAAAATGTATCCTGAGCTACATATATCTGTCTGTGTCTTTTCTGTAGTAACCTCAAATTCTCAGCAATTGATGGAGAACCCAAGCAAAATTAAGGAGTTCCATGCGTCTCCTTAATGCATATATATTTGTCCTTCTTTAACACCTTGTGTGTGGTTTTCAGAAACAAGAAGTCAATCCTCTAGCTTCAGTTCCTTTCATGATTCTCAGCCTTTTGCAGGAAGACACAAACATACTGCAAGCAACAACAAAAAATCTCATGAGTTACGAATTTTTAAGATATCGAACACGAAAGGAAACCGAAGAGATATCTAATCAAAAGAAAAAAGAACTTACTTCCATGGGACATCTCCAACAAGCATCCAGTCACCATCCTTATCTTCATAAGTAGGAGCAAAGTCAGATCCACTAATGTAGCCTTGTGTCTCTGAGTAGTTTCCAATATTGGAGAGGTTGAACATGTTCTCTAAGGCCTTGAGGAGTTCTGGGTAGCTCTTGTAAACCTTGAGATCAATCTTCCTCAGATAAGGAGCTCCATCGACGCTTACTTTCACGTAAGCCTCTGGCTTTCTTGCTTGCATGCTGTTTTTCCTATAAGATCTCACTGGAGGCCACCCAACTATTTGTGCCCTGCACACATTTCAGTAACCAAAACATAATTAATTAAACTTTCTCAAAACATTAACATAAAACAAAATTCATAATCCATATATTTTTTTGTAATTGGTTTTGTTTAGAGTTTATATATGAATTGCTTACTTGGTGGGAGGGGCATCTATGTGATCAGAATTTGTACAACACTCCTCCGCCGTTGGATCGGGTGATGACCTCTTGTTGTTCCTAGGAGGAGGAGGTCCTGCTGCTTGTTTGTTCTCAGGCTCTTCTGTGCTTCCAGGCAATCCCAATCTCAGCTCAGTTGCCTTGAAATTGAGCTGGTCTTCATTGTTCTCATATTTCACTGACCCTTCCATCTTAATCGATTTGCTACAACCCTTGTTTAGTTAGCAGATTGCAGACCTAGCAGTGGAAAAATGAGAGAGAAAAATGTGCTTCTGTTGCTGCTCTAAGATTTATGTGTTTCAGTCAGGTGGAGTTGAAGTTTGATTTGGTTTTGTTGATGAAAAAGAGGTGATGGCACTCAAACTTTTATAGGATGCAGTCTGAATTGTGAGAGGGACAAGAAATATTTAGGTGATTTTCTTTTTCCATGGTGCATGGCAGGATGAGATTCACTCATTATTCTGATAAATGGTAACATCACATGCTTGTCCCCCACGCGTTAGTTCAATGACCAACCACAGGTCGACAATTGGACATACTGGAATTTCAAAGTGGGGCCTACACGCTCTATACCTTGTTGATTATTCGATTAGAAATGCTACATGAATAACATTTGTGCATCACATTGTATAGATCCCATCTCCGACATAAGTAAAATGTGAGATTACTGTGTAGAAATGTGTTTCATAATATGATTCATAAGTGTGATACAAAATAGTCTTTACTAGAGTGAGTTCAATTTTGAGCCGTGTTTACCCACACGCTATTGGAGAGAAGTTCTTGCAAATCCCTCTAACGTATATGATAACACATTCAGAGAGATGAGACTAATAAAGAGCTGGGTTAAACCAACACACAGAAAAGCCTGTGAATGTGATTGAATAGGTAATGTGATCCAATAGTTGAACCTAAGAATTTTTTGTGAATGAACAACTTAAGAGTCATGGATACATGTAAGAATCACAATGCATTGGTTGAGAGTCACTCACTCACTTGTGGAGGATAATCCTTAGCATTTCTCTTTAATTTTATTACATTTTTTTAATATGGTAATAATTTTATTTTTAATTGATTGGTTGTGGGTGGTAGATCGATTTTCTTGGTTTGGGTCAGACAGGTGAAGATATGGATGCTACTCACATGAGGAACACCGTGCAGTTTGGTGCCCAATGGGAGGGGGACAAAGGAGGGACCAATAAAGCCGATGTATTGAAGACCGTGGACCGATCATGGACGGCTCTGATGGGTTCTTCGAGTGGGCTTTGGGACTGCCGATACGAAGACCGTTGGATCAGGAGGATGAAACGGAAAACAGCCCATGTGACTGCAAACGGCCCCACGTGGATGTTGTTGATTGGAAAGGCATTGGCCATGTGGGTAGAGATAAGTGGGACCGAATATTTATTGGCCTGTGGTTACATGACATGTGGGATTTCATGTGGTAGGGTCAGCTTACCATTCCCGTTCTCTCTCTTTGCCTCAACCCTAATCGAACATCGGGTGGTTGCACCAAAATAATTATAAAACCCACATAAATATATAATTATATTTTAAAAACAGTATATTAGTAGTTATGAAAAGTATAAGCACACAATTAAATGTTTTAACGAGACATAAATCACATTTTAAGTAAAGCATATTATAATTGAGTTACAATTAATCTCCATAAATATGTTCAATAGAAGCTTTAGCAACACATGACTCAAGTACCTTTGGTAACACTTTTGCTTCTTTCTCTTTCGTTTTCTTTTTTATTCACGATTGTCTAATATTGTAGTTCCTACTAAAAGTTATGATTAAATTAATCAATGAATTAACTTATCACAACATATGGCTATATATTCCGAAAACTGCAATGCTACTTGTCTTCTACAGCTGTACTAAGAGTATACACCTCGTTGCGCATAAGCGTGTCGTCTACAATTAGACTAAGAGTATACATCTCGTTGCACATAAGCGTGTCTTTTCCAGCTGGACTAAGAGTGTGTGTATCTTCTACAGCTGGACTAAGAGCATACACCTCATTGCACAAAAGTCTCTCTCACGCAGCCGAGTTTGAAGTTTTTTCTTAAAGAATTTATGCCTTTATGGATTAAATTAGAAGCAATGCACTATGGTTCTGTGGATTTGGTGAAACATAAAGTATATGTTGACGGTGAAAATGACCACATATTCGTGCATGTATATATATACAATCTGGGCAGTTCCAAGCAATAGAAATAAAGTCATGAGTTATGACAAAAATGGAAAAGAAAGTAGAGCCTTGTCTTGTATGTGAAGCAACTTTTCCATGGATCATCTGGGTATCAATTAATTTTGCCAAGTTGTTTAATCTTTGAACGTGATCTTGGCCTAGGCCTAGCTAGCTAGCTACTTCCCAATATGTTATGTTGAGTCTAGTATTCCAAGTTCCAACAAATGAAAATGGAAAAGAAAAAAGAAAACCCTAACAGACACCGACACAACCTAGCTGGTTTGAAGCAACTTTTGGAATTGGCCAGCAAAGTCTGCGATTTTCGACAGGGAAATATGAACACGCACTGTACACACACCAAGAAGACAACTCAGAATTGATAGCCATGCATAAAGGAGGAGCAACGGACAAAGACAAGAGTCACAATTGAGCTACATTTGAGGCCCCGTAATTAATTTAATTTATTGTAATAATAAAAACCCTAGCTAAAGCTTAACATTTGCATGCATGGACCACAGTACAGACATGATAAGAGTTCAGGGTCTACCGTCTTTCTAATCTTTGTCAATTTCACGGTCATCAAGTTTATGCCCCATAGACGTGACTCGTGAATTAAGTCAGTTGACTAATAATATTGTGCCCACTTCTTTACCCCCGAGTTCGACCCCCCTAACGATAAAAGTTTATGCATGCACCTACATTTTGATTTTGCCATTGTAATTAATGCACGAAAAATACAACTCTAATATAAATCATAAACCAGCATGCATATGGGTTCGTACGTACCAATCAGCAATGTACTCACACGTGTGACATGATAAGGTTGACGTTGATATGATCCATGTGGGCCAGGTGCCACACGTGGGTGCAAATATTTGAAGTTTTGGACTTTTCGGGGTTTCAAAGAGAAGCTGAGAAGGCCCATTCTCCCTACTACCCGAAGAGATGTCCCTGGCTCCAATTCCTTGCTCTCTGGCCCACTCTGTCTTTGTATGCTATGCATTTGCCAACTGCCTTCTTACGTACAAATGTTAACATGCATGGTGGTCCTATATCCATCATGCATCCATATGACATGCCACGACGCCATGCCCATCTTTTATGTCATGTCTCTTCTCGCAACTTGTCATACTCATACATTATTATACGTACAATATATAGCATCACTCAATTAGATATGATGAGCTGTGCTATCTACAATCGCCCCCGTTAAGCATGGATCGATGTCAGTCGTTGATGTCTTTTGACACTCATTTACATTAAGGTACGGTTTAAAAGCACCCACGCGTGTGTACAGATATTACGTAACGTTGGCTACCTGCAGCTAGTAATGAATAGAAGACCCACAACTAGCTAGATAATGTCAATGCTACCATACAGAATGTGTTCACACTTTGTAACCTAGGTGTGAAATTAAACTTGGTCTGTGACCGACTATCGTATGCTTGCATATATAACAAGTAATTCGAGAATCTTTTGGTGCATGTTAAACTGTTGCTTTGATAATCTTATTTATATATATATAATTAAATTTAAAAAAACAGCCAAATTAAATTGTAAACGGTGGATCCATATGCTGATTAGCATGTGTTGCATGCATGAGGCTGCTTGGCTTCATGTTCATCGAAATTTAAATGGAGGAAATATATATATATATATATAGGTATGTATAACGAACTTGTTTACATTGTGTTGTTGACCACTCGTTGCTTCAAACCCTAATCCCAAAACTATTTGACTCTCTCTTTTTAACATGCATCTTATAACAGACCACCGTCCAACGAATAAACAAGTTCTGGTTGTGTAGTGAACGGGAAAAAAATTAAATTTCTTTTTAAAAAAAAGATGGAATAAACTAGCACTGCCCATGATTTATAATCATTGATTAATTATTGCACCCAAGAAAATAACCTAAAATTATATATAAAGAAGAGAAAAATGTGATGATTGAATTACAATGATTACTGATCATTAGCATTTGGACAGATGGGTGTTTCATTATACCTTTTTTTTGTTAATTATATGGTTATTCCGCGCGTGTGTATATATATAAGGAGTTTGTAGCTCAAGTATTTAAAAGAAATTATCTTTACACCCGAAATCATTTGTTCGAGTCTTTTCTCCTCAGATTGCTTGTATTATTGTATCTCAAAATTATACATTAATGTAATCTATCTTCTCTGGATGAGAAGATCTATCTCTAAGCATTTGGCTGGGCTTGGGTGGATCAGTTTGTGAGCAAGAAGAAATAAGAGAGGAATTTATGAAGTTGAAAATGGATGCATGGTCAATGGGTAAATGCCTCAGTTTTGGTCTCATGGCATTCATTAATTAATTGAGTTTAAGAGGGGAAATTAAAAAAGAAGGATAATAAGAAGAATAATTAAATTAATTTAAGAGAAGGTGAGTCTCAGTGGGATGCCCTGCAGCGCCGCACATGGAATCGGGTTTGACGCTTAGGGTGACAGACCCAACAACTTCACATGGCGACTCTTGTGGGCCCAAATCCAATTTCAATTCAATTTTGCACGACCCACCCAATGAATCCCACTCACTATTGGGTCCCACTCCCTTCTCAACTCAATCAACCAAAAACAAGATTTATTATACCATTTTTCTTCCTCAACTATAAATTAGCATCTATAAATCATTATTTACCAGCTGCAAATCATTTTTGAATACGTACCTTAACAACAAGGTTAGGGGTAGGGTTAGTGGCGTGTAGGGGCGTTTAAGTAACTGACTCTTGCATTGTAGATGCGTGCAATTTTCATTGTGAAATTTACATGCATCTACGATTAGGAATTACTAATTATGCACATGTGACGAACAATTAACTGTAACAATCTTCACAAAGTATAATTATAAACGAACACGGCCGCGATGGGTACATACGATTTTGGAGTAACAGCAAGACAGATCAAACACCACACATATTGGCCTAACAACAAACAATTAAGAGTGCCTGTCAAATAATTGCACAACTTTGTGCTTTTCTTCCAACAATTTCTTTTGGTGAAGCGATATGTATATGTATCACATAGCCATAGATACCATAAAAGGGTACAACCCAACATTTACTTTTAGCATGTTTGGCCAACAATATGGTGGAGTAGAGGAAACACCAAGGCATGGCATGGTGTGTATATAATAATTATACGACATGAAAATCAATTAATTTTAACCCTTTTTGATTCACCAAATGTTGTTGGATATTTTATCTTATATTGGAGATGTGAAATGCAAAATGTTAAATTTGAATTTGATAGCTTATGTGGCAATTTGATACTTTGGAAAAAATTTAACTCCACCCAAAATGCTAAATATCATATTATTTTATTATATTTTTAAAAACAAATTGGGCCTACATAATGCATAAAGTTTTTTAAAAAGGGTGAATGATAGTGCGGTTCATTAAAATCATATTTGACATCAAGTTTTTTGCTATGTTATTTTTGACATCTTTTTCAGCCTTCAAATTTATATAGGATTTGACTATTCGGTTGGAGCAACTTTAACCTTCAATTTTTGTCATTTTATGGTTATGTGACAATTTGACATATTGATTAGAGATGCTCTAAAACTAAACATGGATTTTTGGTAAGTACCATGAGGTGTCCAGGCCAGCTTGTGCACACCTCGACTAATCCCCACTCGCGGAACTGAACCTGCCGCTGGCCACCAAGTATTGCAACTGCTGGGACTCGAATTAGGGAGCAAACCCAGCTAAACCCCAGAGTCTTACCCAAATGGCGGACAACCCACTAGGCCACTCTTGGTGGTTCGAAACATAGATTTTAGATACATCATTTGGTGATGAATAAGTGAGACGTCTACCTCTAAATAATTATTCACATTAAATTCGATTAGTCCTTCTGGCCAGGAATTTTAGAATAATTCTTCTCTCATTGATTGTTTCCTTAAGGGACCGCGAAGGAATATTAATTTATTTAGAAACCAGCTAGAGGACCATCAACATTTAGATCAAGTTGTCACTTATCAATTCTTATGGATTAATTCATGATGTCTAAATGATTGTCAGCCATATATATTCCGTCTAAGAAATTAAACCCACCCATATCTTGCAACATATAAATTTAAAGAAAGGAACAACTTCCAGCATTTTGGGCACATATTTTGTAGAAATATCATGGCTCGGGTATCTCAGGAAGAGGATAAGAAAGAGTAAGAAGTCAGATATGAGATCACAGGGAGAGGGAATCAAGAAGAAGATTTCATTTTTTCATTTGTCAGTTCATCAATAGATTATAAATATAGTAGAGAGAGTGAACTAGGCTAGGCGAGCATGAGCATGAGACGATGTGTAAACTACTCTAATTAATTAGTTTGAAACTTTCACAAACACAAATATAAAATTTACACCACTTATTTTAAGTTTAAGTTGAATCCGATAAAGAAATTAGTTATCAAAAATTGAGCTAAAGGGGACGTTTGGGATTAGAGAATTGTTGTTGCTCCCTCCCTAAAGATTGAAGAGGTTAGAATAAATTGCCCTAGCTAGTTGGTAATAGACCCAGCTGGATCTCCCCTTCCAAGAAAGATGAAATTGGTGACTGAATTTCTTGAGCTCTTAAACTTACTGATCCGATGCTTGCACTTGCACATCTACACAATAATCTATGACCAAAATCTTGGTTGATGGCCCCCTTTACGTAGCTAACTCATGAATCTTCAAAGTACTAATTAAAAATTAAGAAATTTATTCAAATGATTAACCTGGGTGCAAGTTGTAACCCTTATATATTTTTCATACTCGAGATCACTATAATGCAAAGAATATATATATATATATATATATAATAATAATAATATTTGGCTCTTTATTCTTCCTTAACAAGCAGCAAGTCATAATCTGACAAATATGCATAAACTTCTCTTTTTGTAATTTTAATGAGTTATTTTTGCATATATTTCAGATTCAGCGATTTCATATATAAATAATTGAATTTGATAGATAGTGGAGCCCAAGATGAATATTGTATTGGAAGCAAGCAGTGAAAATCAATTGGCAAAAGAAAGAAGCCAATATAGATAAATATACAGGTTTGTCCAGAGAGTGCAGTGTCCACGATCCACACCCTCCACACAAGAATCATAGGATAGATAACATCACACACAGTGGTGTCGTCACGTAGCCCAGCAAGGTTGTAGAAGACAGCTCACACAGCCTGCCACGTGTCACTGACCCATTTCCGGGTGTACAGTGCACCCATTCGCATATTAATACCGACGCAGCCCAAACAGACCCTCCTTCCTTCCCTCCCTTCCCCACTACAATTATTTCTGCACTACTAGAACCACCACAAGCTAAGCCAAACCAGCTATATAGAAAGAGAGAGTGAGTTTTTTTTTATCAGCAAGAGAGAGAGAGAAAGAGAGAGATTAATAATCAAGAGTTAAGGGTGTAATTAAGGTGATCATTATCTTCAGATGGGGTTTGAAGAGACGGAGCTGAGGCTAGGGTTACCAGGAAATGGTGGAAGCCATGAAGGAGATCAAGCGGCGGCGGCGACTATGAGGAAGAGAGGGTTCTCTGAAACTGAGTGCAGTGAGGATGAGATCAGCTGTGAGACAAGCTGTGTGGATTTGAAGCTTAACCTTTCTAATTCTAAGGAGCCGGCAATAATTACTGGGAAAGATGTCACTGAAAAATCCAAGACCAACAAGGACAACAAACTTGATCTCCCAGCTGCTGATCCTGCAAAGCCTCCAGCCAAGTAAGTCATTAATGATGATGATAATATCACTTTTTTTTTTTGTTTTTTTTTTTTTTTTTTTTTTTTTTAAGTATGTACGCATGTGCGAATGCTTGTTTGTTTTTGCCATATAATAATTGATGGTAATTGTGAAGAGAAATTTTTGTATGTTACGGGTACACCACGTGACTGGTGTACCATTCAATACACATGGAACATAAAAAAATTACTCCCTTGTGTGTATAATTGATGCTATTTATGTAGCCTTGTATATCTCTATAGTTAATAATTAATATTTACCAGTCGATGTGATTTTAATTTAGCTCCATCTCTTAGATTTCTTCTAGCTAAAATTATTTATTGTGTGACTAGAAATCTAATTAAGGGGCTAAAGATATCTATGTATAAAATTGTTCTAGTTTGAAATACATGTTTTCTATTTTGTTTTTAATTTCCAGGATATAAAACTGAGCTTTAGATTTGCTTTCATATGTGTAATTGTAGACGCTTCGAATTCATACAAAAAAGAATTGAAAAGGAAATTAAGACATTAGATCTTGCACAAAGTTATTGTAATAGAATTATAAAAAAAAAAAAAAAAAAAAAACAATAGTAGTATATTGTTAATGATGTTTGATTATGGTCAGATTAATTATAATGGAAAAGTAATATTTATTAATATATAGGGCACAAGTTGTGGGCTGGCCACCGGTGCGATCGTTCCGAAAGAACATGTTCACGGCGTTGCAAAAGAGCCCGAGTGATAAAGAAAGTGAGCACAGCAAGGGCAGCAGCAATGCAGTGACGTTGGTGAAGGTGAGCATGGATGGCGCACCCTACCTTCGCAAAGTGGACTTGAAGATGTACAAGAGTTACCCTGAGCTCTCTGATGCCCTAGCCAAAATGTTCAGCTCCTTCACCATCGGTAATTAGTAATTAACTTTTAATTAAGCCAAATATATATATGGAACAAATTTCAATTATTCTGATACTTGGGAAGCAAAAAAAAATTGCAATGATTGAAGGAAACTGTGGATCCCAAGGAATGAAGGATTTCATGAATGAAAGCAAGCTGATGGATGTGCTCAAGGGTTCTGATTACATTCCAACATATGAAGACAAGGATGGTGATTGGATGCTGGTTGGCGATGTCCCCTGGGAGTAAGTTCACTATTTCTCTACTCTAGCTAGCTCATGCAAATCAATAATAAAATTATTATTTGTCAAAAACACTTCTCATTTGTTTTCCTTTCATGCAAGCAGGATGTTTGTTGAGTCATGCAAGAGATTGCGCATAATGAAGGGCAAAGAGGCTGTTGGGCTGGGTTAGTATCTAATCTTCAATGGCATAGACATAATTAACCACCATTAATCTTGATTATCCTATCAATTTTTCATGATTAAGTTAAAACTCTGGAATGATTTTTTCAGCACCAAGGGCCATGGAGAAATGCAAGAACAGAAGCTAAAAGCACTTAGCAATGAATCACCACAGCCTGCTCCTTTGATCTCGTCGCGGTGGCTGCAATAAACCAAAACCACCAAACACGGCGCAACGCGCAGATGGATTGAGCAGCATGTTTGGGTGATGAAATGGATATGTTTGTTTCTAAGATTGATTAATTAATGTTTATGGTTTGATATATGTGTAATTATTGAATATGAGATACATATATTTTGAGTTTAATTTTTTTTAAATCATGGCCAGACAGAACCATTAAAACTGGATCTTAAGTTTGAAGTACGTCCGAGGACGGGGCTTGGGGTGTGCTTTGTTTAGTGTTGCAATAATGGCTTGCTTAAGCATAATAATGTAACGTACCAGTTAATTAATTTTGTTGTATTTAAGAAATGTGTGTTGTTTTTAAGTTTGATCCGTTCAATTATTTTTATGTATGGTCTTTTTCTGTGTATTAAAAAAATATTAATTGGGATGCACCAGGACGTCGTTTTTGAGGGGAACATGAGCATGTGGATGTTAATGGAGCATTTATATGCATGCCCATTCTTTTTCTTTGCTAGATTTATTGCTTTAGACTTTGGAAAGGGATTTGCTGTTTCTAAGCTAATTAACATTTTAATTCTAGCAGACATGGTATTAACTAAATTGACGATTGACTAGGGCGGATGTGCTTCCTACTCTGTGATCGAATCTCCTTCACCATAATTTAGATTAAATTAAATTAGAATATCACTCGTATTATAAAAAATAAAAACTTAACTCTATACTTTATCATGTTATGTCAAAAGAAGTAAAATGGTGGATTGTATGAGAAGGGTTAAATGGTATAAGTTAAACTCTTTTGTTTATTTTGGTCAAGATAAAACTTCATTACAGAAAAGCCCAAAGGCAGGACAACAAAACAAAGGCAAAATACAACAGGGAAGCAAAACAGGCAACCCAGGGAGGAAGAGACCTCCAGAAACTAAAAGCAGGAAAAGGGCAGAATACACCCGCGGGACAGGGGCCAGGGAGGCCATCACTTGTGAAAACCAAAACCAAAGAGGGAGGAGGCTGAACAGCCCAACTCAAATGTCTCACCCCCTCAGAGGCCAAAGCTGCTGCCGCATGGGCAGCTCGCTCGATTCGCAATACGCGAAACCCATCTCCAGGAGATACAGGAGAACAAATAAGCCTTCCTCCAAATCTCCTTAATAATAGGATAAAGTCTCTTGAATCCGATTCAATAACCAAGCAAACAACATTCCTTTCACATGGTAGAGATAAATTGCATAAAAAACTCCCTTTATTAAATGGTTTATTTGATGTTCTTCGAACACTTTCATACTTGTTAGGACATGAGTTTGCATAAATTGGATGAAAAACAGATAGACAACCAAAGCTTCGTTTACTGGTACGACCAGCAGGGCGGATCGCCTTCCGGCTTCAATAGTCGATTGACCTAATTATCAAATCAGCATTCTTCTTTGATTTGTTTACTTTCTCGGCATTTGGCCGGTCGTTGTACTCAATCTACAATTAAAGGTCATATGCAACGTCTTATTGACTAACCCCATAATGAAAATTCATGGCTCTGAACATGATGAAGAACTTACCCGCCATTTAGCAACATCTGGGGGCTTTCCTGCTGCAGAAAACAAAGAAAGCAATCAAAACATGTCAGTTTCCCCCAGATTCATTTCCAAGAACTAGGTGTCTAAAAACTAAGGATTACATACCCGTTAAGATGTGTCTCATTCGAACTCGTTCCATAGCTTTATCAATGTCAATCTCAACAAACCTTGCAGGGAAAAAGCAACAAACAATAGCCTTAAGTGACCAACACTTAAGTTTCAGTCTTCAAAAACATAAATGATCGGATAAGGTATGCATATCAAAGACTCAAACAGAGGCCAGTGAAATATCATAATGATCAAAAATCACAATCTGAGAGGTAAGGCCAAACCATACCATCTGATCTCTTTAACATACAATTTTGCACACACAAAAATAGCCTTTGAGAACCTGCAGCTTACCACTTCTCATCGAACATGGCTGATATTTCCTTCCAAATCCCATCATCTAACAATAAATAATTTCCTTCTACTATGACCACTTTATGTCTGCAAAGACACACAAAGGATTCATCAAACATGTAAGAATCAAAACAACATAATTGTAAGATCATCTATAAGGCTTAAAGTTCTTGGCATCCCAAATTGTTCACGTCAGTTCACTGGTTTTTACTACTTTCAATCCATTATTTCCAAACAAATATTGTTATAAATTGTTTAGGCTCCCAGGTTTCTTCAGCTTTTACATCAGCCATGTCTATAATTGTTCGCAACCCACCTAATTCTTTAGCTGGTATTAAGAAGGCAACTTATGTGAAAGGAACAGATTACTCACTGAAGGCTCACAAAGATATCATCTTCTACTGGATCACCAACACCATGGTCAAATGACGGTGCATAAACTGATCCCTGAAACAATCTTCCTTTTAGAATGCATCACATATCCTAAACTTGAGGCGATCACATAAGTTAAGAGTATCAACTAATTACCTGACTTCTCAGAGTCTTGAGAGACTTGAGTAGTAGCTCAGGGTTAAAGGTCCATGGAGCTGAATCACCAATTTGTAAGATCAAAGCTTTAATGCTTTCAAGGTGTTAATCAATCAATCACAGAATATAGAAACCTCACCTCCCCTTCTTGCATGAGCTTCCTCAGGATTCTAAAATGTTAGCACATTACAGAAAATTAGGACTGAAAATATTTTTATCACCTATAATGTTTTGTAATATATTCATGTGCTGGCATACAAGGACAAATCGACTTTTAAATATCTAATTATGCAAAATGGAAGCCAAATAAATAATGTTTCAACCAAAAATTTGGTCCATGGCTTGGAAAGTGACACAGCATAGTGCATCACTGCAGAGCTTATAAATCAACCAACATTATATGGTTGAGCAAATCAGTAGTAAGTTGTTACTCAATACTGGATAACTGAATACTGGATAACTGCTACAACAATAGTTGTATCATTTACAGCTAGATGCATTTTAAGAAGACAGGTTAATCAAATTTTATAACTTTGGCTTACTTTATGATCCACATATATGTAATCAAATCATGATTCGTGTATCTGAAAAGATTCTTTTCTGATAATCACTGCAAGTTAGTTCTTGATGTTAGTAAAACTAATTTCTAACAAATCATCATGTTCCCCCAATTATATCTTAAGCTTACTAAATGGTCAATAATTTTATGCTTAAACAGTTTTTAGAATCTACGCTAGGACTACCATCCACAACTAGAGCATCGAACGATGAAAAACAAAATTAAAATATCAGAAGGCTAACCTCCATTGCATCCAGCTGGGAACAATAAAGATGGAACCCATCCATGGGAATAACTTTAGCCACGTCTGGAGGACTAACTTGAGAATCCAAAGCACAAGCTTTCTGGGGCCATAATCTGTTTACACGTCGCACAACTTCAGATGCAATAGTGCTCTTTCCAGATCCAGGAGACCCAGCCAAACCAACAATATACCTGCATAGCAGCATAGTCGTTCAGGCAGATAGATAACTTTGAAGAGTAACAAGGAAAAACTACTTGATAATCAAACACAATTCAAAAAGGTAAAAGCCATACCAAAATAGGTCAGACAATAAAAAAATTCAAACAGTTCACGGTCCCTGTTCTCTAAAGATTATAGCATACAATAAGAAAGGAGCAAATAAAATTTGAGCAAAAATTACTGGAAAGTGTAAATTCAGATGCATTCACATTTATATTTGCCAATAAGAAGCTAGAACTTACTTCAAATTTGGATTTGACATTGCTGCTGCTGTAGGAACAAGGCGTTCGGCCAAAGCATCGTATACTTCATCTATACACCTTAAAGGAAACAGAAACAACATTTATCAAAAGCAGTAGAATGCTTAAACAAATATGTATATACACATCACAAAATAAACAGAAAAGTTTTATTTAGTTTTAGTTTAACCATCAAATGCAATGGCCATTTTCTGTACAAAAATACCACCCATGAGACAGAAAGCAAACACATATGCGAGTTATAGCTTGCAACTCCGAAGATGGCATACCTGCCCTCGACGACTACGGTAGCTTCCCTCTTTAGACAACATACAACCTGTAGAGGAAACACAGAGTATCAACCAAACGAAACCCATGGAGAGAAAATTAGACTTAAAAATCACCCAAACAGAAAGAGCATTTGCAAACCTTCACAGATTTATCCTTAGCATAGTGGGTTCCAGTTTGAGCAAATAAAGGTTGTGGTCTTACTCTGGTTGGAGAGAGGGACAATAAATGACGATCCCAAGTAGGAAGTTTCACTCTTTTAAGCAGAAACGGCTCTGCAGATAAGCAAATCACAAACTCCACTCAATTGGGTTTCTGAAGTCCTGTGTTTTTTTCTACAGAAATTTGATTTTACAACACTTTATGAAATTATGTTGCAGTTTCTTCTGTGTCATATTAATTAACAATAGCTGGTGCAGAATGATAAAATTTTGAGTTTAATTACAACAATTTCCTGATTTTATCAAAAAAATCATCGGGGAAAAAAAGAGTATCAGTCTGGAATTAAACAGGTGGATATTTCTATACAATTAGAATCATGCCATCACAAAAGATAAATCATAAAATTGTATGAAAACCATGGGAAGAAAAATCAGAAGATAGGAAAGAGAGACCTGGTGATGAGTTATGTGTGTAACCTCTCGAGGTTGCTGAAGACAGAGACAGCTCCATGGCCGAATCACAAAATACCCAGAGAGAGAAACTTATTAAAACGGTAAAAGAAGGAGAGAGTTTTTGAGAAAATACGAAGTAGAGAGGAGAATCTTGTAGTCGCCGAAACAATATAAGGACAAAATAATAAGGATGTTCAGTGACATTAATATACTTCACTTCTCCATCTCGGAGTTGGAGAAGGTTTACTGAAAACCCACGTACACTGTACTCTTTTTTATTAGTCTTTAGTTACGAACCACCGTGGTTTTTTCTTTTTTTCTTTTTTTAATTATTGTTTTCCCGGGAATTAACATTTTGATGCTTTTGTGGCCCGCCCCAACAGTTTCAAGAATTAACATTGTCTATCACATAACATAAACGTATGCTTCTGCAATTTATGAGTTTTTTAGGGATACTTTGAGAAAAATTAAAATATATAAAGTATAAATAAAACTAATTGAATATATTTTCTTAGACAGATAGAAGTAAAGATAGAACCTTAACCCAACAAATGGTTCAGCTGCACTGCTGCTGGAACATGAACTAGAAAACAAAATGGTTCATGGTTGAAACATAAACAATTTATTTGAAATGAGGTTTGTAAATCCTAGTTGGGCTAATTAATTTAATGCGTCCCTCCAATTTGGAGTCTTGGACTATCATCAGTCTGAACCTAAATCATCATCCAGTTGCCTTCAAGGAAAGGCAATTCTACAAGGCACCAGCCCCCCCCTACAATGATTAGGTTCAAATATAAAAGTTATTGTTTACAAAAATACAGCAGCCTTGGGAAACCAATATGGCAACAAAAGAGCAACGGGAATGTCCCAGGACATGTGATCAGATTCAGAACACAAGCACATTGCATTTCGGCCTCTCAACCCTTCTTCGCTTCTTATCGTCGTCGGATGACTGCAAAAAGAAACATGAACCACAATGTTTACAGATATGTATAGCATGAGATCCTTTTGCAGCCAGTTTAAAGAGAAGCTGTAGATTGTTACCTGTGCACTAAGAAAATGTGGCACCCGAACCCTCTTTGAGCCATCGGCTAGACGCTTACATGGTAATAAGCTATCCACACCAGCAAAGTTATTATTGACCTACAAACAAAGACAACAAAAATGCAAGATTAGCAACTTTCCAAATCACTTTCTTTGAACGTATTCAAATTTTAGAGAAATATCCACATTTCCTAGGTTAGTTTTCTCAGATGCCAAACAGAAGTAGGGAATTTAAAACTACCTGGCTCTGGATGGCCCCAATAAACAATTCTTGACAACCTGATGCATGCACATTTTCTAAATTGGGGCACTGAAGCACCAATCTCTCTGGATAAATACAAACAACAATCACTTAACTACGCAAATAAATTGACAGAAAACTTGATAGAAAAACATGTCATAGGCGACAAGTCGGGAGATCAAATTCTGTACCTGGGTACAAATTTTTGCAAGAATTCAAATTCAGATCTTTAAGTTCAGGGCAGTTTAAATATAGAGCCTGCATTCAGATTGAATAAATAAGATCCATCAGAGAAGCGATACAAAAACACAACTAACTTTTTTTAGTTTAAGAGCCTCACATCTAAGCCAGAACAGCCCCACAAGCTGAGTTTTTTCAGCCGGCCATGTTTAATGATCAGCTTCTGGTAACTAAGGTGTACTTTAGCATTGGATGTTTGTGCCAATTCAAAGCCAGTGGTTTCCTCGGATGTTGAATCCAGAGAGTTGGGATCACATATGGTCATGCCACAGTCCAGGAGTTCAAGAAGAGGCAGTTGAGCTGTGGCGAATTGAATAAAACCTGAAATTTACAGACAGCAGTTAGTGAACAAAAGTTTATGTGAAACCAAAAAATCTTTGAGTCTCTGGACTAGGTGATTACTTGCACTGATGTTAGGACAAAGAGCAACCAGTAGTCTTGAAAGAGTATCAGGGAACACATTGCAAATCATTCCAATGCCACTATCAGTGATGCTAGATCTGTAATCAAAATGCAGAGTCAAACATTACATCTTGAGAATTAAATGAATGGCCACTCTTCAAGGCCTGGGATCATAAGGGGCGTCACTATATTATTTGAGTCCAGTTCACAAAAGTCTATAGATGGCGCTTTCTTTTACAGAGCATTAAACTTTACTCACAAAAGTCTTAACAGAAATTTATTTAAAAGGAAACACTGTACTTAAATATTGCACATATCAGGCAATCATAGCTTAAGTAAAAACAATCAAATGCAATTAAACCACAGGACTGAAAACATACCCACTCAGGTCAAGCAATTCTAAGTTTGGGTAACTTGAAGCAATGGCAGCAACAGAAGCATCAGTGATATCAGATCCAAGAACAAGAGAAAGCATTCTCAACCCCCTGGATAATGAAATGAACAGAGAAATCTTCATGAGACTAATTGTGCAGTGATTAAAAAAAATGTAACCAAGAAATGCAGTAGTCCATCGGCCTCAAAACAAATTCAGCAGCAAACCTTAATTGTGCAGCTGTAAGGGCAAGAACAACAGCATTGGAAAGCTGGATTGATGCAATGTGTATGTTTTGTAACCTTGGGCAGTTCCTTCCCAGAGCATCAACCATGGTAACAAGATCCGTATTATCATTTTCATGGCTAGAAAAGTCTACAGAAATCTCTTTTAGATTGGGGCAATTAAAAACCTGTGAAAAAGAGAGAAGTCACTTTAACAACAAATGAAAGGCAGAAAGAAAACAACAATGCATGAGAGACAAAAAGGAAAGAGAAAAAGAATCACCATCTTAGAAAGGGAGTGAAGACCAGAAAGCCAAATTGTAGAAAGACTTGATGAAGAAAGAGCAAATCCGCCTAAATTAGAACAACCTTCCATCTTAAGGCTTTTCAGTAATCTTCTATCAGCAACAAAACGACCCAGCTCATCACTGTATTTTTAAAGTCACAGAATGGATTGAACTAATCAGCCATCACAAGCATTGGTTTGGCACCTTGCACCATTTAACTATCAATATTATCTAATCCACACTACACAACAATGAGTAGGAAACAGAAAATAGCCAACACCAATCTAAATGCCCAACAGAAACAGCAGTGCAAAGTTTAATACAGCAAAGAAACATGAATGCACTAGAGCTATAGAAGAAGATAATCGTACCCGGTGATTCGATTGATAGCCGTTTCAGAAGTAGTGATCTCCAGGAATTCAAGATTTGGGCATGAAAATGTGATCCAGGCCAGCAATGTTGCATCCACATCACTGCAACAGCAAATTATTCAAAGATTATATCCCAAATGCAATGCACCATTTTCAACATTATTTTATTCTAGCATTCAGTGTAACTTGCCGGTTTTGAAATCAATGCTGCGTGGATCAAATCATAATAGATCAAATGCATACGGTATAATGCTCTATTCATGGCACTTATCAAACCCCATTTCGTTTTAGCTGTTTGTTCTTTCTTCAATTTCATTTGAATATTATTAAACTCAGAGTTCAGATCGTGTTCCATTTCTTCATTTTAGATTTTATTCTGTAAACTCCATTGCTGTAACCAGATCTGTTCGATAAACCCTTAGATCTGAAACAGAGAGAACGAGAGCGAGAGAGAGAGAGAAGAGTAGCCTCTCGACAAAAGGCAATAATACCTTTCCATTCTAAGAGAGAGGTTAACCAGGCCCGGGCACTTTTGCAACACCGATCCAACAAGCCCGACTTGAGCCCTCGCCGGAACCCTAATCCTAAGCATTTCCGCAGCCTTCCACAGCCTCCTTGTCGTCTCCTTCCACCCCTTGCACACCATTGCCGCCGACAACAGCTCCGGCGGCGGCAGCCTCTTCAAAATATCCCAAAGACAGCTCGCAGGCAGACCGCATAAACCCGTACCCGACTCCGAATCCACCACAAGGTCATCGATCTCATCGGAGTCGGGATCCGGTGAGTCAAAATCGCCGCCACCTCCTCCGCCCCATCCAGAGCTATCAACGTCGTCGTCGAACGACAGAGCTCGGCGGAGGTGAGAGTAGGGCTTACGTGGAGGCAGAGGGGGTACGGAGAGATCGGACGGAGACGGAACATCGGCGACGAAGGATTCATCGGCGGCGGGTAGGTGGCAGGAGTGGCCCTTCTTGGGCTGGCCACACCGGCCGCAGTTGTAACTGCCTCGCCTCTTGCCGCGCTTGGCTTCGGAGCTGGCGGTGGGTGCCACGGCGGTGGACCCGAAAGGGGTGGTGGGGCCTGAGGCGGAGAAATGCGACTGGTGGTGGTGGCGCTGTTGCTGCATTGTTTGGGGTTTTGGAGATCAGATTGGCGTGATAGGAAGAGAGAAAAAGGGGTATGAGTGGGAGACAGTGAGGGAAGAAATATAGGGAGAGAGGGGACGAGGCGCGTGTGGGCCCGGAAAGGCGCGGGAGATAAAAGCGGGGTTTCGCGCGCTGATTTTGAAACGCAAACTAATGGGGAGGAGCGGAGGGCTGCTCTGACGTGAACGTATTTAAATGACGAAATTGCCCCTGGGGTTGGGTGAAGGGCGCGATTAATCTTGCTGTGAATTTTGGAATTTTCTTGGTAATTAATTAATTTTGATTGAGAATCAGATTCGCCTGATCGCCGGAAAGGAAGGATTTCCCGCGCTCGATTTGGGAATTTAATTTTTGTTATCGGGAGATTGTTTACTTATTACGGCAGCATGCATGATTTGGGACAATCTCATTTGACTACGACTCAAAATGATAATGTCACGTTTTGACTTTTTTTTTCTTTTTCTTTTTCCAAACACGTTTTGATGAATTTGGAACAAATGAATAAGAAATCGGAGACTGAAAATGATTTTGGAAAGAAAAATATGTTTGAAATGGAAGATGCCGTTTGGTGGACCGTTTGATTCATGTTCAAGGAATTTAAGTACATAGATTTATATGCAATGGATGGAGGCATGATGTATTATCATTTTCACGGATGGAGTCAAACATTTTTTGTCTTTACATGTGTTTTTCTAATTCAAGTTTTCTATAATTTCATATGTTAAACTGCCTAAAATGTGTTTTTTCTAATTCACGATTTATATATTTGAAGACACTGAAATTACACAAAAATCAAAATTATATGAAAATTCATATTTCGTGAAACACGTGAGATAATTGATAAACAGTGATAGAAACTAACTCCGAACAATCCTTTTTATTTTTGGGTGAAGTAGTTACATTTTCGAATTAACTTTCAAACACTCTTGTGCATACAAGTTGTTTAAGTCATGAGATTCAATTATGTTTAATCTATATATATATATATAAAGCAAAATGCAGAGAATAGTAAAACATTCAAAATATCACAAAAATGTCATTTGTTAATGCAAACATTAATAACTGAAATTGTTAATTAAAATAGGATAATATGGTAAATTCACAATTTTTCATATTAAAAAAAATTAAAATTAAAAGAAAAATCAAATAACTGATCATATTTTTATGGAACACAACTACCCATTATATATTTTAATTCTAAAATAAATTTAATTTTTGTATAAAAAAAACCTCTCACAAACGCGGAAGCGCATGCGGAGAGGCTAGTAACAAATAAAACTGAAACACTTTTTTTTATATACATTTTCATTTAATTTTGACGATAAGTCAGTTTCAATATATAAGATTCAAATTCATCATCACCCATTCTAATCCAGTATCAATCATATCAGATCAGATCGACATTTTGGCTACATATTGACGTATTTAAATTCAAACCAATGAACACCCCGAAAAGAATTCATAAAAAATTGAGTCAAAACCAACATGGGCCTATTGGGCCATAGTTTGTCTTGTCGCCAGAAATATAAAAACGTCACCACCAACATATTAAATTCTCAATTGAACAAAACTAGAAAGCGTTTGGGCATCCTATACGTGCTTTAAAATGAGTTAGGTAAGCAATTAAACATTAAACATTATATTCATTACGTACGGACCATATTTTGTACCACTTTGTTTATGTTATTACCGTATATTTTAGAAACGAGTTATCTTTTTCGCATATCATGAGTCATATTCATATACGTATGTTCGCGAGTCTCGAATTTATGATCATATTTTTACTAAGTAACTCTTAATTCAGTGAAAATTATCTTAATTACTAATAATAGAATATGTCGTATAATGATAAAAGAAAAAACAAAGTGCACATGATATCGATATAGCCAATTTTTAAAATTAAAACCAAAGTAATTCTTTTAATTCCCATTATACAATCAAACGTGCACCTTCATCTCTATTTGTATTATTTTTTTCTCACATATCATAAACTGAAACGATATTTCATAGATAAACTTTTTATCATCAAAACGAGGTTGTGGTGGGATGCATAATTGAGCTGTGAAAGTAAATTTGATAATCATTGAGATGATCAGTCTCGGTTGGTGCTTGCAATGTGATTGAAGATATTTTGGTTCACTGTTTTTCTTTGGTGCTTAGTAATGTCTATGCTTTGACTAGCCCCTCTCTTCCAAAAAATCTTCTTAAAGTCGTTTTCACTTTGAGGGGAGGAAGCCACTGCTCTTCCTCCCTCTATTCTTATCTTATTTTCATAGACAAAAAGTTTTCCTTATTTGTCTTTACTTTGTTATAATTTCCCCCCAAGCATCACATGCAGTTGCGTCTCGGCATCGAATCTCCACTTGCATTTTGGCATCGAATCTCCACTACCATCCTTTTTTGCGGTTTCTTTATATTCGGAATAAGTCACAGAGACTCTTTGGGTTATTTGTGTAGTTTTCACATCTCATTTTGTGAGAGCTTTTCATATCTCATTTGTGATAGCTTTTTATATCTCATTTGTGAGAGTTTTATTTGTATTGTTATAGCTTGAATCTTTTTCAAGCTTTATCTTTTTTTATTTTATTATGAGTTTGCAATATTAGTTTTGATGCCTATGTTAGAGTTTTTTCGATCATGCGTGATTGTTAGTGAAGGTGTTCTATATTGTCTTCCTTTTGATGTTAAACCGCTCCATTATTGTAATGGTCATTTGTTGCTAGTTTGTATTAGGCCTTTGAGGTTAATGATTTTATTAGCTGAATTATGAATGCAATATAAGAATTTCTTAATAAAATATATAAAAAAGTAATGTCTACGCTTTGAAAGATAGTTTTTGTGTGTGTTTTGAGTGGTATTGTTGGTGATTAGAGTGTAGCGTATCATATCCAAGCAATTATAATTGAAGCGATCGTGCATGTGCTAGTGTCACGTTTGAAGTGATACTATAGACCCAAATTTACCACTCAAAGTAAATAATAATGTACTAGTTAGACGATGCGGAAGGACTGCGTACACTCCACTAAAGAAAAACCACACTTCTATTCGGTCCTCATCAACCCCCACCCCATCCACCATATTCCAGCCTCGATGAACACAAATGGTCCACGTTTATGATTTGCAAACAACTTATCAAAAGATCATTTACCCGAAAAGAATACTTTCGTAAACAAAAAGTAGACAAGTCGTGGTTTGAAAACGACGTTTAATTATTTTGGCCAGCTGTTGTTACTTATTTTTCTCTAATTCCTATTGCCATTAGCTAGATATATAGACGCAATTTCCATTAATATATCACAAATAATACTAGTCCTACCATATTTTTTATACCACATGCTGTGACGGCTGATGTGTACATACTACATCATGTAAAATACTAGTTTCTGTTTTTCTAATTTTATTTATTAAAATACACTTCATTCATTTAATTGATATGTCATATGATATGGACATGCCACATCATGTGGTATAGAAATGTTGGATAATAATGTGATAAGTGTAGTATTACTCATATATCACATAAATATCCTCTCGAAAAACCTCACATGCCATGCGTCACTATTTCACACGTCAACAAGCACTATGATCACATAAAGCAAAGTTGGATTTCGATTCCATTGCTAAATTTATTGGAAACATATGTCAACAACCCTAATTACAAAATCAAAATAAATAATATTGCTCCAAAATCATGAATATTAATACAGTTCCAGATAATTTCATATATATATATATATACAATATACTGTATTGTTGGCTTAAAAAATGATAATGATTTTTCCACTCCAATTTTATCCACTTACACTCCAATAAGGAGTGTAAGTGGATAAAATTGGAGTGAGAAAATCACAACTCTTAAAAAAAGAGAACATATGGTTACAAAAATCGTATATAATAATTAATTAGGGAGATGAAGTGATTTATTTTGGACAAGATTATCCAACTTAATCACATCATACAAAATCTCTGTAAATCTAATAAAATGACAAGAACCGATGTGGTGGACAGGCATCCACCTGCCACCTTGAATTAGTACAAAAACTAGTCTTTATTTTCAATAATATTAGATGCATCCAGAACTTCAAATTATCAGTTACTCAGCTTACGAAAAGACAGCAGATATGCTTTCTAGTTTGCAAATTCGTTCAAATTTCTCTCCATATAATTTAAATTAAATTAATGTAGAATATCACTTATATATATATAAAGTAACGAAGTGAAAATGGCATGAGAATATCAAATAAGGCCCATAAATTAATAAGAAAAAATATATTGGACACACAATTTCCTTCTTTCTTGTTGTACTATATAATATTGGCATGTTATGTCAAATGTACTTTAGGCAAGTCGCGGCAAACTATACCCAACTGTTCCATCCCGCGAAAGCTTTCTCGAAGACTGACAGATGGTCAACGTGGGCTTCCATGACCAATGAGTACCTCGTGTACCACATGGAAGTAAAGTATTCAGAAAAATACGTACTTGTTGACTATATACAAATCTAAAAGGAACTAGCTCTGTGTCCGCAAGCAATTTCTCCAACTTAAATATGACCACTTTATTTACATAGCTCTCTCTCTCTTCTTCATTCAACGTTAAATTGCTCACCACCTGTTTGTTCTTCGTCCCCAATGGCCATTTCCATATACAGCACTCTCCTCCCCTTCCCAAAACTCACCGTTTCAAGCAGAAAATACCATCACTTCGCAGGCCCAAACCCATCAAACCTCAGCATCCCGACAACCTCCACCGTCTGCGCCAAGGCGCTCCACTCAAAAACCAGCGACTCCTTGACCTCCATAATCACCGAGCTCGAAAAAGAAAGTCTCAACAAGGACGATCAGAATCAACGACAAGAAGATATTAACACTACCCACGACGAGCGCCGTCTCTCCAACGTATGGCGGGAGCTCCACGGCCAAGACGACTGGGTCGGGTTACTCGACCCGATGGACCCGCTTCTGCGATCCGAGCTCATCCGCTACGGCGAAATGGCCCAGGCCTGCTACGACGCCTTCGACTTCGACCCCTTCTCCAAGTACTGCGGCAGCTGCCGCTTCGTCCCCCGCAGCTTCTTCCCGTCTCTGGGCATGGTCCACCTCGGCTACCACGTGTCACGCTACCTCTTCGCCACGTCAAATATCAACCTCCCCAACTTCTTCAAGAAGTCGCGCTGGCCAAAAGTCTGGAGCAAAAACGCCAACTGGATCGGATACGTCGCCGTTTCGGACGACGAAACGACAGCCCGTTTAGGCCGGCGCGACATCAGCATCGCGTGGCGGGGCACCGTGACCCGGCTCGAGTGGATCGTGGACTTAATGGACTTTTTAAAGCCCGTTTCCGGGAATAAGATCCCCTGCCCTGATCCGACCGTCAAAGTCGAATCCGGGTTTCTGGATCTTTACACCGATAAAGACGAGACGTGCCGATATTCTACGTTTTCGGCTAGGGAACAGATTTTAACGGAGATCAAGCGATTGGTGGAGATGTATTCCGGCGAGGAATTGAGCATTACGATCACCGGGCACAGCCTCGGGAGCGCGCTGGCGATTTTGAGCGCGTACGATATAACGGAAACGGGTTTGAACGTGACGGCGGACGGTCAGGTCGTGCCCGTATCCGTTTTATCGTTCTCGGGTCCTCGGGTCGGGAACGTGCGGTTTAAGGAGCGGCTTGAGTCGCTGGGGGTGAAGGTGTTGAGGGTTGTGAACGTTCATGACGTGGTGCCTAAATCGCCTGGGCTGTTCTTTAACGAACATGTGGCGCCACGGCTGATGAAGTTGGCGGAGGGCTTGCCGTGGAGCTACTCGCACGTCGGGGTCCAGCTTGAGTTGGATCATAAAAACTCACCGTTTTTGAAGCAGACGAGTGATCCTGTTTGTGCGCATAATTTGGAGGCTCACTTGCATTTGCTTGACGGGTTAGTATTATTTGATTAACGACGTGATTAGTAAATCTTATTGATTTTGTTGGGTCTTAAGATCAATTTTAATTGTGGACATGAATCACGTCAGTTGTTTAAGATAGTATGTCCGCCTCTTTGCAATCGAGTTCGATCTTTCTCCTCATTCATTAAAGTAGTTTACAATATCACAAAAAAAAAAAAAAAATAATTTAATTTAGTTGTATTGCAATAAAAACAAGAAGAATGATATTGTTGGTGAGTTTTTACTTACTTAGGATTTTGATTTAAGATAAAAACAAAAATAAATAGGAGCATGTGACACCTCTATGCATTATTCAGTTGGTAGAGATATCTTTTGCACATCACGATGACTTGGCTGCGCTTGGAAGCCAATTTAAAAATAATTGATAAGATCATGGTCCCCATGCATCTCAATTGAATTATTGTTTGTAAGCATAGTTGTAAGTAAAATAATGAATATTTCAGTGGCACAGTATAATAATAGTTCCCTCCCTGCAATTAGTAGTCGGCTATCTGTTTACTCATGAAAGAGACGTACAATAATTATGCATGGTTTGGCTATAAGCTTATCTTACAAGCAATTTGATGCTTTTCTAGACAGTACTTTATTATATTCTATATCCGAGTTGTTGGATTAGGTGGACTTGATAAATGTATGTAGTACTGTAATTTTTAATGCCATTGACAAAACAGAACAAGCTCCCTTATCTCTTACTAATTTCGTGTCACTATGGATTTCGATATATTTGTTAAAATGGATATCGATATATTCTCGATATTTTGTTGATCTGGACACGAATACGGACACGTCGATTTGGAGAAATTTGTTTTTTCCACCACGTGAATAGCATAGCTCTTCTATTTTGACTGTGTGTAGTGTAGACATAGAAATTGTAGTGAATAATCCTGTTTACACTGTGTCTTCCGGTCTTCGAAGAAATTAGTAGAGACATTAAAAAACAAAACAATTATCATATTGTTATCAAAATTCGGACGTAACTGAATTAGAATTACATATTTGATTTATTATATGCATATTTGATGCATGCGAAAATATATAGTAACGAGAATAATTAAACTAATTAACTGTCTGTTTGATGAAATGCAGATACCATGGGAAAGGCCATAGGTTTGTGCTAGCGAGTGGAAGAGACCCAGCATTGGTGAACAAAGCCTCTGATTTCTTGAAAGATCATTACTTGGTTCCACCATACTGGAGGCAAGACGAGAACAAGGGCATGGTGAGGAGCAAGGATGGCCGTTGGATCCAGCCCGAACGCCCGAAACTCGATGATCACCCTGAAGACATACACCACCATCTCAAACAATTAGGCCTTGCCTCCGATCATTAGTTACTAACCACAAGAAGATAAAAATAAAAATAAAAATAAAATCTTCAACTGTATAATATAACGTGGGGTTCTTACTTGTTAGTTATAGAAAACATTAGTTTCTGGGATTTTTATGGTTAAAATATATAATGACTGTAAGGAGATGATCAGTGACTAGTGTTGCATATAGTATTTTCTGCATATATATATGAAGATTGTTAGGTTTTAGTAATTAGTGGTTCACTTCTTGTTAGTTAATTTAGTACCTTAATGTTGTTCGTTGGGAAAATGTAATAAAACCTATGGTGCTGTCACGATGTACGAAAGAATTAACTATTAGTCTAGTTGTATTTCTCTTTGAAATGTTTAGGTGAGTTTTAAGTTTGAATTCCCTATTTCGGTCAATAAAGAAGATGAATTTGAAGTTTGAATCCCACATTCCTATTAATAAAAACGAGCCCCTTGGCACATGCTCACGCATGTGCCAATTGATTTTATTTTATATTTTATATTTTAATTTTTAGAATTAAGAAAAGATAACATGGGTAGTTATGTTCCATAAAAATAGGACATATTATCTAATTTTTTTTTTTAATATGAAAATTGTGAAGTTACCATATTATCCTCATTTAATTAATAATTTCAATTCTTAATGTTTGAATTAACCAAGGGCATTTTCTGGTATTTTGAATGTTTCACCATTTTCTGCCTTTTGCTTTATATATATAGATAGATAAAAAAGAAAAGACCAACGAGTTTATCAGCTTGCATCCAAGTTTCATCTATCTCATCGAACATTAGAATTGTTTAAAATATCGGCTTATATTAAAAACAGAAAATTATTGGGTTTTTAATTAGGTTTCCAGCCCAATAAATTGAAAAGGGAAAGCTACACCAGCAAAAGCCCAAATCCGTTCAAGCTCAAAATTAACAAGCCCGCCCTTCACCACGTGAAACGACACCGCTTTTGTCGACAAGAAAATTAAGTAGTGATGAATGATGATGATGAAAAGTTTGACTATTTGACCAAAAGACATCTGTTTGGAGCTTCTGTATAAACGACCTCGTTTTATGTTATAACCGCATCAAACACAAACAACCTTCGTGTCCCTTTGAAAGCTAGCTCTGGTCCGCTGTTTGTTTTCTGCCGTTCCGCGCCGCCGAAACTCATCGTCCTTCAAAAGACCTCATCTTTGCAGTAAGTTGTTTTTCGTTTTGGGTTTCTATCTTTGGTTCTGTTTTATGGCTGAAATCGAAATTATATTTGTCGTTTGATTCTCGAACTCTGTTTTTGTGTGTTTTGTTCTGGACTGTTAACTTGTTTTGAGCTCATATGCTTGGAACTTCAGGCATTGATTGTTTATATTAATAACAGAGCTTAAACAATTATGATTATCAGAATTTTGTAGTTTGGTGGGAGTTGTTATGGTCAGTGTTCGAAAAATCGGCCTAGGCGGCGCCTAGACGCTAGGCGGGAAGACACCGCTACGATTTACCCCTAATCGTTAGGAGTAGACGCCTAGGCGGGTCTAGGCGGGTCGGGACTTTTTCTTAAAGAATTTTTTTTTCCCCTGACTTTAAAGAAAACCTACCTCACGCTGTCGTCTCCTTAAAGCCCAAAATTTGTTGGTCACTCAAAGTTAGAATTATTGCCCGAGTATATGTTTAGTTTTCTACGTAATTTCGAAAACCATTTTGGCTGTGACTGTTGTATGGGACCTCAGTTTCACTTGTTTTGATTTTGCAGAAGCAGATAGGCATTGTTCTTGTAAAAGATGAGTTTAATATCACAGAATGTTCCTTCGGCTTTTAAAGCCAACAAGACTAAAAGGGATGATGTTGATGAGCCTTCATTTCTGCAAGGGAATGATGACAACGGAAATGGAAAACAATCTAACTTAGATATTATGAAAACGAAGAAGCGAAAGAAAGCACTTAAGGAAGAGGATGAGAAAGTGGCTATTGAGCAAGAGAAGGAAATGAAGAAGCTGGAAAACTTTTTGTTTGGAGCCATTTATTCCCCACTAGAGTTTGGAAAGGAGGATGAGGAAGAAGTTGGAGATGCAGTGGATAAAGGTTCTTCTTTATTCTTTGTGGACCGTTCAGCCAATAGTGTGCTCTCGGTGCATGAAGAGGATGGAGAGTTATCGGAAGAGGAAACTAGGCAGAGGAAACCTGTCTGGGTGGATGAGGAAGAGGAAAAGACCAATATAAATATTGCTAAAGTTAACAGATTAAGGAAGCTGAGGAAGGAGGAGGATGAGAGTTTGATTTCTGGTTCAGATTATGTCTCAAGATTGAGGGCTCAACATGCTAAGCTGAACCCTGGGACAGAATGGGCTCAGCTTGATCCACAGTTGAGGAACAGTAGATATTCTGATGATGAATCATCAGATGATGAAAATGGGGTAGCAGTGGCCCGTGGCTACAAGGGTGTAGATGCTGTTGATGATCTCCTTCGAACAAATGAGGATCTTGTTGTGAAGAGCAGTGCAAAATTGTTGCCTGGACTTCTTGAATATTCGGTACTTGTACATGCGAATGCAGAGGAACCTTCTAAAGGACCAATAAATTCAGTGCAGTTTCATAGAAATGGGCAGTTGCTTCTTACTGCTGGATTGGATCGAAGGCTTAGGTTTTTTCAGATTGATGGCAAGCGCAATACTAAAATAGAAAGCATCTTTCTTGATGACTGTCCCGTTCGGAAGGCGTCCTTTTTGCCTGATGGCTCTCAGGTTATTATAGCTGGAAGGAGGAACTTCTTTTACAGCTTTGACTTGGTGAAGGCAAAAGTTGATAAAATAGGTCCCTTGGTTGGTCGAGAGGAGAAAAGCTTGGAAGTTTTTGAGGTTTCCCCTGACTCTAGCACAATTGCCTTTGTGGGAAATGAAGGTTATATCTTGTTGGTTTCGTCTAAAACAAAAGAATTGATTGGGACATTAAAGATGAATGGAACCGTTCGTTCTTTAGCTTTTGCCGATGATGGGAAGCAATTGTTGAGCTCTGGTGGAGATGGACATGTTTACCACTGGGATCTCAGAACAGGGGCTTGCCTCCATAAGGCTGTTGATGAAGGTTGTATAAATGGTACATCTCTTTGTACATCTCCAAATGGAGCATTGTTTGCTGCTGGTTCAGGCAGTGGGATTGTCAATATTTACAACAGTGAGGAGTTTTTGGGTGGCAAGAGAAAACCCATCAAGACCATCGAGAATCTTACGACCAAAGTAGATTTTCTGAAGTTCAACAGCGATGCTCAAATATTGGCTATTTGTTCAAGCATGAAGAAGAACAGCTTAAAGTTGATACATGTTCCATCATTTACTGTTTTCTCGAACTGGCCTCCGCAGAAGAAGGCCCTTCACTATCCCCGCTGCTTGGATTTTAGCCCTGGTGGAGGTTTCATGGCTGTAGGAAATGCTGCTGGAAAAGTGTTATTGTACAAGTTGCACCATTACCATCATGCATAGAACGAATGTTTGAGAGGACAAATATCTGATCAGTGTGTTCTTATCTTCCTCACATCATATCAGAAGAGTTTCAATCGTATTTTCCTCTGTTTTGAAAGATGGTTTATAAATGCTATGATGGCTTTTCGCTGCAGAATAATTCTGCGGTTTTTGACCTTTTTTAAGAGTAGTTGAAAGAATGTATTACACCATGTTTTAGTGGAAATTATTAGTGTCATTTCTGTGCTGTTTCTTTCTCTTCATCTTCTAATGCTATCTTTTACCAATGGCGTTATTTACTTCTTATTATGGTATTTGTTGAAGAAAGTTGGTATCATTTACAACTCGCGTATCAAGAGGTGCACGGTTTGGAATCTGTAATTTAGGTCTAAGCTGCAAGTCTACAACCTGTTACCAAATTAACTTAATTTAGGTTTAATAGTTATAATTTGGATAGTTGTATCCTTGTAGGCATATGAATTAAAAAAATTCCTGTAAAAAAAACTCATTTATTTAGTGATAAAAATCAGAAATCTTTACACATTTATTTGAGCATCGTGCTCTGTTATAGTGTATATATAATATGTTGTACAGAGAAGCTCAAGAAAAGCAAATACGCATTTATCCATCGATGGTAACGTCAAAAATATGTTGAAGTGGAACCAGAGCATAGCTCATACAGCAACTCAACCGCAATTACTGAAGCGGAAACCTACTCTACCTAATTATAGTAAAAGGACTTTTGACGACCTGCTTTTGCTCAAGTTCCTCGCTGGCCTCGAGAGGAGACTTGCACCATCCATGCTCGCCAGAACCTCAACTCTTCTATGTCAGATGCTGCGTTTTCCAGCACCTGTTTCAAAAGGATTTTCATGTACAAACTTCAGGAGCCATGTCGTGCAGCAGATTGGTCAACCACGATCAAACACCAGCGGCAGCCTTAACATCAGAATCTGTCTTACCCTGGAACAGGTTCATTGAAAAGAAAAAATGTTAAGTAATCCACACACTACTCAGTTCATGAGTAGCAAAGATGTAGAAGGTGGACTGCAAGCCATACTAGTTAAAAGTTTTCTGTACTTCTTGAGCTGTAAGAAGTCAGGGAATCTCTTACAAACTTAAAAGGTCAGAGAGCTCGCTACACAACAAACCTGAGATGGTTTCCGAATCTTCCGAGCGGGAGTCCTCATTGTGACGAACTCTTCAGCGGCTGTCGGGTGAATACCAATCGTGGCGTCTAAGTCTGCCTTTGTCAAGCCAGCTTTCACAACAACTGCAAATCCCTGGAATTTAACACAAGTACCACCACCTCAGTTCCAGAAATTAAAATCTTGATTTGAAAAGGCAAACAAATAAAGGGAAAAGGCATTAACCTGCACAATTTCTGCGGAATCTTCCCCACACATATGCAACCCCAGAACTTTGTTTGTCTTTGCACAGACTAAAAGTTTCATGAACACTCGATCTGGCAACCCTGAGAGAGTAGCCTTTAAAGGCCTGAAGTTTGACGTGTAGATATCAACATCACCATATTGTTCAATAGCCTGCAAAAGTAACCGCAACGTTCAGACAAGAAGCCATTTTCTATCTATTGCAGATATACAATATAATTTTTTCTCACCTGTTCTTCAGTAAGACCAACTTGCCCAATTGGTGGCTGGGAAAACACAGCAGAAGGAACAGCTCTACTCAAAACAAGAAAGTAATCAGCAGAAAGATAAAAACATAATTCACTCAACATTAAGTGAAAAATGCTAATTTGTTAAAAGATATATACTAGAAAGATCGTTTCACCCTATTACGCATATTTTTGCAAATGTATCGTGGATTGTATATAGCATCAGTATAGCACTTAACTGTTATGCATTCCTCACAAGTCACAACAAGAAAGGAGAAAAAATTGCATGACGAGATATAGAATGATAAATCTAAAATTTGAAAGTAATCATACTCGTTACATAATGCTCATCCTAAATCCTTTTATGAAAGGCCTACTCTGCTTGCATAGATATTTATGGAGCACCTCCAGAATTAATAACTTCTCCAAGTCTTATCGGCTGGCTAACAAGCTAGCTAGGATACCTGTAATCAGGTTTTGTTGGCTCATTCAGAAAAAGTGTTTTGGCTAATGCCCCTCCCTCCATCAAAGCAACTGGAGTCAGGTTCACTCTGTCTGTAACATCTCCTACAGCCCAGATTGAAGGAACTGATGTACGAGAAAATTCATCAACCTGAGAAACAAAACCATCTCAAAAGCATTCAGAACTCTGTATTAATTGCCCAGTTTTTCCACGAAAGTATCTAACAAAGCAAAGCAGAACTGAAACAAGCAAACTTAAACATATCGAGGAACACTACCTCTATTGCTCCAGTCTTGGTCAGTTTTACACCTACTTCCTCCAATCCTAAATTCTGAAATGCAGCACAAGACTGAATTACTTAACCCATTATTGATACATCAATGTTATTGAATTTACAGTATTCATAGTAACTTTAATAGAACAGTGATTATGAATAGCACAGACTGGCATCTTCAATATTGTCAACTTGCACTTGCAAAGAATCGCATCAAGGCAGGAAATCCTAATCAAATACTTTTAGACAACCTTCTTTCATTTGTCAGATGGTTACACCCATGCCTTGATGGGGACACTCTGAGACTTATGCTGATGAACCTGAAGACCAGGGAGAAGCTAAACACAAGTAGAAAGTTCAAAGTTCAAACCTTTGTATTAGGTCTACGTCCTGTCGCAAACATAATGTGTGAAAACCCTTCATGTGTTCCTTTGTTAGTCTTCAGAGACAACGAACCATCAGCTGACTTAACGATAGCCTGAGGGGACTCCTCTGCATGGAACTCGATTCCTCGCAAAGACATATGTTCTTGAACAAAATCTCTAACCTGCAGGCATACAAAATCGCATGTTAGGCTAATGCGTCAACCAACCAATACAAGCATTACACATGGTTCCTCACCTCTTCATCAAAACCCCTCAAAACTTTCTTTTGCCTTACAAACACATGGACGTCACTCGACAAACCATTGAAGATGCCAGCAAATTCCACGGCAATGTACCCACCACCAACTATTGCTATTTTCTTAGGCTTCGTAGGCAAATCAAGGGCAGCATCAGAATCTATTGCATATTCAATTCCGGGAATTTCAGGAATGAATGGTCGCCCTCCAACTGAAACTAGTATATGTCTCGCAGAATATAGCTTCCCATCTACATCAACCGTGTGTGGGTCTACTATCTGTATTATTGGTGAAAAAGACACAACATTTAGAATAACATTCAAAAATAGTTTTGCACACCTCACAAAGAAAGAGTTTTTCCCTTTCTTTCTTCTTCGCGCCATACCTTTCCACGACCTTCGATTAAAGCGACAGCAGCATTTTTAAGAACATTTTTGTAAATCCCAGTGAGGCGTTGCAACTCAGCATTCTTATTAGCCATTAATGTGCTCCAATCATGCTTTGGCTCAGTTTCATATCTCCATCCAAACCCATTACTCTCTTCAAACTCATGAGCAAATTGGGACGCGTAAACCAGTAGTTTCTTGGGTACACATCCCCGAAGCACGCACCTTTATATCCCCAAACACAAAAAAGAAAGGAGAAAAAATCACGCACAAACTCAAATAAAAGAAAAAAAGCAATAACATTTCACAAAGCCCAGAATTCTAAATCACTGAAAAAGCTGAACAATTGAACTCCCAAAGCCATTAACCCAAATTAGAAAAAACTTACGTGCCGCCGACGCCGCCAGCGGTATCGGAAGCGATGGTGGCGAAGGGGAGCTCGCAGATGGCAACCGAGGCCCCGAAATTCGCGGCAAAGCGGGAGGCGCGGACGCCGCCACTGCCGGCGCCGATGGTGAAGAGGTCGTAATCGTAGTGGCGGCCGGAGTCGGCGCCATTTCCGGAGTCGGCGCGAACAGAGAAGCCGCGGCGGCGGCTGTGGTGGTGGAGGGGAGAGATGGAGGTACGGTGGAGGTGGGAGAGAGAGGTTAGGGTTCTGCGAAGAGAGAGAAGGGTTGGGAGGTTTTTGGAGAAGAGAAGGTTTTGGAGTGTTGGGGAGGAAGAGAAGGAGGTAAGCTTAGGGGTAGAGAGAGAGGTGGCCATGACGGAGCTCCTCAGGCACCTCACAGCTTATTGGGTTTGATTGATAGTATTGGTACAAAGATAGCTTATGCGAATTATGCTTTGCCACTGGTTGGGTCATATACTGTATAGTGTATAAGTTTTTAGTTAATTATTAATTTAATGATTTTTTTTTTTTTAAAGATGGCAAGTTCAAATTCCTTTTCTCTTCATAATAAAGATATTAATCTCTTATCTCGGGTCAATTTTGAAAAAGAAAGCACATCAGAGGGGTGTTTTAAAAAAATAAATAAAAAAATTCAGACAATGACTTAGTTATGTTGTTAGAACATATGTGCTTCTCATTCTGTATTCGAGTTCGAATCTCATTTTCGTATTTCAAATTCATTTAAAATAAATTATTGCTTTTATAAATAAAAAAAGAAAAAAAGTAGAGTTTGGATTTGTAACTTATCACCAAATAAAAATGCTACTGCAAAAATGTATGAACAAAAGATGAAACAAATAATGTGATCACCCAAGTCATGCCCCTGTACGGTTGATTAACCGTGTTAGTCCAAAGTTTAGCATGATCTATTACAAAATAATGAAACATTTGGTGCTCACACTCGTATTGAGATGTGAGAACAAAATATAAATTTTAAAGCTCGTTTTGTACAGGATAAAAACAAAACCTTTGTATCTGTCACAAATGGTTGATTTATGTAAGATATTGGACAAAACTAAACTTGGTTACAAATTGCATGAAATTCCATAAGTCTATGGTTACAATTGTAATAAACAGAGCGTTGTCATTGATCTACATACCGATGGATGATGAACAACTTTCTTACAAATTGCATGAAATTCCATAAGTCTATGGTAGTAAAAAAGACTAAGTAAGTTAGTATGATGATGATCTACATACTGATGGATGATGAACAACTTTCTTTCACATTTAAATGGATTTTGTTCGGGTTCATGTATTCTAGTAAGTTAGTAACACCAAAAACTAAGAAATAAAACATGAATGATTGGAGGGATTCACTTCGTTTGAGTTTAAGTTCAAGTTTGCATGTGGTCCATGTTCTTTGGCCGGAAAACACTCAATGTACTCGATCAAAGTTTGCAACATAATCAAATTTGATCACATTGGCTTTCCAAAAGGAAAAAAAAAGGAACAAAGTTAAATTAAGTTCATCATGAAGTAAAAGCATCAACTAAGCAGTGATATTTGAAGAAGAGACTGAGCATAGTTGATAACAAGTAGACAAGTTTGATCCACAAAGGGATGGTTTACTACGGAACAGAAACAACAGCCAGACTCCTAGAACTAGAAATTTTTACATTCCTCCACAGAGGAACAATGGGGTTTGGCTCAGAGGGACAATCCTGACTCTTCATCCTCTTCCAGAGAGGATGTGTAGATGAAGTAGAAGGTCCAGATGAGGCCAAACACACCAAAGAGGATCCAGCCAAGAATGTTGTTGCTCAAGCCAAAGGGAAGCCCTGTTCCTTCTGTGCTCAATCTGTCATCCACCAAAGCCATGGCTGGGCTTGACATGGTTGCAGCCATAGCTGCTGCAGCCAAAGATGCACCCTTGCCCATCTTTGAGTTGCTGCTCTCCTTCTTTCCCTCCATGGAACAACTCACTTTCCCCTTCCTTGCAAGTGATGGCAAAGCTGAAATAGAGTAGTAATATTCAATAACAATTAGGAAAAACAAATGTAAAATCAAAATACATAAAACCAAAATGAAAATCGCAAGTGCGGGGTTAGACCGGTTGGTCAAGACAGTGTGCCCGCACGAGTGCAGCTGAATTTGAACCACCTCTCCACACTCTAGAACAGTTTAAAATATTGAAATCAAGTTGAGAAGTGAACAAAACAATCTTACCCAACACAGTTGCGGGTGGAGCCCCAACAGATGGCTTGTGCACCAGACTTGCCCTGGTGATTGATGAGGTTGGAGTGCTAGCAGTAATGGTTGCCATTATCTTCAGCTTTGAAAGAGAATTGGTGGGAAACTTTAGAAGCTTATGGGCAAATCTGCAATGGAACTGATTTTTATGACAGAAGTTGCAGTTTCATAGGGACTCTGAACAATTCACAGATTAATATTGATTGGGCTGAAGTATGCCCCGTGGACCACACAAGATGGATAGATTTGCATTTGGCAGCCCCTCATTAGATATCCCCTATCTGCAACAACCCAACCATATTTTTCCACGTGTCACATAATCCACCAAAAAGTCCAATTATCACCAATTGAAGTCATAAAAATGGCCGGAGATAAATCAATAAACAAGCGCTGTGGGTTCTCAGAAAAGAATTCGGACAATTGTCAATCTGGGCAAAATATGCGAAGTTGCAATCCAGGGCAAAACATCCACAAGTTTGTACACAGGGTTTATAAAAGAATGCCAAATTGATTTCAAGTAACTCTGTCTATATCGAAAAATGCTTGTAGGAGTCTAGCTAAGGAGTTGAAACAAAGTATGTACATGAAATACAGACCCGCAGTACAAAATCCCCCAGGGACACTTATTGATTCCAATTATTCCTATATTTTGACTCTCGGATCCTAGAAGATTATGCCCAGAAAATTGTGGGAAAAAATTGAGCTCGACTTTACATTGAAGAATTGTTAAAGAAAGAATTGTGTGAACCAGTGCAGTTCCATCATCCTTGAACAATAAGCAACTAACTGTGTGGTACAGGTCATCGTTATCCCACCATTTTAGTAGTGGACTACGCATGTATGTTGCACCGTTGCAGATGAGAGTCTTCATAGTTCACATATTTGCTCCAATAACCCTTATGCCTCCCAATCCCAATATCCAACCATGGCTTCATAATTCCATCGTAGTGTATTACTGCCGCTCGATCAATGTCAGCACGAACCACACCAGACTCGTAACCCAGCCCAAGGATATGCCATCGCCTGTCCAAAGCTACTGTCTTTTTATAGAAGGTGACCCAACCTAAGGGCAAACTCCCAGCCACCCACAATGGCCTCTTATTGCCCTGCAACAAAACACACAGCAAAACAAGCATTAAAATACGATTGCATAATAACATTCAAATATATGAAGTAGAGGTGCATGTACGGTGTACAGTGTACTGCATTTGGTAATGCCATGAATCAGACATCAACCTTCCAAATGTAAAAACCCGAAAAAGCAAATATAAGGCTTAAAGTCGTATGTACCAATTGCAAGTATTTATGGTAGACAGTAGTTAGATTCTGTCTCCTCCACTCTTGAAGATCAAACAAATTCATGCCAAATGCCCAAGTGCATGCATCGGCATGGAACTTCTTTGCTACAAATGGATCTGAGAAGTTGATAAATGCATCCATCCGATGGAAGGAAGTTTCACTTTTATGACAAGTCTCGACAGCTGCATTTACTTTCCCTTTCATATTGATACTCCATAATCTAGTTAGATCCTTTTGCACCACCACATCATGATCAAAGAGCACAATCTTATTCAAAGTAGGAAAGATTTCTGGCAGATAGAATCGGAGGTGGTTGAGTTCAGAAGCATATCTAGGGTCACTGGAGTTTTGCCTTAATACTGCATGGTACTTGGTAGACAACCAATCAAAACTCTCTATGCTCTGGACTTGGATTGTGGCTTTGCCAGGAGGATTTAATAAGAACCACATTGAGACTGCTGGAAAATTGAGTGAATCAGTCACCACATGAAAAACAATCTTCTCGGGTTCCTGCACATTATTATGCCACAATGGCAAAAAAAGGGTCATCAATCTTTCATGCAGAAAAGAAAAATGTCAACATTAGAGGAGTGGGATTAATTGCGATGGTTTCTGCTTAAGTGGAGTGAATAATTCTTTTAATTATTGATTGTAGCCCAAAATAAAAATCATGGGTAACGGAAAGGCCAAAAAAAAAAAAAAAAAAAAAAAAAAAAAAAAAAAACAGAAACGACTGAAACGTCAAATTACCATGGCATTGGAAACAGTGGAGTTCACAACCACTGTAGATGCCAGAACATTGTCAGAGAAGACAGCATAATGATAGAGCTCTGGATCATGCAACTTTTGTTGGTTAGGAAACTGCCTCTCCTTGGGATCCAGAGCAAAGTATTCTGCAGTCAGCTGCATAGAAAGACAATGAAGACCTTTCGGAGTTGTGCTTGCAGCAAGGTGAAAAAGATAAGAGACTTGCTTCTTCTGCGACCGAACTTGCTCTTCAGTGTTCTGAGTCATAGAACGGAGTTTTGTGGTCATCGAGGAGCAATCTGGGTAAGCACGGCTGGCTTTAGATAGTGAAGACTCCATGTTTCTCATTCTCTGCAAAGCACTGCAATTAAACGGTTTCAGAGAGTATTAATGTTTCGTGACTAAACAGGAGCTCAAAATGATGTTCCTTAGCCTAATTTTTTTTTACTGATATAACTGATCACACTCTTCATTTTAGTCATAATGGGTAGTAGCACTTTTACATTAATTTTTGTTTTCAACATCTTTTTTCTTTTTCTCTGTGGTGTGTTTAACAAGGTTGGAAACTAATGGCAAGGGAAGAAATGGCAAATCTTTTTACCTCCTTGATAAATCTGAATCCTTGGTGGCTCCACTAATTGCTCGTTCCACCTCTTTAATTCGCAGTTTCAACTCCTTCACGAGATTCGACTTGCTGCCTGGTGGTGTAAAACTCAAGTATAGTTTAGCTCTAACCACTTGATCTTTCATCTCATTTATCCTCTCTGTCACTTTCCGCATATTTTGCACATTCTGGTCGTGTGGAACTGCACGGTTAGGTTTTACATCTTTCAACTGTTTTATTTTCCCATCTATTACTTTCCGTGACTGAGAGTGTGCATTCTGATCTTGCTGGACTATTTCTTGGTTCAATTGTTTCTGTAACCAAAACCATATAAATTAATATACAGACTGCAGAAGGTAACAACATACTTTTAAATTCATCTAAAAATTCATGTATGGCTGCCGAAGCTTGCATTCACCATGGTTTGTTACAACATATCTAAAATTCAACCGTTGTATGAAAATTAGAAAAGAAAAATCTTGAAGAGCTCCTGAACTTTATGCCAGACCAACTTTGGGGCTTTTAATACCTAAAATGCCAGAACTTGACCAAAAAAACTAGAAACTCCTATATCTATTTACAACATTAAACTCCTATTATTGCAACAGCAAAAGAAATTCATTTTCACTTCATTTTTCTTATCTGGTGGTCATATAATAGATGGACAATGAATACCTTTTCCCCAGACATGGATGATATTTCTCTCTGCTGAAATTGATTATCTCCGTCTTGGTTCTCATATTTGGTTCCTGATATTTTCATGAAGCAGACCCAGAGTAAACAATGTGAGAAAGAAAGCAGCATAGAAAGAAACAGAATACAAACACCTGTGAATATACACCAACCATTTTCAGTTCTTTCTAGCATATCAGTAGTGTCTCCCACATTTCCAGATTCCTTAGCGTCGTGATTCTCTTTAAGAGTGTAACTAACAGTAGAAACCAAATCCTTATCTTCATATAGAACTTTTCTGGGTTCTTTCAAGCCTTCACTCGCTTCCTAAATCACAAAGCATATCCAAAATTAGAAGTGCAGATTGTAAAACAAACTTCTGATAAAGTTTAGATTGAAACCCTATCAAGTCAAATTATCCTTTACTTACCTGCTCAACACTAAGTTTCAAACCATCAGTCCTGTATTTCTGCACCAAGAAAACAAAACCACCTTCAAACTCTACTATAAACAGAATATCCACAATCCGATTGGTTGTCAACAAAAAAAAGTGTAGACAATTCCAGTCTTTAGTCTTGAAAATTCCGTAAGGAATTTTTCTAAGTTTGACTAAGCCTTGTGGCATCAAACAATATAGACTCTAGACATTGAAAAGTTTTTCATTTCTCTCCTTTCTCAGCAACCAAACATAACATGATAAATTACAAAACCGAAACTGAGATGAAAGATGAAAGATTCATACAATATTCGACAAATCCTCTATGAATTCCTTCCGCCCTGCATCAGTTCACAAACCACTCACTATCGATAATTGATCAAATCAAACAAACACATACATAAATTTAGTAATGAGTGCGTAAATCAAAATGCACATTACCAGTAGTTGAGAGATTTTTTAGCCTTTGGGAGACGAAGATGATGGGCGCGAAAACAGAGACGGAGAGCAGAGAGAGGATGAGGATCCTCTGGCATCGACGAAATAGCTTCATCAATGGCAGTTAGGGTTTCCACTCCTCCAACAGCACATTTCACAGATTTCTCAGATCACATAAAAGAATTCGATGCTTCAATTACAAGAAACAGCCGGAATAAAAAAAACAACGAAAGAAACAAGAAAAGAAGAGATAAAATAAAGCTAGGGTTTCAAACAGTCCTTTTCGTACTTCGCGATTTTAGAGAGAGAGAGAGAGAGGGAGAGAGAGGGAGAGCGAGAGAGAGAGAGAGAGAGAGAGAGAGAGAGAGTGAATAGCTTGTTCGGCCATGTTCTTGTCTGCGAGGGAGGTGGTTTCTTTCTTTTTTTCCCTTTTTCCTGTTTTGTTAATTTTTTTATTAAAAAAATAAACTTTGGATTTTATTGTCTTTTTCCACAGTAGGTGATGTCGACAATGAATATAGATCGTCGATTAGTATGACCATTACGTCTGACTCCGTTTACGTAACACGTGTACGACTGACACGATGGCTAGTCTAATATTTGAAGAGGACTGCCCCTTACAATCGTTATAAAACTGATTACGCGTAATTTTCAGGTTAATCATTTGTTTGTGGAAATTTGGAAAAAATTAAATTCTCTTTAAATGGTTTCGTTGGCATTACTGTTAGGAAACTTTAAATCTTTGTAACGGAAATATCAAAAATAGAAATGATTAAATTTTGAGATCATGATTATGAGTACACATTAAGTTACTAAAAACCCTTAGTTGTGATGGTCACACTGTCACTCACTGAATTTTACTGTTTCAAATTTTATAATATGAATTGACGACATGATATAAGTTAAATTTATACTCTTACGATATGACATTAATAAATCACAATATGTGTTATGAGAATTTGATAATATTAAGCGATAGTATGACAATCACACCAAAAAATTTATTGTGCAACACCTCATTTATCAAAAATTGGCAGTTCACATTCAGCTTTGCCCTAAAATCATGGATGCATTTAATAGGTCAACACGAGGATGAGTGAAAACTTACTCATCAAGTGGACTATTTTGTCTTGGGTCTTGTTTTTGGTGATCCAACTCCAACCTAGACTTGAAATTTTTAGCCATAATTTGAGGAGATTTCAATTTTAAATTTAGATTGAGTGAATACCAAGCTCTCCCATATTCTAAACAATTGCTAGTCAAATCTAACCTTCATAATTAGGCAAGGTATTATTTTTTGTTTGTTTAAACCCCAAGCCTTACGCATGAGGATAAAATACATTTGTAAATTGTATGATCTAACTCAAGCAATAAAAATAGAGAGACTGATCCGTGTTTAAGGGGTGGTGACATTTTAGTGATAATCCATTGACTCATTTGAAGTTTGTTGGTCAATTAATTTGAGTTTCGAATGTATCATAAAGTAAACTCAACTTATCCTATTAGTAGGATAAAAGGGTTTAAGGAACTTTTCAATTTTCTTTTTCACAACGAAAATAAAGAGATTCGAATTCGGAACTTATTCTAAGATTAAGTTGAAACTTGAAACCGTCTAAAATGATTCTATAGTACAAAATAGTACTAAAAAAGATGAACCCTCGAGATTTTCGGCCTAAAACTAGGTCCTGGGCCTCATGGCATTTGCTAGAGTTTTGAACTCTAGCCTGAAAATAAGTACCTTTTTTCCTGTAGTGTCACATGCTTCATGATACCAATCATCATTATTATTTTTTGGATGGGATCTAAATGATTCACATCTAATATTGAAGATTTCATGTGACCTTATAATATATATATATATATATATATAATCTTTGTAACTTACGAGTATAGTAGTTGGTACGGTAAGTAGACAAGAAATTGGATTCGTGTGACTAATAATCTAATACACATATGTGTATATAAACACATAAAAAAATGAGAGAGAATTTGTGAACGCGTTCTAGTGGCACAACACCTATGACCTATGCAACACGTCACCTACCTGTATCTCTCAATCTCTCTCTCATTAATATATGGTATGGTATATTAATTATATATATACATGTGTGATGCATATGAGACACTATAGCATGTTTGTAGATCGTGTGAGGAAGCACCCATTTGTATACCTTTTCAAATCCTTACACGCAAGTCATTAAGACTTCGATAAGTGTATTAGCATCTTGGGTTTGACAGAAAAACCAAGTTATCTAATTGCTTATTGTGCTCTCCATTCCGACCATTTTCTTGATTTCCTTCCCTTAATATCTTTCCATGAAATGTATTTGGGTTTGATTATCAAAAGAAATAAATATTTGGGCTGTTGAAATGCATAATCCATAGTCAACAAAGACACAAGGATTATGTGAATGGATTATAAATGGAATTATTAATTTATGTTGGTGAACTTATTTTTACGAAATGTGGACGGTAAATCAAAAAATTAACTCTTATTGCAAAATTTGTAACTCGAGTGGTTAAAAGTATTTACTTATGTACTTAAAGTCCTATGTTCGATTTTTCCCTTTTCCAATCTCGTTTATTTATACCGATTCGCAATTTCTCATAAGAAATCTCATTCGTTTACGAGACATAAATATATGAAATTTGATACTCATTCACACATTTCCCTCTTACAAAACAAAAGTTTCAAGACCCAACCCAACAATTCTTAAAAAAGGAATGTGAGGGCACGCGCCATGAGGTGCGAGTAAAACTAATTCAAACATATCTTTGTCCAAACTTCCCTGTAAACTTTAACTTACACTCCTACTGCTCTTCCACTAGCAGCCACCAAGCCATGCAAATATCTTCCAAAATTTTAAAGCTCCAAATTTTCACCGTTGTGACCCCTCCCATCTTCCCCTTCCTCCCTCCAAACCCAAACCCCTCTTCCTCCAAAACCCATATGAATTCTCTGCTCTCTTCCACAACTATCAAATTCTGCAACTCTGCAACAACCCAAAACCAACCCAATTGATTGATTTGCAAAAAGCTCAAAACTTTCCCACTTTGCACTTTGAACATTGCTCAAGTTGCTTTTTCAATAAGCAGCTTACCCAATTGGAGATGTTGGCTTTAGAAATGGTTCGAGATGGGTTGCTGGTTCCAGTGGAGAGCACCCAAACTTCAGCTCAATCCTCTGCTGCTAAGAAAAAGACTGCAGCTTTGAGAAGCTGGATTTCGCTGGACCAAGATGGGCAAGGAACCGTATTGGATTTGGACAAGTACGCCATTATCCGCCGAGTTCAAATTCACGCTAGAGATCTTCGGCTTCTTGATCCCTTGTTATCATATCCTTCTACCATCTTGGGTAGAGAGAAAGTGATTGTTCTCAATTTGGAGGTCGGTTCTCATTTCCACAAGTACTTTCGATTCGATTTTGATTTAGATTTATTTTTTTACTAAAAACTGTGCTTGTTTTGTATGCTTTTTGGGGATTTGGGTTCCAGCACATTAAAGCTATAATCACAGCAGACGAGGTAATTATATTATATACGTTTTGTACTGTTTCATTTGCCTTGCGTTTTGTCCTCACTCTTTTATTCTAATAACACTGGCATTAAACTAACAATTAATCACAACCAGCAAAGAGGGTAATAACTTGGATTTCCATCTTACATTGAGCAGAATACAGAGTTGTTTCCAAATGTATAGAAGTTTTTTTTAAAAAAAAATATTCAGGAAAATGGTTAAGATTTGTTCTTGGTGTAGGTATTGCTTAGAGACCCTTTTGATGATAATGTACTGCCTATTGTTGAGGAACTTCAAAGACGTTTGCCTCTAGTAAGTGCCAATTTCCAAGGCCAAGGAGAAGATGAAGAAACCTCAGGGGTACAGAAAGATGTTGAAACCGATGAACTCAGTAAATGATGCTCTTCAGAACCTCTCCATTATCGGTTTATGTAACAGAACATTAAAAAGGACAATATTGCTCAGGAAGTTCTAGTTCAAATTTCATGTTCCTACTAGTGCTAGTATGATTCAAGTTTTGTACAAATATTATATGTTTGCTTGTTGTCTATCTGTTATTTGACTTAATGTTCTGGTTGTTTGGCTTATGTCATGATTTAGAATTTCCATTTGAATTTCGGGCATTAGAAGTTGCACTAGAAGGTATTTGTAGTTTTCTTGATGCGCGCACAAGAGAACTAGAGACTGATGCTTATCCGGCTTTAGATGAGCTGACTTCCAAGGTAAAGGATTTGCTTAGAGTTTCATTGTTCTTTATCTGCTCAGCTGACTTTGTTTGTTGGATGAATTAAATCCCTGATTGCGTAATCATGGTGTCAAAAGCCTCCAAAATACATTAAACTTAATTTTTCAGCATCCATGATAGAAGGAAAACTAGTTTAAATTATTCTTCTTTGATCAAGCAGTTAGAATTATTTGCAGATTAGCAGTCGGAATTTGGATCGGGTGCGTAAATTGAAGAGTGCAATGACCAGGTTGACAAATCGGGTTCAAAAGGTATGCTAATTATTGATATGATGCTGTAAATGGAGGGTGCCATATGCTAATATGTAACTATATATTCCTCTTATGCTCAGCAGCTCATGGGGCTTCATGTGAACTTGGACTGTTCTGTGCATCTTGAGCCCCCATACAGCATTCATATATGGAGTGATGCAGGGGATTTATATCATGTTTTAGTTCTTTAATCAAATTCGTTAAAAATGCTGTATTGTTGTTGTTGCCATAAAGCTAGAAAGTTGCTAATATGGACTTATTTCCTGAATTGGAACTATGGATTCTAGGTAAGAGATGAACTCGAACAACTTCTTGACGACGACGATGACATGGCCGACCTTTACTTGTCAAGAAAGCTGGTTGGGACTTCACCTTTCAGTGACTCAGGTGCTCCAAATTGGTCGCTGGCCTCACCTACCATAACTATAGGCTCAAGGGTGTCCAAAACAAGCAGGGCAAGTGCAGCAACGACAGCCGAGGAGAATGATGTTGAGGAACTTGAGATGTTGCTTGAGGTTATAATTCTTCATAGGTCTTATACTCTTGTAAATCCGGTACCTGAAGTCTGAGTTGCATCCTGTTATCTTTTGCAGGCTTACTTTATGCAAATTGAAAGCACATTGAATAAATTGACCACGGTATGTACTCTTATTGCTGTTTCAGCATGCTAGGACAACTGATATAAGATAGAACTTATCTGATTCGTTCTTCGCTTACCAGCTCCGTGAATACATTGATGACACAGAGGATTACATTAATATCCAGGTAATGGTTGGAAAAATTGATATCAAAACTTTGATACACTAATTCTACAATTCACCGAGCTATATAATACCTTCAACAGTAAGCATACCATTAACATGGCTGATCTATTGCATATTCTGTTGCAGCTTGACAATCATCGAAATCAGCTAATTCAGGTACTGTCTTTAGGACCAAATTAAATAGATACTATGGCCTTGTTTTATAAGTACATGTCCCCTTTTGATAGTTAACATAAGTTCCCTGTGACAGCTAGAGCTGTTCCTAAGTTCTGGAACTGTTTGTTTGTCTGTATATTCTCTGGTGGCTGCAATATTTGGCATGAACATCCCATATACATGGAAGGAAGGTCATGGCTACGTATTCAAATGGGTATGTACAATATACCACCACATCACACATAACTTTCCTTCAATTGCTGGAAATATTTTTCTTTTCTAACTCCATTTTCTTTAACGCAAAGGTGATCATCGTCACGGGGGTAGTTTGCGCCTCTCTTTTCTTGTTCATAATCTCGTATGCTCGGCACAAAGGTCTTGTTGGATCTTGATCTCCCTTTCCTTGTTCATACCATTATGATCTGTTGGAAAGGATGTATAAATAGTAGAGCATGCAATTGTCTTCATGTATTGTTTATGTACAAATACAGACAAAACTGGTTCAAGGGGTTTACTTGTAGTTAGCAATTTAAGACACTGAAATAAAAAAAGTTTAATGTAATGATTACGTTGTGGAAATCATGGTCTTTATTGCGGCTTGGTTTTGGGGATTTGATTTCAATAGTTGCCTTTGGTCATCAGTCAACATGTAATTCTTCCTGCACAAATTCTGGGCCCTCACAGTTTTCCTGTGATTGAAACTTGTTATATCACTCACTCCTAGAAGGACCACGCCACATGTGTCTAACATGTTTTCCATGTTCTTCAACTATTCTTTAATATGTTGTACTGCCTATCTAGGTGGCATTTCATTCGATTTGATAGGTCTTTTTTAATTACTAATAATTAACATAATATTGCAGGTGGAATCATTATTAAAACGATTTAATCACTTACAACTCATTGAATGTTTATTTAAAAAATGACTTGGGCATGGCTCATAAACTCGTATGTTCATGTTACAACGTATATACGTACTTGGAACGAGAGAAGTTATGAATCGGATACTATCGTATGATCAATCTAATTCCCGATCGGTCAGATAACAGTTGTAGGCAAGTCTCCTAGATTCCTAACTTAGGCTAGTTTCACTTGCTCAACTACTCAGTTGGCCCACAAAAATATAATTTTAATGGCTTTCCAAAGACCTCAAAGAAACCACCCGCCCTTTCTTTTTGACCTGTTCAATTCCACCCCAACCCCTCACGAGTCACACATTAGAAGCCCTAAACTTAATGCCAATAGTAGAATGATACTTTTGTCCGAGTACACACATTGATTGACAGTCCCTTTTAGGTCTGTCTAATGAACTTGTCTACCTTGCATATTTACTACTCGCAAGCAAGGGTAAGACTGTAAACAAAGAAGATAACAGTAAAATAGTGAAAACAAGAGGTTCCGGGGTAAAATATTACCGAGGGAAAATGTGATTGGAGAAATGTCTGAGTTTGAAGTAGCTTGTTTCAGTTAATCCGTACGTGAAAATATCGACTCATTTACTTCGGTCTCTCTGTTGATTTTTTATTATTTATTTATTTTTGTATTTTAACTTCAATTAGAAAGAAAGAAAAACAGTTCAATGCGACGACTTCATGCTTATGCGCATGTGGACACACTTCCGCAAGACTCGCCGTCAGGTGCACGAAACCCAGCGCGCACTCTTCACCACAATGCGCACCCCGGCGCACATTAGCGTGACCCCATCATCTTGAATTGAACCTGTCTTTTAAATCCAATTTATTTATTTATTGCTTTTAGAATAAGGAAATAAAATATATAGAGACAAGAAAACAAAAACAAAAAAGAAAACTCTTTGCTTCATGCTCTTTATGACGAAGAGAGCCTCTCGATTCAGATCAATAATCCGCGACCCTCTGTGCAAATCCATCAAAACCCACGTCAAATCTTCGCAAATCGATCGAGCCCATCTCGTAATCTCACCTTCCCACTAGCCACAGCAGGCTCTCTTCTCCACCCGTTTTCAACAATAAGCAGAGGTATCTGTTTTGTTTTCTCCCTCTGCACGCATTTTGCTGGATTTTCCTCATCGTATTTGCTTGCCCGGTTGCCTTGTTGATGTTCTGATTTTTATCTTTTTTGTGTCTAATGCAGGTGGATGTGAATAAATGGACGTAAATTTTGTGTCTGCGTTAACATGCAGTGTGTGAATACGTGGGTGAGTTTGAATTGCAGAGCTGAAGTGTGAGAGGTTGAAGATGCCGAATCAGGTGGCGAAAGTGAAGAGGGAGACAATTACAGCATGCATGACTTGTCCGCTTTGCCATAAGCTCTTCAGAGACGCCACCACCATCTCTGAATGCCTTCATACGTGTGAGTCTTTCCTCGTGCCAATGACTCTGCGTCTCTGATTCTTTGCTTGTCTCTTTCTGCTGGTTTAGTTTCCGATTCTGCAAAATTTTGAGTGTAAAGCTGTGATTTTTTTGACATTTGATGTTTTTGGTGATCTGGGTTGTTGGTATTTTGCATTTTTCTTATCTGGGTTTGGCTTGGTTTGGCTCCGACTGGTTTTGGGATGTGGGTTTTTGAAATTCCATGCTTTCCTTTTATGTTTCTCTGCTGGAAGATCTGAGAGCAGCTTTGCCAGTTGGATTTGCCAACCACTCGTGAACAAGCAGCATCTTGTTTAATTTATATACTTGGCGATAATTCGAAAGTTCGACCGACAGTGATATAATTTTGCCTTCTGTCGAAAGGCCTCTGCTTGCAGTGGTCTAAGTAGCATTGCGTTCATGCTTCATCCCATGACTGTATAATTAATGCATAGAGTTATAGAGTCGTGTGTTCTTTCCAATTGATCTTCACAAACGTATAATTATGTTCAAAATCTATAGCACTGCTCAGTTATCATAAATGGTAACTTTTATTTTCGCTGCCTGATTAAGAATTTAGTTAGCTTAGGTGTGCATGTATTTCATGAGCCTCCTGAAGGCATTAATTGTATTATTAGGGATGATAAGTGGTTCTTTTTAGTTTTGTTCATGGGCTTAGCTCCCAGTTTACCCCCCAAAAAAAAATTTAGTTTACTTCCTTTTTCTGGATTTTCTAATACTTATTGCAAAACAATTCTGCTGAAAGTTTTTTCTCCCAGAGTGCTCCCCCACCCCCCTTTTCTTTCCTCAATATTCTAACTCTGTGTACAGTGTAAAGAATAATTCTGATAGATTTTTTGTTTGGACTTCTCCAGTTTGCAGGAAGTGCATATATAATAAGATTTCGGACGAGGAACTAGAATTCTGTCCAATATGCAATATCGATCTGGGTTGTGTACCACTGGAGAAATTAAGGTTCGTATTTCTTCACTTATCTTCGAGTTTAGCAAAACAAGTACTTGCTTGGATTATAATGTTGATGCATTTTCGGAAAAGTTGGGTTCCTTCATCTTTTTTGAATGGAAATCATTCAATTTTCCTTTTTATTGGCAAAGATTTCGTAAGTGAGTTTATTCTGTGATGATGAAAAAAAAAAGTTCAATATGTATAAGTGAAATTGGGGTTTATGGATATAGTGAATTTACCAAGATGACAAATGAAGAGGATGGTCTTTGGAAATCTTGTAATTCTTCAATCCTCGTGCCCTTATCAAGCAACCATAAATTGTACTTATTGAGCAATCATGCACGTCCATTATGCAGAATAGACCACATATTGGAGAAATTTTTAGATTTTTGTTCATAAATCATGATATATTGATGTGTTTTAGTTTACCTTGGTTATCAGGCCAGACCACAGTTTGCAAGATGTAAGGGCTAAGATTTTCCCTTTTAAGAGAAGAAAGGTAAGGGCACCTGAAGTTATGCCTTCAGCTACATTACCTGCTAGAAGAAAGGAGAGATCTCTCTCGTCATTGGTGGTCAGCACTCCCAGAGTGTCAACCCAGGCTACCATGATGACTGGAAGGAGAACTAAAGCTGTTGCGAGAAAGGCTTCTGCTTTACAGGGATCTAGTTTTTTGGTTGAAAGGCCTATAAAGAAAGAGGAAGATTCCGCTGCGGAAGATCATCCAGAGCGTTTCAGCTCACCCGAGGCCTCAAATAAGTCTGGTCAAAATAACAGGCAGGTAAATGAGGGCAACATTATCTCTTATCGTTTTCCTTATATGCACTATTTAAACTGCCGATGAGGTCTTGTTTTCAAAAGCTTAAAAAGAAAGTAGTAAATATACTAATGCATTTATTGCTCTCACATTTGACTGGCGCAGAGTTCTTTCTCTGCCGAGCCTAGCAAATCTGTACCCATTAAAGAAACTGAGAATGGTGGTGAAGCAAGGGAAGGGAAATTGGATCTTTGGAAACCATTAAATTTTTTGGTGGAAGTTGCAAATAGGACCAAGTCTCACAAATCCAATTCACAAGGGTCTGATAATAAAGTAGAACCGGTGCATGTTATCGCCAGTGAATCTCAGGTTCGAAAACCCAAAAATAAGGAAAATAAACAGAAATCAAAAGTCGAGGATGACAAAAATAGCACTTATCCTATCTCTCCAGAAACAGTAAAGCCTAAGAAGCTGCGTAGGGTTCGCCGAAAGAGAGAAGCATTTGGAGAATCAAGCATTTCACCCCAAGCTGTTCTGGATGCAGCCATTGGCAAACATGAAAGAAGAGTTGGTCCAATTTGGTTCTCACTTGTAGCTTCTGAAGACCAGTGAGAAACAACTTTAGCTTTGAAAGATTCTAAATCATTTTGGAATATTTATACAAATTTCTTGACAAGTTGCTCTGCTTTTGTTGATATATTGATTCTATAACTTCATGGTTTCAGGGAAGATGAACCCTTGCCGCAAATTCCTACAAATTACTTAAGAATAAAGTGAGTTCGTCTCTATGGCTTTAATGCATGTTTGAACGGGCCATTCATCATTACATGCTGAAGTGTTCATTGTTTTAATGCACATACATGCTTCCTTCATTCTTACTTATTGCTGGAGTACGTACATGGTTGTATGAAAGCCATTAATATTATGTGATCTAAATGCTGGAAAAACTGTAAATTTTCAAAAATCATCACTGCTAGTACTTGTAATATGTGTCTTCTTAAGATTTTGAAGATTAGAAAATGATTATGTCTGGAAAGAATTCTCCAGTGCTTAAATCTTATATTTGGTTCATTTGTCACAGAGATGGAAATGTGCCTGTTTCGTTCATCCAGAAGTACCTAATGAGGAAGTTAGATCTCACCAATGAAGCTGAGGTAAGCGAACCCACACTTGCTTACATCTAAAAAGACTACTGGAAAATTATCCTTAGAAATAGAGTTCTACTGTATATTGTTGTGCTTCTTTTGGTAACCATTCAATTAACATTCTTGCAGGTTGAGATCAAATGCATGGGACAACCAGTGGTTCCCACATTGCAGATGTATAACTTAGTCGACTTGTGGCTACAAACATCATCACCTTCACAACGAATTACTGCATCCATTGGTTCCTCTGCAAAAGATTTTGTGATGGTGCTCGCTTACTCTCGAAAGGTCTCAAACTCCTAAAAGAACGACAATATTTGTTTCCCTTCGAATCTCCAGGATGGTCGGGAGGCAGCTTCTGATCCGGCATGTATGTTATGAGTATGTGTTGCAATTGCCATGTTGTCTACTGCAGCAGCCTAAAGAAACACTTGGCTCGTGCTCCCACTTCCATAGGCTGGCATGTTGTTCTTGGCAAATGGCCTTTGCGACGATTGTAATATTAAGGTTTAGATAAAAAGATTTTCTTTTTTTAGATTGTTGATTCACGTCATGGAATGCAGAACATCCATAAACCTGACTGGTACACAGTTTCTAGCCGCAATTTACTTTGTCTGTAACAAAATGTTTGCGAAATACTAAAAATAGCAAGATGTTACTTGTTTGATTTTCTTATTTATTTATTTATCCCTTTTGTGCATAAAGAAGTCAGTCACTATCTTCAAATTTTTTAAAAAAAAATCTGGGAAGAGGGAGGGAATCAAACCTAAGAAAGACTTCAAATACAAGGATAAATGCTCTTAACTGATTGAGCTATAGGGCATCTTATTTTTTCAATCCAATGACTTGGGTTGGCCTGTAGATTGAAGTTGTGATTAATTGTAGAACATATACTAGAAGATATTCCGTGCATCCTGCATGTACACACAAAAATGATTCAACTGGGAGGGAACCAAAAACACGATCACGTGCGCACGTGACTGTACAGCTATCCCATCTCTCAGCACATGATTGTATAATTATAGGCTCCCTACGCTCAAGGCTGTTACCTCTCGTCTTGAGCCTCCTCAGACGCCATAATGTCTCATGATATCTAAACAGCTAGGCTTCAGCTCAGTCCTTTGGGCATAAAGCAACTTACACAGAGACATTAGCGCAGGCAATAAAACTGCGGTTGGGAAAATCCATTCACTCAAGATGCCTTGCATTCAATTCAAAGTAAAGACCCCAAAAGTATTTTCTCACTCTACCAACAAATAATAGCAAGATTTACATGCCATTGTTACATTCAGATTTATTCAAATATCAAACACTGCCTGTCAGTATATCAAAGAGAGTCACAGGAAACCAATGGATCTGTACTTCGAATGGCCGGAAAGGTTGGGCATTCTCAATTCCTCTTGCATAAAATGTCATAAACTCGGTGATACAAGAAGGGGCAATACCCTCAGCTAGAAACCCATGACAGTTTTCTTGTGATAATAGTTTACTGTTACTGTACAAGGATAGACAATCAAACCATAAATAATCTTATGGATTCACTGGAAAGAAAGTGCAAATTCACTCTGCTGAGAAAATATCATTATCCTGTAACAGGCTTCGATGGAACGAAAGAATATAATCTGTGATACAAAATCAGTGGTCATCCGGTAAATGCCTAGTTGCCTAGTCATCTCATGCCCTACCAACCAATTCCAAAATAATATGAAACAAAAGTGAAGTATGTATTATTGATTCAAAACTCCAACCAAACGGCATTCTGAAAGAAAGCTCATGTGCAAACCAGCCATAGATTAAGATCTTCAGAAACCCATTGCGATAAAAGGCGTTGGCTTTGCATGGACCATGGCTGCTATAATTCCTGCTTTTCCCTTTTCCAATAATCAATTCAAAGACTTTATCCTCACATGGCCCAAACCAAAAGCGCTGCATCTCTACTCTGTATCATCTCAAATCTACAAAAATTGTGAGGGAAAACATGCTTTGGCTCCCTATCCAGCCTTCAAAGTCAGCACAAATGGGTCTTATAGCACTTTGAAACATCTATTAACAGTAGGTAAATTCAGCAGTGACATATAGAGGGGAGAGATGACCATTAAACTGAGGAATGAAAACTATTACATCAAAATATTTACCTATGGGGTTTAACTCAACAGAGCTTCTAAAGCTTATCGAAGAGATGGCACAAAGGTAAATAGTTCATGAAGGAAAATACTGAACAATCAACAGTTGAATGCCAGTAGAAATGACTGACAGCAATACATTCAAATGCAAGAATCATCTGCCAAACAATATGCACATAAACAGTAAGCAACACTTTAAATCTAAATTCAAATAGATTAATTGCTTCACTCTAACAACTCACGTTCAACAGCATTTCAATGTTTCCCTTCAACAACCACACTTGAATCAAAACTATATATTGGCAAAGACCAAGCAATCTGATACATGTTTCACTAAGTATAAAAGAAAACCTCTAAAGGGTCATCAATTCGCACTACATTTACAAAAATGAAAGAGGAAAAAAACCTGAACTTGAAGCTAAAAGAAAAGAATAGAGCTCAAGATTGAAGAAAATGCTTACTAAAAGCAGATCTAAAATGAGCTTACAATGCCAAAAAAGGAACTTCTCCTACCCACCAAGATCCGTATCGAAACAGAATAGCGAGAATCGAATGGAAAATCAGCTAAGCGCGGGAGTACCGAGGCCGCGTGGGACTGCCCACAACCGAAAGCAACCCACCTTCGGCAGCTTCTTGCTCGTCGTTATATAAATCCTCCGTACCCCTAAAAGCTGCGTGTAACGCAACAATTGCGACCCCAATTAGAACAGAGACCAACACGTTCAACCACACGTGCGTGAAAATCAGAGCGACGATGGTGACAACGCCAAGCACGCCCAAAACGATACGGTCGTCGACGATATGGTTGAAAATGACGAGTGGGTTGTCGCGGAAGAAGTAGAGGAAGAACCAGGCGACGAAGACAAGGAGAAAGACGATTAAGGAGACTGGGTGCCACAGCAGACTGAGGAAGAGGATGAAGAGGACGACCATGGTGTAGTTGACGCGGAAGTAGCTGAGGTTGCGCTTGATTCGGATTGTGGCGTCGCCGAAGGTGTACGGGCGCGTGAAGTTGTAGAAGGGCTGGACGAGCTCGAGCCATGGGCGGCGCTTGGCGAAGAAGGACTGGGTCGTTTCTCTGGCACGAAAGAACGTTGAGGGTGCGGCGGTGCTGGTGGCGGTGGTTGATGGTAGGGTGCCATAGTAAGCATTTGGATCTAAAGACATTGGAGCTGGACAATTGAGCTTGAATATGAAGCTATCTGAGTTCAGCTAAACCCTAGGAAAGAGAAAGTGAAAATCTTTTGCTGGGGGATCGGAACAGTATCAGAGAGAGAGAGAGAGAGAGAGAGAGAGAGAGATTTTCTCTAAGTCCCTGTAAGACTGTTGCTGGTTTGATATTTGTGCTTTTGAGGAACGAAGAGATGCGTGATCTGATAAAAGAGGATACGACAGCGTTTGCATTACGCGAAAACGGCGTCGTGTCATGTCTTGTGGGCAACCGGATAATTGGGAGCATATGGTTGAGGTGGAGCCTTCGGCTTTATTAAAGAGAAAGAGACTTCTTCGATTGTCGTGGCAAACTGGGTAGTTGGGTAGTTACTGGTGTTTTGGGTCAAATATGGCTCCAACATGAAAAGGTTCAATTTTTTTTTTTTGGGTACCAAAAAGAAAAAAAGTTGTAACTTGTAACAAGGGGATTGGATGGATGATGGTCATTGATAGATGAAAAAGACAGAAATAAGATAGAACGTATAATGTCTTTACTTTGTGCCGACCTAAATTAGGCTGGTTGATCATTATAGTGAATTCGTCCACTTGTCTTGTACGCAGGTTCGAATCACCTTGTAAATTAGTTGTTATTTGTCTTTTAATTTTTTCTTCTCAAATTTCTCATTTCAATAGTTCGAATCACCCCGAGAAATTAAAAGAAGGGAGCGGCTAGGGTAAACATCAATAGTTGTTATTTGTCTTTTAGTTTTTTTCTTCTCAAATGTTATAATTTTACTCCGCAGCAAATTTGGATATGAGAATTGATAAGAAAACCTTTGGCAAAAAATAAGAAAGGAATTGACAAAGAAAATAAAAAGGGCCCAAACAGTTGGGTTCACCAAAGTCCAAAGTTTAAACATGAAGTGGGCTGCTTGGCAAAAAAATACATGAAATGGGCTCATTAGAAAACCCCAATATCTTTCATTGAAGTCGAAACGACGACGTGGGCTGGTATCGTCGTCTAGAAACCAGAACGAGGGCCTTGTATGGTCGTCTGCAGGGCCGCACGGTGTTTGGGGTGTTGTACTGTGCAAATACGAGCGCCATTGTTCGACGGTTTGTTTGTGCTGTGGAAGCGATTGAAAATTTCGTTAATCGCATAGAAAATCCTGGTTAATTCTAAGGTAATTCTTAGTAATCATATTTTGTAAGACTAATTTTCAACAATTTGTGGGGGGGTTTTAGATTTTCTGGGCTCCGATTGTGTGTAGTCGCTAACTGGTTTTGTATCAAAATTTCAAGCTTCAATCATGTTTTTTAGATTTATTCAGTACTTTAATTCAATGAAGTTGAATTTGAAAATTGTTCATATATGATATATTCCAGTGCTATATTTTCAACAATTTCGTTAACATGATTATGCAAAAATTTGAATTAGGCACGGTGGATTAGTGGACCGGACGGTTTTAGTTTCTTTCTTGGTTCTAGTTTTCCAGTGCATGAAAACCCTAAATCTTCAATAGTCTAGTGGATGGGAAATTGGTTCTCAAAGTCACTGATAATAAAGAAGTATTAACTCATCTTTGTAACCCTAGCTGGCTGAGATTATTATTGACTTAACTTCATGAACAAGACAGTAATAATGAGTAAGTCTGTGTAACCCCATTCATTGTTTAGGAACTTCAATGAACTTTCTTTTGTTAAAAATTGATATGAATTTCTGCAGTTTTGATAGGCATAGGAAACGAGCAGCCTGTAATTTTAATGCTCTTTCTAGTGACAGATTAAGTGAACCTGTGATCTTCTTTCTTATAATGTTATATTTTGATCAATAAAGTAGTTACATCATTTTCGGGTGAATCTTTTGCTTGTTTCGTTATGATGTTTTATATTCCATATTTCTTTTTCCTTACAGAACAGGGTTTTCTGAGAGATGTTAGGTCCACAATTTTAAATTTTTTTGGTTTACATGATTCATTTCTGTTGTTTACTCTGTAGGCAAGGTCATCAATTTTGTTTTGTCTGTTCCCCCTTAAAAGAAAATAATCAAATTGGTTCTTTTTGGTATGTGGCTTATTAGGTGTTAATATTTTCTATCAAAATTGCTGCGACTTTTTTTTTCTTCTTGGGAACCTACCTGTGTGACAGAAATTTTTCACATTACACAAATCTGTTAATGTCACCTAATCCATTGTCAAACTGTGTTGTTTTGTTTTTTCTTCTTTGTTGAGCGCAGGGAGTGATACTCAAACTGTTTTGTATAGGAAAACATCTTTGAACACAATAAAAATACTTGAAGGATTCCTTTTCTTGCCGAATTGTTCCCAAATTGAACTTGTGAATGCCATAACTTGGAATCTGGGTAGTTTTCATGGTGTGGTGCATGGCTGCATAACAATGTATTTCCTTTTTTTTTCTTCTATCTTCCTTTTCTTTCACTATACTTTTTTTTGGGTGGACAAATCCAAATCACGGAAAGTTCGTGTAAGTAGTCAAATGAGACGTCTGGCTGAATTTGACATGATTATGGTTGTCTTTCTGCATTTTAGGAATATGGAAAATCTCCTATGCATGCTTATATTTAGAACACAGACTATATAAAATCCTGATATGCCCTGTGGTTGTCTTTGGAAACCTGGATTGAAATTTTTTTGTTGCTTACTAGAAGCTTGGTATATTTTCTGTAAACTCAAATTTTTAGATACCAGAAAACAGTTGAATATCATTGTATGAATTTGGAAAAGTTAGGTTCCAATAGTGGCTCCTTTTTGTAATCATGCTCAATGAAGCTTTCATTTTATGAATTTGCAGGCGTGATTATTGATGTTTTCTGGATAGAAATCAGCTCGAGGGAAATATTTCATCTTCTAGCATGTGACATTAAAATATGAAGTGCATGGGGCAGATCAGCGCAGGCCCTTGGTTTATTGGATTGTCATTTTGTTATTTGTGGATGTTTTATTGGATCACTGATCCGAGAATACTATCCCAGCATGAGTATGTTTAGTTGTATTCCATTGATTGGGTTAATGGACTGTCCTAAAAAAATGTACATATCTGTAGACATTTTCACACAAACGAACTCGAGTGAAGTAGTTCAAAATATTAAGATGAATATTTGTAGGACATAATTAAGTTGTTGAAATAAAACTACAGCCTAAGCCGTGAGAGGGGGCGAATTTTTTTGCCCTTTTCAAGTTTTAGCGACGGTCTTACGTTTCGCTGATAAATATCTTATTTGCTGCGGCTAGCGACGGTTTTATTCGTCGCCAAAGACGTTTTACACATTTGAGACCCAAAATTCGTCACGGAAAGTGTAAAAACCGCTGCTAAACAACAAAAATCGCCGCAACAGCGGAAGAATCTTCATTTTAAACGAGATTGCCCGTTCTCTACTGGATTTAAGTGTATTTGCTTCTGTTTTTCGGTAGACATTTATATTCCTTCCCTTCAAATACTACAGGGAATTGAGGGAACCACGAAAGAATAATTCATTTCTTATTTCTCTGATGTTATATATGTAATCAACAATCAACTTGGAGGAGTGTATTCTTCTATCATGTGAAAATAACTCGTAGAGTCGGATATCTTTCATTAAATTTGATTCCACCAGAGCTACTCGACTCTGGAACAGTTGAGAGCCAAGTGACTATTGCAAAGTCAAGATTTGAATGTGCTCAAGTTTCTTAGCAGCATATAGCTTCTTAGACAAAATGAGTGAAAAGAGGAGCGAGAGAAAAAACCAAATTGTGTGAACAGGAAAAACAGACAAAAAAAAGGCCACTAAGCAATATTAATCACTATTTTGATTCGCATTATCAGCTAGTGCCTTGCACCATGATTGCTTAGACAGGGCAAGAACACTTTTATGCTTGAATCTAAACATGCATAAGCCAAAGCACACTAAGTCTTCCTTGCATCGCGCATGAGGTTATGTTTATGTGTTTGTTCTCTTGACCAATGTGAAATGCATTCAATTTATGTCAAATTTTCTTCAAGATTTGTTTTGATGTAAGGGTGATCTTTTAAAAGTTTTTTAACAAATAAATAAAAATCGTTTCTAAAATACAAGAGGCAATTTGGTAAACACAATGAACCTGTTTATTGTTTGTCCAATATGCTTTACATATCATATAACTAGAGTTCCTCACATATCATGAAAGAATTTGTAAGTCTTGACATCTTCCACAATGAACTTGACTGCACCAATATGGAGAACCCCCATGGCAAAGTTAAGAAGCAGCAAAGAAAGGTACATTTTGGGATTTTAGGGCCGTCTTCTAGCTTTTAGATATGCCAGAGCAGGGAACACAAAATCCAGTGGTGTGAACCCAATTGCTCCACAGATTGACACAAAATCCCCAAAGAAAGGAGTGGCTGCTGCAACAAGAGTAATGAAAACCATATACATGGATGTAAAAACAAGACGAATTAGATTGTTTCTGGATGTGATGTGATTGGTCCTGATTTGATGATTTTGTAGTCCAAATATCTTTATCAGGATTTTCTATATCTGATTTGTGTGCTTTGTGTATATCAATTCTGAATTAACACATCAAGAAGACAACTTAGCTGTGCTTTTCAGATATTGATTACCACTTTAGTCCTTAACCATAATTTATGTTCATTATTTACTGAAGTGCTTAAATCAGGCATGACTATAAGTTTCTAAGCTCCCAATAGAAAAATAAAAATAGTTTTTCTTGTCCACATTGAAAGGACGTCTTAGGGAATCATCTTCGGTTTTCACAGAATTGGCCTTGCCAAGTTCTTCTTAGACAGTGTGTTCCTATAGTCTGTTTGAGAAGTAATCAATTTTACTGGATTATTTTTTTCACCAACTCCATGTTTTTCTTCATATTTTTGGCTGATTTAACAGTGCTGGCGCACATCAGGGAGAGATTGATCATTTTCAATGTTTTAGTTTGTTACCAGGTATTTTTCTTACTCTTAAATATGCTTCTGGTATTCCTTGACATTGTATTTCACTCTTTGGTGTGATATTTGAATTGGTT